TGGAGCACCACTAGAGGGGTTACGTTAGTCTAACCATAGACTGTAACATTTATATAACAAGCCTCTAACAGACCTAGTAATTTTTAGATATAATTTTATTTAAAACACTTTTTTTTAACACTTTTTTATTTTTACTACCTTCTTAAGAAGTTTCTTTACTAGATGTAAATGTTTATTTATAAGTTTTTACTTATAACGTACTTTATAGGCGAGTTGCTTACACACCTAAGTTGCTTACTTTTGCTAAGACTCTACTACACTACTTTTCTTACACTAATGCATTTCTAACAACACTACTTAAATATGTTAAAGGAATATTAAATGTAGCTTATGCTTTAAGCTTTTAAATAAGATGTAATACTTTTTAACTAACACACTGCAGCTATCTATAAAGTTTTTTAAAAGATAATAAGTAACTAACACGCTAGACAACCTTTCTAAGCTAATTATATAGCTAACTTATAAAAGCTAGATAATAACAAAAAGTAGGTAATTATTTAGCATATACTTAAGCTAGATGTGTAAGGATTTCCCCCCTAGCTAGTAGCTATAGCTAATATAGCTAATTCTTTACACGCTAAGCATAATATAAGCTATATTAGCATAAACTAGCTTAATACATTTATTAAGTGTTACTTAAAGCTTAAAGTAAAATTTAAGTGTAAGCATAACTATAAAAAAGCTTTTTATAAAAATTCTATAGTAATTTAAAGCTAGTTTAACTTTATAAAGAATATTAAAGCTAAGTATAGCATTTAAAATAACAACATGTACAACTTTAATAAGATAAAGTTTATAATAGGCTAGATATCTACTAGAGCAGTTATTATAAGTTTAAAAAAATAAAGACAGCTAAAAGCAGTCTAGCTAGGTAACTAGAAGTAGACAATAGCTATCTAAAGCATTAATGCTAAAAAGTAAGCTATTTTACTCTTTATTATTTTTTAGAGTAGCAACTACTTTTTAAACTAATATAAGAAAAAAAATCTACTTTAAAATTAAGTTATTATAATTTTTAAGCATAGCTAGACTACTAATTAGCTTAGTCTAGACTAGTTAAAGCACTTTAACGCGCATATAAAAAAGTGTACTATTAGTAGCTACTGTCTGCTAGTTATTAACAGCTATAAGAGCTATAACTTACTTTATTTTTAGTAATACTATAAAAATAATAAGATTATTACTATTTATGTACTTTTTTACTTATTACACTTTTTATAGCTACTTAATGTAGGTTGTTTTACTCTTTTAAAAAAGGTGTATAAGCACTAAGCTAAAAACCTTATGTGTAACTAGATTACTTATATTATAAAAATAAAGTTTCTACTATGCTTTAAAGCAGCTTATAATGCTATAATTACTTCTAGTAATATCTAAGAAAGGTTTTAAAGCGCTAAATTAGTTCTTTTTAACCTATAATAAGTTATAATAGGCCTTAATATAAAGTTGTGCACTTTATTACTACTACTACTTATATATAATAAGCTTTAGTAGTTATAAACTCTAAGTAATACTCTAAAACTTAAGTTATAATTAATACTTATAAAAATAAAAATTTAAAAGCATATAAATAGTTTACTAACTTTTATAGTTAAAGTGTTTAAAAAGGTTTTAAAAAGAGTAGTAATAATTATGTATAAGCTAGTATTAGTGTAATAAAAAATTACTAAGCTTTAAGCAGCTAATAAGGCTACTACATAATATAAATTATATAAAAAAAAGCAGATTAAGGTAAAAAAGACCTTAATAATTTAAAAAAGCCTACACTTAATAGCTCTAAAGGAGTTTAAAGCGCGCAGTAACAGAAAAAAGGCAAAGAAGCAGGTGTAAGCTAAAGTAGGTAAGCTATTCTAAAGGCGCTATAGATAGTGCAATTAGACTAGGCATAACGCGCAAATGTGTAAGTAAGAAGCAGAAGTAGTATCTAAATAATATTCTAGGCTGTACTGTACTATATAGTGCTAGAGCGGGTTGTTATAGGCTATAATAGAGTTTGTTAGGGTGGGGTCTTGGCAAAAGTGAGCGACTCGGGTGTGTGAGCAACTCGCCTATGAAGTACGTTAAACCTTTACTATGTCTATAAACTAAAAAAGCTTTTTTTTTTCTCTTTTTAATTAATTCTAAGTAGTGTTAAAAATAAAAGTGTTGCACTAGTTATTTTTTTTACATATTCTACGCACTTATCTAAGTGTGATGACAAGCACTGTCTCTACTACCGTATGGAGCTGGGGAAGCAAGGTAGAGTAGGTCGGCTCTATTTCAGCTAAACTAGGATGGGGAGTGAAGGAGGCAAAGGGTTTTCGCGAGAGAAAAGCTTGCGCAGCGCCAAGGCGCTAGCGCGCTCGCTTAACCCTTAGCGAGATCATGTGACTAGCAGCGGAGCTTGACAAGCAGCACCGTCACACTAAGGACAAAGTTAACATATAAGATAACTTTAAAAACTAGTAAGTATTATAAGGCCTTATCTTTGTCTAGTAAAAAGAATTAAAGTAAAAGGCAGTGTAAAAATAGTAAAATAAATAAGACTAGTAAGCTATTTAGCATAAGAAAAATAAATATTATAGACACCTTTTAGTAAGTAAGCACTTACTTTATAAATAAACTTTTACTAACATAGTTATATAAGCAGAGCAGTAAGAACGCTACTAGAAAGAGAAGACAGTGTGTTATAGTCTATAGTTAGACTAATATAACTCTATCTAAAGTGCTCTATAATCTAGCTAGGATAAGACAGAGCTTGTTTATAGACTAATTAGAAGACGCAGAGGCAGCGCTGCTGCCTAGAATTACAGAATAATGTATTATTTAGTAGAAAGGTAGGCTAAGAGAATAAAATAAGTCTAAGTAAGTTAGATAAGTTTACTATATAGTAAGCTTATCTAAACTTAGGTAACTTATTCTTAGCACTATTAGATATATATATAATTCTAGCCTTAAATAACCTTTAAAAGGTGTATTTAATATTTAGTTTATTTTTTATATAAACTAAGTAGCATTCTAGCTTTCTAAAGAGCTGTAATACTATCTATATATCTTGCAACATATATACCTCTAATTCTGTCTAACAGGACTGTTTAACCTGGCCACTATACTGCCGCCACAGGGACAAACCACGATCTGGTCGCTCTACCCTACTCTATTAGCCTATTAGCCCTTACGTAGGACTGTACACCCTACCGTCGACCCCTAGCCTCCGTCCTACCTCCTAGGAATAACCTCGACCCGAGTGCTTCCCGAAGCAAGGATTGTAACAAAGGATTCGTCTATCAATACTATCCTGTACCCCCTTCTGCGCTTCATGCTTCCTGCTTCACAGTGCTCTCACAATAGGCAAGACAACAGGTCTAAATGCGGTATAAATCTACTTAGAGGTATATAGAAGTGCATAGAGACTTAGAAACCTAGTAATTCCATTAACCCCTATAGGCTTTGTACAGAAGGATATTAGAAAACTACTAGGCTAGCTAAGGGGAGAGGTGCTGCTAAATACTTGGAGATAGGGGTAGCGCAGGGGGCAGGGCAGGGTCTAGGCAGATACGAGGAACGATTCAAGCGAATCGTTACAAGAGTAGTCGGCCGAGCCGTAACCTCGTCCAAGGTTCTGACCGAATCATCATTCGTAACACTATTACTCTATGTTGCTACTCATGCCTATTTATCTAGAATCCTTACGTTAGCTTGATTGTTTCCTAATTAGGAAGTAACGTAAGTATAGCTTTAAGATCTAACTAAAGAAATAGATATTTAGGCATATATAGGTGTATATAGGGGCAAATTGTTGCTTAGTTAAAGTTCTTATATATTTAGTAAGGCAGAAAGGACGCAACGCGAATGCTAAGACATTGCACAGATTAACCCACACAATGAATGGATCAACGCAGACAACGTTAATAGACCCGATAATGCCTTTGTCATCGTTTCTCTCCAACCTCACAAAACAAAGGTATTGTGTAGGTTGCCACCCCCTTATTAGCCAGCATTTAGCCTACGGGTTTCCATTTCGACAACCCTACCATCCGTCAATCCGGCTAAACTCGCCAGTACGAGGAGCGTCACCTAAATCCCCCCTCTCGCCTTTCCTTTGCAGATCATCCATTTAAAAGATCTTACCATGGACCTTCTCCAGTACGTCTTACGCTTGAGGATAAAGCGATCGACAAAATAGCACACAGACATCGGCGGGTTCTTCACTGATCCCATGCACGGTGTGAGCCGTTCCGACCAAACGTGATATAATGAGGAATTGCGAGCCATGATTCTGCGACACCGTTTGAATGTAGGAGCCCGATTCGGATAAAGTAGAATGCTTTGGTCGATCAAAAAGAGTTCAGATAGCGCGCCGGGGCGAAGATCCTCTGTCAGTGAATCATTAGGAGACATGGTGGGCTACCACAGTTAGAGACATTCGCCTCCGCAATTTCATATCGTTCGAGCTGAACATTTAGTCAGACCCTGCTCCCTCATCTCGACATTCTAGAGTTCCAGGTATCCATGTCTGAACTCGCCAATTAGAAATTGCCTGTACACCATTGTGCTGCATAATTTGCGCAACAGTTTGATGAACCCTTAACACCTTTTTTCCGGTGCCTGTTAGCATAGTCCAACTAGACCCGACGCATAGCCTGTGGTGCGTCAGGCGTCGCGAGCTTGCAACCCGAAACTTTACATGTCCACTTACACTGGCCTTATAGAGCGAGACGTTGCGCACGTCATTTACGAACTCCCTTCCTTGATCCTGCATTCGACTCTGTAACGTCACTGAATCTTGGAAAGATCTACTAGTCCCCAACTCTTGGGCGTTGTTTAACCACCACAATGGAATTATAAGAGCAGGAATAAGAATATCCAAGGACGAATACACTCTGGGGCCGACCCTGAGACCATTATTTTGATATTCATCGGTATAACAATCCTCCGCACAAAAGTGGGTTTGGAGTCGAAGTGTGCGACAGTCCTCGCGCTGGGTTCTCATTGACATGGCCGCCTTGAAGAGGCAGGATCCTCCGCCAGGTCTACCCACCGATCCAGCATACTATACGTGGTCTATACAAAGACACCTGACAGCTATCGACCTTTCTTTGATGATCTTAGCTTTGATCACGGTTCTCGGTCGAGTGTATATCAGAGTTTTCGTTCTTCATGTATTTAGGCTGGATGACTACCTCATCGTTGCTGCCATGGTAAGTAGAGTTGTCTGTCCTATGCATGGTAGGTTATTAACGTTAAGATTTAGGTGTGCAGCATTCTCAGCTGTTGTTTTTTCCTTCACGTGGTTCAGCTCGGTATGGGAAAACACATATTTGCGATATCTCCGGAGAACATTATGCCACTGCTCATGTGGATCTTCATCGTTGCAATTCTCATTCCGTCGGCTATTTGCTTTGTGAAGCTATCCATCGTCTTCTTTTTGCTACCGCTCACACAACGTGGTACCCCCTATCGTCGATTTCATTGGGGGATTATTGGTCAGTTCATTCTGCTTTGATCCAAAATTGACTTGACACTAATGCTTGTAGTGTTTTTAATTGTCTTCATGCTATTTACATTATTTTCCCTCGTCTTTGGTTGCGTTCCAATAGCAGCGAACTGGAATTTTGCTCTGCGCCGCCCACCGATGGGAACTGGACATGCAAGGTGCTTGTCACTTACAACATACCGAAATATTGCACTCTTCAATAGCAGTAAGCCTGGGCCTTTGCTCGTCTTGGGGCTTGTTGCTCACGATAGCAGTTACAAACATACTCACGGACATCATTCTTGCGCTCATGCCTATACCTTTGATATGGACGTTGCAGGTTAATAAGCGGACAAAAGCTTCTCTCATCTTCATATTAAGCTTAGGGTTCTTGTAAGCAATCCGGGCGATCCACCGCATATGGCTTAACATGCTAAAACAGCTAGTGCATGTGCCGCTGGAATCATTAAGACCCCTCTTCTCTACCACTTCTTCGATGACTTTGATTCAACTGGCAATCGGTCATGGTATTATGCTTGGCAAATGTAAGCACGCCTCCCCGTATTATCCTAAATGTATATGAATGTATCTGACTGAGATAAGAATTGAAATGAACGTCGGGATCATCGCCGCCACCTTACCCTCTCTCAAACCCGCATTCCGCTGGCTCCTTGAAACCGCAAAATCCCTCGCCACCGGGACGTCGGGCAACCGTACTGGAGCCTCTCACGGATATAAACGGCAGTTATCATCTGGGTACCTCCGGCAAAGGAACGGGAACCCCTACAATACTGCTAGTTATGCGGGGAACACAAAAATAGGAACGCGTCAAGATACAGCGGAGATGGAATTAAATGAACTGGAGCCTTACAATGTGACGGTGGCTGGTGATGAAAAGAGTATCAGGAGCGGACGAGGGTCAAATGCGAGTAGCGATGCGATATTAAGGATTGAAGATATCGACGGGCCTGAGTCGAGGGGAATTGTTCGGACGACTAAAGTTACTATAGTGACGTCTAAGGGGTAGCTTTATTCAGCATTGTATATTTGCACACCCCTATTTAATAGGCGCATACTTCGACTCTCGACATTAGCCACCACAAAATGTAAACCCCCCTTTTGCCAGGGGTTCCTTCCCTAATTAGACTATTGGCGACACAAAGAATTCTGTCAAGCCAAGGGCCAGGGTCTCTGCTCCAAGGAATGAAGTACAGCAAAAATGATCGAGATCGACCCAACGACTGAGCTGGGAGGCTTGACCTGGTTCGCCCGGCTGAGAATACGGCACTGTTTGGAATTATACCGCAAAACTAACCGTCTCCATCTTCCATGCCTTCCTCCCAGGCCTTAATTTTGCCGAGGAGATCCCAAAGAACGAAGTACAGAAGGCACATTTGCAGGCAGTCTCATCCATTGGTGTTTTCCGTGTTGCTATATAGCGAGGGTCAGAGCTACAGTTAGTGCTATGCTAGAGACTGATGTAATTAAGCTATGTTGCTGCTAAGGCTTCTGAAGTTGGCGGAGGAAGGGAGACCGAGGACTTTAGTTATAATCGCGGTGTTGTTTGCGCTAATAGAGAGATTGAATGGGGTTTGGTTGGTGGGGGATGCGTGCCGATCCAAGCTGACTGCGTTAAGGAGGTTTTCCAAGAAGTTGCGCTCTGGGAAGTAGTACGGGACGAAATCTTGAGCATGGTAAGATAATGGGATTTGAAAGGGTCAATGGCACTTGGCTGCTTCGCAGAATCGCAGAAGAGGTGAGGAATGCCTCTTTACAATTTCGCAATTTCGCAATTGAAGCGAAATGAAGCTACGTGCGTTTTGAGTATTTCTAACTTCTATCAGTCTATTCCCGCTGCTGATCTTGTACAGGCTTGGCACCTAATTATTGTAAGCGGAAAGAATACAAAATATAAAAAGCACGTACCGAGAACCCAGCCAATCCCACTCGCAAGACCTCCCGTGACCGCACTAGCAACCATATCCCTCTTCCTAGCCCTATTACTTCTTTCATCCGCACCGCCAATGCTCTCAGAGTCGCTAGCCAATTCCAATGATGAGCGGCTCGGAGAAGCCCTAGCATCGCTTGCTTCTATTATCGAAGCTCCTGGATTGATTCCTCTCAAGGGGAAAGCGCTCTTAGAAAATGCAGCCGCGGCTCCTCGAGCAACATCAAACAAACCCATGGGTGCTTCCTCGACCGCACCGCGTCCAACTTCACGCCGCGGCTGAACCGCGATTGTTTCGTTGGCAAACGCACCCGGAAGTCGACGGTCAGCTAGATCGTTAAACCGTTCTTCTGCTTCTACCTCGTCTGCGAGTAGTCTCGCCATCTCTGCCTCACATTGCTGCCACACGATGAGAACTTCCTCCAGATGAGATAGTGGAGCCAGAAGGAGAGCTTGCGAAAGTAGTTCCATTCGCTGCTCCAATCTCCTTAGATCGGGGTGGGTGGTGGACCCTGTCCATGCTGTTGAGGAGGACATTGGTGAAGATTGATGCCGTCCAGCAAGAAGTGCCGCGCGCCACACATCTTCCACGACATCTTGACCAGTTGACTCATTAGAATCAAAAGAGAATGTAGACGCCACCATTGATACATCTGGGGATACTAACGGCGGTGAGAGGTGATTGACGACGTAGGAATAAGCCGTCTCAAAATCGTCTTGAGCCAGAGCAGCTTCAATAGCCATTCCAATTACACGACGTTTAGCAGCAGCTTTCTTTCCTCCCATCTCGGCAGGATCTAATAGAGAAGAACGTGGCTCTTCATCCATGAGCGTCGATGGCATAGCTACGATAAGATTCTGCCCTATAGATATCAAATCATCGAGATGAGTGTAGCTCCCGTGATTCTGGATAAGCACCTTTGACAACAAGGACAGGGGATTCGCACTGACTCTGATATTGACGGGTTGGAACGGGACGCCGTGTTGCAAAATCAGTGAGTAGAAGGACATGGCGTGGGTTGCAGAGAGAAGTGCCTGGGCTCGTTGAAAGCGGGTTGAATCGGGAAAGTAAGAAATAAAGGTGGCAATAATATCTGAGGCCCTCTTCATCCCTCCTCTTGTGCGGTTGCCATTGCTCGCATTGTCGTAATGGTGCATCGAAGTTTCCAGGATGGCCTTTTCGGCCTCTGAAAGAGGTAATGGCCGGTGCTCGAATGAGTTCTGGATGTAGATTTGAGTCGCTAACCCATAATGGCCACTTTCCAGAAGTGCTTTAAGGATTTCGATCTCAATCACTTGGCTCTCTATGCGCGCGAAGATGCCTTGTCTATTCTCCTGGCTGCTTGCCCCCCAGTTCCACAACCAAAGCAGTCTTGATCTGAACACTTCCCATTCATGAGCGTCTTTCTTTGGGCCACTGCTAAGAGAGTGAAGAATCTTTTTGATGAGCGAGATTTGTTCACCATTGTCATTGCGCAGGTAGAATTTCGCTAAGTCTCTTACCGATACATGATACTCCATGCTAGAGAGTACGCACGCTGAGGAAATGAAGAGCTCAAGAAGACGGATCGACTTTCGGTCGGGTTGCGTAAGGATGTTATTAGGCTCAAGCATATGCTCGTCCTGGAGGGCGGTAGAGGCATATTCGTCGGGAATCAAGGGATTGAGGTCACAAACGGGAAGCGATCCAACGTCCATATTCAAGTCCCTCGGCGTTTCCATGTTGAGAAGAGTAGCTAGCCTCACTAAAACGGAGTGTGCTGTCTGAATAGTCTCCACGCTGCTATTCTCAACCAGGTAGAGGCATGCTAGCGCTGATTGAGCGTATCTTAATTCAAGCTGGCGTTGGCGCTCGTCGTCGATGTACATGTGGCCGTCACCGTATCCTTCCAAGCTTAGATCCTTGGGTCCATCCCAGCCCATAATAGCAGAAGATGCCAAGGCAAAGTCTTCCTTGGCTGTGGACACCAGCCAATCAAAAAGGAACCCCCAATCATCTAGCTCCAGGCTCTGCGGCTCATCAATGGTCCCTCTCAGATGGTGGACATGCAATTCTCGACAATTACGCTCCCTAGCTCCACACATCCACGGGCCCACGACGCCCCGAATGTCTCGAGCAGGGTCCCGTGTGTCGGGGACGGTTCCTCCAGACCGTCGAAGATATAGCAGCTGGCTTTCCACGGCCTTTCTTCCCTTCATCTGTGCGAAAGCCTCGAGCGAAGGGGTCGGATTCTGCGGGTAGTATTCATAGGCAAGCCGAAGCAGAGGCAGAACGGTTGAGATGAACCATGTTCGCAGGTACACGGAACTTTCGAGGAATGGACTGACCAGGTGGGGGACAAGGTCGAGGAGGCCGGTCTCTGCGTCGATCTGATGGGCTCGGTGTAGCAGGAATAACGTCAACGGGTCTAGGGACGACTCGGCCTGGTAAAGAGAGTGTGCGAGAGGCTGTAGATGCAACTTATGCACCCTCCTGCGAGCCTGTGAACCCGAGAGGGTCTTTACCAACGAAACATCCAGGGCCACAGCGGGCTCGTCGTCATGTGTTCGCGACCCTGCCGCAATGTCGTGAATATATCCGGTGTACTGTGAGGGGTCTATGCTTTCGGGCAGATATGTTAAGAGAATGCGGAAGATGAGGGCGGGCTCAAAGGCATCGTGCCTGCGTGAGGTCAATTCCTGTAGAGCCGTGATGTTGGCCTCAGCGGCATAGTGGACGGCAAGGAGAAGGCAGTGTGGCGCCGAGAGCTCTGAAAGCTCCACCATAGCGTCTTGAGCAAGTAGACTCAGTCCGTCATGGCTGCTAGCCGCGAGCTTTGGTACCTGAAGAGGGCGTAGAGCAGCCCTAGTGCTGTGTATCATGTAGAGGTGGCACAAAGTTGACGGGTCGATTATATAAGCGAAACCTGGTGTCGATGCCGATGCCGATGCCGACGCCGGTACCAATCCCAACCCCGATCCCGAAATCGAAATCCACTTTATCTCAACTTCGCCTCAGATTTAACATGGAGACAAAGTCATGGCTTCGCCCGTAATACATGCACTATGCAGTAACCTTGGGATTTGCGACCGGTATTCGGGTATGGAGGGTGGGAGGTGGCTCTAAGAAATTTTCAATGACAACTATTTTTTGGGGACACTTGCACTGCATAGATATTCCTCTTGCTATTCTAACACAGGAGAGTAAATGACGAGTCTCCATTGAATTTCCACCGCGTCCACGAGGGAAGGAGTCGCTGGGGGTACGTACTAACATCTATATCAAGTTTCTATAACCCATATTGAAGACTACAGTGCTAGTGAACGAGATTCAGAGCTGCATATAGATAGAGCATTGTGTGAGTGTCGAGCTTCAAAGGGTGGGCTAGTGTCTGGAATGGCGGATCTGTAAACCCTTCGTTTCAACTCTTGATGTTCACTCCTGGGGTTTATGTGGCCTTTTTCATGATCGTTGTGGGTGATGAGTGAACAGTGGAAGTGCCACCGGCGTGGATGTGTATAGTATGCTTTCAATAGATGGAATTAGGGGATACTGTATTAATACTTACTTCCATCTAGTCCGACTATACTCCAGTGTACTTTCACACGTCCAGTCTCTCCATGCCCACACACGTAGAATTTCAAATCACTATCATCTATTTGTCTCGCTCTCTCCCAACCCTGATCTCCCAACTATCTCCATATCTATGTATACGAATCATACAATGACTGCGCATATATATGCATATACAGAACTGCGCTATTCCCCACCCCACCTACTATTTAATATACAATGAAAGGTAGAATGAGTGTTTGAATGCTCCACAAGCTAACCCTAGAACAGCCACGGCACTTTCTCCCCTTATACTATAACCCACCACAACTCCATCGCTGATGCAGATGAGACTGGAACTCGAACCCAACCAAAAGATGGGATATTTCTCACTTCGCAAAAGGGGAATCATCGCTAGCTTTTCGCTTTCGCACTACGAACTATGACACACGCAACGCAAGCAGGGGATGCACTTCTAGAATGCTGCCCCGGCTTATCCAGAAGAGGACAGAGCATGGGGTAATGCAGCATTCCAGACCCACCACTTCTACAACAAATGCAGACTGTACAACCTTCTCTCCCTCGACCGACTGTGTCCATCCTTCTTTAAGCAAGCGGCGGAATTGTATTCAACAGTCTTGCCATCTCACCTGCTGCAATCTGATTGACACCCATACTCCGGACCTGAGATCCTCGCCGCAGTCTCTGGAGCCCCAGAGCCACTTTCCAGCTCTCGCTGTCATCGATGATGAAGACGTATTTCTTGCCGTCGGGGTCGCGGATCGAGGCGCGGAGGACGTGTCTCTGGTTCCGCTCTCCCGTCTATCACGGTTAGCATCCATCCTACGGTTACTCGTGGATATTAGGGAGAGAACATACCTCAACGAGCTTGAGTGTCCAAGCCTTGATATCCCATTCGCGCTGCGCAACACCGCGGACGTCGTCATCGATGAAGAGACCCTCGGTCGTGACCTTGAGGATAAGTCCATCTGTAACGTTTCCGATACCTGCAACAAGCTGGGCCACCGGCTTCGGAAACAAGTCATTGAAAAGAAAGACGGCCTTGATCTGGATCTTGTCGGGGTCGTTGGTGGAATAAGGACCACGCTGGGACGGAGGGGGTGTTGTTCTTGTAGTGCTCTGGGACGGTGCGTACGATGACTCTGAATAGGCCGACGAGTGAGACGGGGGCTGTGGGGGTCGTTTGGGAGCATCGTATGGTCGGAACGAGTGGGCGTCCTCGGTTCCAAGGTAAGACTTCGCGCTCGGCTTCTCGTACTTTTTCTTCGGAGAACTCGTTGCCGAGACAGTGGCCTTGACTGGAGAAGAGTGTGTCGAAGTTACCGAGGGAGCTGGTGGGCTTCTGACGCCGGCATATGGATCAGTTCGTTCACCTCCGCCGACCCCCCCATATGTTGTCGAGCGACGGCCGTTAGCAGCGGCGGCAGCAGCGGCGAGTTTCTCAGCGGCAGCAAGCTTCTCGGCCTCGGCCTTGAGGCGGGCTTCGCGATCACGTTGGGCGCGCTCCCGCGCAGCCTTCAGACGCTCCAGTCTTTCCGCGTCGGCCTTCTCCTTGGCGGCCTTGGCCTGCGCTGCCTCTCTCTCCAGGGCGGCTTTGGCCTCGGCCACCGCCTTCTCCTCGGCCGCCCGTTTCTGAGCCTCTTCGGCCGCCTTAGCTCTCTGCTCTGCTTCCAGCTTCTCCCGTATCTCCTTCTCGATGCGGGCTCGAGCCTCGGCTTCTCTCTGTTCGCGTTCGCGGGCCTCTTTCTCTCGCTGTTCCCTCTCCCGCTGCAGCCTCTCCTTGGCGATGCGCTCGCGGGCTTCTCGTTCTCGCTGCTCGCGTTCCCGTGCCCGCATCTTCTCCCATTTCTCTTTCTCTGCCTTCGCTCGAGCTTGCCGTTCGGCCTCCTCCTTCTTCTTTTGCTCTTCCTCCCTCCTCCGTTGCGCCTCCTCAGCTCGTTTCTGCTCCTCGTCCCGCTTGCGAGTCTCTTCGCGGGCCTTCTCCCAGTCTGCCTTAGCATGAGGATCGGGCTGAGAGCCGGACCACGAGGACTGTGGTGGAGGTTCATGTTCGTGGGGCGGTGAAGGTGGAGCTCTGTGTTGCTGATGTTGATGTGGGTTGGGAGGTGCGCCCCAGGTCCCTCCTTGACTGCTTTGAGGAGGGGGGCCGCCGGCTCCTGGGAAGCCGCCATTGGGGGGGGACTGAGCCCGCTGATATCCAGATCCCGATGCAGAACCCCCAGCCCCACCTTGTGGGCCACTTCCAGGTCCTCCACCCATGCCACCGAACCCTCCCGGCTGTTGTGCTTTCCCATAGGCCCATCCCGCTAGTCCGACCACGGCAACGAGTAGCACGACGCCATTGCTGCCTGTCGACATACTCGCGGTGACTATGATAAACCACTGCTTGACTGTGGGCTCTATCAACTTCCATACTGCTATGCTGGCGAGGGTGCTAGCAACCCCGGCGATGAAGCTGTTCCGCTGGACCTGCAACGAGGGCAGGTACAGAAAGCCGCCGCCTGCTGAGTGCGGGGGGATGATGAAGATATCGTAGTTGCCAGCGGGCAGGCCTCCACCTGCGGTTGATTTCGGGTTCGTGCCATGGGGCGGCGGTGGCGGAGGAGGACCGTCCATCTCAGGCTTGACTGTGGGAGAAGACGCCCCTCAAGGCTCTCCGATGGGGTTTTGCGAAGTTCAGACAAGTCAATGCAGGTGCGGAGAGGCTGATACTTATGGAGACAAGCAATGTTGGGTCGTGTTCGGCGTGGCGTTTGAGCGTCGGAGAAAAAGCATCGGGCGCTGCGTCCGGGGTGAAAGGGGGGTATGAGGTCCGAGCAAAGTCAACAAAACCGGCGTGTATAACGGCACAGAGTGTTGGTTGACCTAGGTGGTTGTTTTTTACCGCCGTAGGGATGCAAGGGAAGGTATAGAAAAGACTTTTTTGCGGAGGTTTGGGATTAGAGGAGAGAGATGTTTTGGTGTTTACCTGCCCTCACCCGGCGACAGGGATCAAACCCAGGCGTTTTTAGACGGTTTTGCGGCTAGGCGGCTGCACCCGTCTTAACCACTCCCCGTGTCGCCCGTCTCGTTGCAGTCCTGATTTGTTGAGTCTGTTGCAGTGATTCCGTCCGTTTGCTTGTTGTCTGGTAGCGGAGCCATGGATTGAAAGCCTACTTGACGCGGGCTCGAATATCACGCGCTCCGAAATTTCCACTGAATAGCGTCAAGCCGTGAGCATTGCTTTTGGCTGCGACGAGTGATAGGGCGTCACTTCGAGTCAGCAAATGCACGCGGACGCGGCGGTGTGTGATTTGTGGGCTTCGACCAGAAGGGGGCCTGCTAATACGATCCAAGCTGATTCCAACAGCTCGTTCGACTCGGATCAGCATCTTGTGTTGCTGTCCAGAGATGTGGACGCAGATGCAGAATGAATGCCCTTTAAGATTGGCTGCAATTGGCCATCTTCAAAGGTTGTGAAGGAATCTCCACAGTAAATTTCTCACGACAGTCGCGAGCCCTGCAGATTCAGAGCCGCCTGCATGTTTGAGCCATTTGATAGCTTGGCGGGACCTGTCCAATCAGACATGTTCGTGCTCTGCTATCAAAGTGCCTCGTCATCGTCATCAGCGGCCTGAATTCAGGTCTATCAGCTACGACGGGAGATACCCCCGAAGACACTGCCTAGTTGAGATGTGGCGGGTGCCTGTCACAAGAAAACCATTCCATAAGTCAATGCGAACTAGCTTTCTCCTTGCATCCATGTGCAGCTGTTACGGTGAATGCCACCATCCCGACCCGTGACGCGCCCTCCGCACGTCTTGGCAGTCTTGGGTGCTTTCGACGGCAACCTTGGAAGTATGGAGCAATACGAACTCACATCCACGTCGGATATTCGATCATCAACAATGCGTAACGATGCTCTCCACCAACGCACAGTGCGGAAGCTTGATTTCCTCTTACTGCCCTTTCTTGCTCTGCTCTTCTTGTTCAACTCACTCGATAAATCCAACGTGCGCTGCCCCGCCAGTCCTCCCTCTCAGTCAAATGTGCTCACCAGCTTCATAGATAGGAAATGCCGAGTCGGCACACTTCACAGCAGACATCGGCCTGCATAAGGAAGACCTCAATACGGCCGTCGCCCTCTTCTTTACCTTCTTCGTGGCCCTACAGCCCGTCGGCGCCGCTCTTGGACGGCGATATGGTATGGTGCTGTGGGTACCGTCGTGCATGCTCCTCTGGGGGATATCAACGGCACTGCATGTTTGGGTGAGAGCCCGGTGGCAGCTATTCACTCTCCGTATCATCATTGGTTGTCTAGAAGGTGTGTATCCCCGCCCCTTCCCAGGTGCACTTACCCTTCCTCCTCCTACTACTCCCCCGCTAGCCCGCCCGAGGATGGAAGGAGCCTCAGCTCAGCGCGGAAGGAGCAGCTGAACAGTCGCTGGCGACAATCAGTGCCGAAGGAGCTTAAACCACCAACTCACTCACTGCAGCTGGCTTCTACCCCGTCACTGTCTCCTACCTCTCCCTCTTCTATACTCGCTTCGAATTTGGCCGCCGCCTCAGCCTCTTCTACGGCCAAGCTGCTTTCGGAGGAGCGCTGGGTGGCCTGATCAGCTATTTCGTCTTCTCTCGCTTCCCCGAGCAGCGTTTGCAACCTGCTGGGCTGGATCCAGAAGTCAGCACCAGGTGGCAATCATGGCAGGTCTTGTTCCTGCTTGAGGGGGTACTGACAATCGTCACTGCGCTTACGGGATATTTTTGGCTGCCGCACAGTGCCGACACAGCGTGGTTTTTGACTGTCGAGGAGCGCGTGTACGCTTCAGAGCGCATCGCTCGGGACCGCTCCTCTGATCCTGAACTCTCAACTGTTGATGTCGGCGACGACGACGATGAGCCCGTGTTCAATCATGAGTCCCGTAGATTGCTTAATCCCTCTCACCCCACCACCCCTCTGGCTGGGGCCGAAACTCGAGCCATCACTGATGACCGCGGTCTAACGCCGCACGACGTAATCTCTGCTTTTCTCTCTCCAAATATCTGGCACATTTTGGCCTGTAATATTCTCTCTTCAATCCCGGTTTATGCCTTCTCCGTCTTCCTACCTCTAGTGTTGGCTCCACTAACGAAAACCCCCAGTCCAGCTCTAGTCAACCTTCTCACAGCACCTCCGTATATCTGTGGCGCCATTACTTTATATTTCTTCGCGAGCTATAGCGACCGCAAACAGCAGCGAATCGCGCCCGTTCTGGTCGGTTTGACCCTGCTGTTAGTTGGTCTCACGTTTGTAGTAGCCCTGCCTACATCGAGGGCATGGGCTATTCCACGCTATCTGGGACTCAATGTCCTCCTGTCTGGGACCTTCATTGCATCACCCCTGACCGTGGCCTGGATTTCTGGCAATACCCCGTCACCCGGAAAAAGAGCTCTCCTGCTTGGCATCAACGGATGGGGAAATCTCGCTGGAATATTTAGCGCATTACTCTTCCAACCAAAGTATGCGGCGACCGGATATATCTCGCCATTCTGGTGGACCTTGGCTTGTGTTGGGGTTGCAATGGCAGGCTATGTTCTCTTCTGGAGGAATCTGAACGCTGAAAATGAAAGGCGCAGGCAGCTACTGCTTAACTGGAACGCAGAGGAATTAGAGAATGAGAAGCTAAGCGGCACAGGACCATTCAGGAGTGAGAATTGGGTACTGAGTTGGATAACTATAGGTCTAAAGAGGGTTGAGAGTGCACAATGGGCGGTAGAATGGTTGGAAGAAGCTACCGCAGGGGGAAGAGAAGGCGATGACAGGATCACATTCATCTATGGGTTTTAGGATTAAGCCCGCGATGAATTGCACTGACTCCTGATGTATGGCATCAGCATTTCTATGGCGTTCGGTGACTGCCACAGCATATCTTAATCGATATTCAGTGACTATCAGGGCATTTTGGATACTACTCTGGCCTTTGGAGGGTAGGGTGGACAGGCCTGAATTACGCAGCTTGTTAGGGATTTTCTGGCGCTATCGGCTATAAGACATCTAGGTTCTGAGTTATAACCTTTTTGAGGGCTCGAAGGACGACCTCGCTTATGAACTCTAGCTTACCCACCCAAACGGGATGTGACCTTCGTTAGCATTTTGGGGGTACGTTTGACGTGACACCATTTCCCACTTAAAATCCAGTCGCATCCCTTGATGTGTGCCGCTGACTTTCACTACACACTGTAATAACTACTCTACAGTTTCTTAATCTACCTACTGGTTCTTCTATCAACCCGCTCCCCCTCATTCTAAGCCCTGATAATTGCAACCCACCGTATTCTCCTCACTGACACAAACAGCTTCGTAGCCTCACACATCCTCTCACAACTACTGCGCGCCAATCACTCGGTGCGAGCGGTAGTCTGGTCTCTCTCTAAAGCTGATGCTGTAAAGGCTTTATTTGCCTCTTATCCCTCTTCATCTCTTGACTGTCCTGTCGTCCCAGACATGACCATTCCTGGAGCTTTCGATTCAGATTTGCAATCCAATCCGCCGTTTGACATTGTAATGCACACAGCATCACCATTCCTATACAAAACCACAGACGTTGCAACGGATTTCCTCGACCCAGCTATCAAAGGGACGACGGAGATCTTGGAGGGGATTAATCGTGTGGCGGTGGGGAGCGTAACAAGGGTGATTTTGACTAGCAGCTTCGCAGCTGTAGGTGCGTTTGGACAGGTCGATGAGCGGCGAAAGGTGTATATACTGAGGAAGATTGGAATCCGGTGACTTTGGAGGAGGCAGTGAGGAGTGAAGATAAGGGAGTTTGCGTATCGTGCGAGCGAGAAGTTTGCAGAGAAAGCGGAGTGGCAGGAAGTGAAGAAGAAAGGCCCCAAGGAATGGGATTTGGTGGTGTTGAACCCACCCATGGTTTATGGACCTTCGGCTCACAAGGTTGAGAGTATGGATGAACTTAATGAGAGCACCGCGCGGATCTAGAATCTTTTCTTGAGTGAGAAGAATGCCACTGAGACGGAAGTGCCACCGAATAGACTTCCGCTTTATGTGGACGTGAGGGTAGGTATTCACTCTCTATTGGTAGCTTCTTTAGCAAAGAAGGTAGTTAGAGGTAACGAGTTGATAGAGTCATTAGGATCTAGCTCATGCCCACGTCCTCGCTATGGACGCTTCGTCAACATCTAACCAGCGCTTCTTGGTCACTGCAGGGGCGGTGACGAGTCAAGAAATCTCTGACATTTTCCGTAAAGAGGTGCTAGGCACACTGGAAAGACCACCCAAGGGAATCCCCGGAACGAGCACGCTGCTAGAGTGTGCGTTTAGTGCTGATGCGACGAAGGTTAAGACCATGTTACGGCTGGAATTTAGAAGTAAGAAGGAAACATTTGCAAGTCTGGGGATACAGCTGTTGGAAATAGAAGAGAAGAAGGAGGGTGAAGTTTCAAGTGCTAAAGGACAATTTGAATAGACGGGCAAGGGATTTGAGTGCTAGTGTTGATGAGGTGTGTAGGTATTTGGATGGGAAATGTGTAATTGAACGGACTAAGCCGTCAACCCATGTGCGGTATGTATCCAATAAAGGTGACAGTAGAACCCTATTTGTAAATTCCAGGGTCGAATGAACATCCGTAAGCAAGTGTGTGTGGAGCCGTAAGATGTCCATGATTTATTCGCTGATACCTAAGGTACCGATACATATCTTTAACATGGACGTATTTACTTTCTTTCGCACCGATAGATAGCAAGATTACTATGTCTCTTTATCTTGAGCAGTCGGAGCACGCTGTGGAGCTTTAGCAATGTGACGTTCGAACGCGAGCGGCTGGCCATATTTGTAGGAAGAAGTGTCTGTTTCCTCGACCGAAGTTTCCTTTCGCGCTGGGGCATTCTTGTAGTGGCGTGAATCCTGTTGGCGATTATCTAGTTGCTCATCTTAGGGGCGCTTTGAAATGGCAAATCTGAGGATAGATCTTTTAGATTCTACACGGAGCATAGTGGTACTTTGAAAAGAGCTCCGATAGATGAACTCATCCATTACAAGTAAGAGAAACCTCAGTCGTGTTATTATCGGGTTGGGCATGTGTAGTAGAAAAAGAAGAAATGGTGCCTAACACAAGGGATGCGTCAGTTGAACCATTCGTGAAACAAAAAAGAGTGAAAACCCCCACAAGAACAAAAAAGTTGACCTACGCAGGGATCGAACCTGCAATCTCTTGATCTCAGATCTTTGGTCGATCGTAGCCAAGCGCCTTGCCATTTCCCCAGTACCCCTATTTGTTAATTAATGAGAGAACTAAGAATTTTATCGTATATATTCTATATTGGATAGCTGTTAAAAAAGGTTTTTGTGGGAGCTGGGTGACACACAGGAAGCCGGCGCGTGGCTTAGCCGCGCGCTAGAAACACGCCCTTATAATGACCAACCTCGGAAGGTACGCAGGCGCAGGCAACAACCGCACCATCAAACTCATCAGAATGGCAGCGCAGACATGCCCCTCTTACATTTACAGCCAGCTCTATGATAATTTAACAGTGCTCAATATTTATTCGTCATGACTAACACGACACCCTGCTCAACGTTTCCCGCTATCATCGCCCAATTCTCCTCTGAAGACCTTGTGATTGGTGCAGGCGTCGCCATCTTCCACATTGCCTCGCAACGAGTCGTCATTTGCAGTGCTAGAGACCGTTATGGCAGGAAATATTACTTTTTGCCTAAGGGAAGGAGAGACGCAGGAGAGGAGAGCGGCAGAGGCGCCGAACGAGAAGGCTATGAAGAGGTAAATACCTCGGCGAACGTGCCACACCGGGGATGCTGACACAATCTCTATGTTAGTCGGGCTATCGCAACCGCCTGCTTCCTCTGTCCTTAAAGCATCGGCAGCCCCAAGCATACCCACGGGTTCAAACGCCGCCACTCACCGCGGAACCGGTATGGATGCAGATGCTCCCGATGGACTATGGATCAAGGCAGTACATTATATACTGGTACATTGCGGAGACGCTTCCGCCGGACCTTGAGGAAGAGCTAGAGAGAAAGGCTGGCGAAGCGTACAAGCCTCCCCCATCGTTCCCCCACGACCTGAAGCTTCGTGATAGGATCAAGATGGAGCCCAAAGACTACGAACCTATGCACCACGAAGGCACTGGGGTTGATGCAGAAGAGCAGACGTACGAATCGCATTTGCTCCCTGTTGGCGAGGCTGTGGAGAAACTTGGAAAGAATGGCATCATGGCTGATGTTGTGCTAAGGGGGTGGAAAGGGATACAGGAAAGATTCGCGGCGGAAGGATTCGTGGATGACGAGAATGCATAATGAGCTGGTGAAGAGCCTTCATTCTGTTGAGAGCCTTTCTCTCACTCGAAGCTTCTCCAGCGTGATTCTGCCCTCGACAGCCCGGACACGTCACAAAGGAATAGTCATCTTACCATGTCCAATTTCCAGCGGCTGCCAAGGCCTCTCACTGCCCGATTCTAATACGAAAGGTGACATATTTATGCAAAAACCTCAAAGATTGGACTGCTATCGGGCTTGGATATCCCACACATCAGTCCTCGAAGACAGGATCCTTGAAAACAACAAACTCGAAGGACGTGATCTCACTTAACTTTGCAGATGCGACGGTGTGTGGACGATACTTCCTAGTGTGAGATTACGTCTAGGACGAAACACGACACAAGGCTCAGCCTTGGAAGTCAAATGAAATGTCTGTCACAAGATCACCCCCTCTCGTCCGTCCCAGTGCCCATCCGTATTGAAGCCTCTTTAACGAGGTGTCACAATGCAAGATCGAAAGCAAAGGCGATCCCACCCTCATCGTCGATTTCCAAGTTTGTCTCTCTCTTCCCTGTCTGCTTCAATATCAATCCCCTCAATAAAGCCATGCATTGGTCGGCTCGCTTGTCCTGCCAAGCCAGTACTGAGTGCCAGATGGCTATATATTTCCCCCACATTCCTCATCTCCCTAAATTGACTCCACAAACGCACGTCCTCTTCGTTACCCATTGATTTTAACAGGTTTAATCACGTCATCCAGGAAACTGTCATCGTATCCGCGAGCTGGGAGATATCCCTGTCCGAGACTCTGCGCGCGAGGCTTAGAAAAGCCGAAAGTTCTAGCCTTCGCGGCAGAACTGGATAAAAGCGAGGTCTGCCCCATGCTCCTCCTCGTTATTGTCTGCCCTGTTATGCTTTCCCACTAAACGACTTCATTGACTTGGAGGAAGCTTGACAAATACTTGACAAAATCTCCGAATGGTCATAGCTGATGTGGATTGGAGGCTCTTGATGTCGGCTCTTAAGAGATTCACGAGAAACGGTGTACCGTTTTGCAATCAATTCTGCAGCTGTGCACTGCTCCTCGGCGACCGGTTTGGTCCGTGCTTACTCTTGGGAGGTGTATTGACCTGACAAATAGGGTACACCGTCCTATTGTCAACAATAATCATAAGAAGTAGTCAACAATGTATGCAGCCTTTTCTCTGCCGCAGCCTCTCTTCGAGACATCACAATCCTGCGTCAATACGATGCATGGTGTAGTGGTTTCGTCAGGCTCCACTAGTAGGGTCTGCATCGTGGTGTCGACGTGAAAGTCCTACAAGTACGACGACGAATCGTAAGCCCACTCACCTGGCTCCCTCGCTATCAAATGAAGGGCGAATGATACATCTCGGAGTTGACATCCAATTCTATGGGAGATTTGAATCTACGAGCACTTGCATCAACAATGCAGTCATTTTCTCACATGCCCATCCAGCAATATCGCGGTCAAAGATCACCAACTAAATCCGTTTTCCAGGCTCCATGACGCATGGAACCCTTCTGAGAAATGAGATGTCAATCTAACCGGTGGAAGAATAGCTTCTTCGCCGTAATACAAGAGTTGCATCTCGAGGCCTACTGACTGCAAATACCCGCGCCCACGTGGTTGGCTATATCAGGGTACTCGGCGTGACTTCAAAGGTTTGAATCTAGATCAGTGGTTGCATGTCTGGATGCATCGCCGTTTGCAGAGCCCACAGTTTCGCCGCTCGCCACAGGCCCATGCGCCCTCGCTTCCTTTATTTTCATAATAACACAACTGTTATTGATGGTCTGGCCAGATGCACCGGCACGTTATTCTGTGTGGTCAGCGAACACAAAATGCGGGATGACAAGGCAAGACAAGACAAAACAAGACAAGACACACAAGTGATATAGATGAAAGTTACCTTTCTTCGTAATTCTTGGCGTTGAGCTTGAATTTGTGGTCTCCACGGCGAAATTATAGTCAGTATGTTTGCACCAGGTGTGATTGAACATGTACCGTTACTGTGAATGCTGTCACATCACGCTGGCTACGCATTTTCCTTGTCCGCTCTCGAGAACAGAGACTTGCTCACTATTTTCTATCTTTCCTGTTCATGCCTCGTCCATGTCATTGTGCATGGACGGCCAGTGCTTATCAAGTCGTTACATTTAAGGGTACTATCTTGCATCCTACTTTCTTCTGCCAAGCCCAAATAGCACTGTCCCTGGACTTCCCCGAACGCAAGAATCCCAACAAGTGGCAATCATCGTATTCTCATCAGTGATCTTCGTCCAAAGTCCGACGGTGCATGAAGGTTTTCGGACGCGTACCGGGTCTCCACCGGAAATGCAACTGTGCAGCAACACTAAGACCCACGCTCTTGCCGCCTAACGTGGAGCAAGACAGAGAGTAGTACAGAACAGAAATCTGCATCTTGTTGACTTCCTCATTAATTCCAAGAGGAGACTTAATAGATTAATACCTCTCTCATCAAATCCCGTGTTACATAATAATGCAGTGTAGGATACGCGTCGACCATCTCTTCGAGCTATTTAAGTATCATTAGATAGAGGCAAACAGCTTTAGAAACAGATGAGAGGGCTAAGAAACATCGATAACCTTATGTGCCTGCCCACAGCCCGAAGATTTCCGAATCGTGAACGGAGCAGAGAGGACGGTTCTCGTGGACAATTGAAGCATCGGATTTGGGGCTTATTTTGAGACATGATGGTTTGGACCAGATGTTAGCGCCAACCTTGAACATGCGCAGTCAGATATGGACGGCTAGGAATGCCACATGAATTCAAATCGAAGCAGTCGTGTAGCACTGCCACTTCCCGTAGAACATACAAGGAACTTGGAAATCCTACTGATTAACTTATGGTACATTCACAACAGTTCTTTACTCATAATTCGAGCCATGCACTTGCGCAGTTTGTACTAAAAGTCACGGCGATCTTAGGGCTGACACCGTATTGACTGAAAACTGGTCGTTCTGCTGATTAACGAGAAATCCCTGAGTGCCCCACTGGAGGCAAAAAATGGCGATACAAACGTCAAAAATGCGAAAAGTCATGATATGAAAAGGGGTCTTTACCAATAGTAGGTGATGAGGTGATAATGTAGAAACCTGAAATGTGAATACTCGGGGCGCTTTTGGTCGATTGTCCGAGGGCTGTATTAGCGAGCATGTTTCACTCTCACATGACAGTGTTGATTGGTACCTCACAGATAGACAATCGGGCAGACAATATATTCACTACAGCTATATGGTGCGAGCAGTGGTAACTGTTCCTGGCTTGGATTTGCTGTGTTTCCTCCTAAATCCGAAGACGAAACTGGTGTCTCGGGAATGTGTACATACATATGATACCGGATGCCACCGAAACGCCAACACAATCATGAATTGAAAATCTTCGAATTAGGTTTCGCAGACTGATGTGATGGAAATGAACCATATTCTATCTATGGCGAAGGGAGAAGCTTCCCCTAATTTTAATTTGCGTTGACGCGGAGAGACCAAAATGTTCGAATATGGGTGATCGTTTGATCGATCAAAGGAAGGGTCAGAAGTTTTTACAAGAAAGCAAATAAAGAAACGGAGATTGAGACCCTCATTAAACCTTAGCGAGATGGAGGGTACATGACAGGTATGTAGAGCTTGATTCTTGTGAACACGTGGATCCATCACAAGAAGAAAACCACATTGCTAAAAGTCCAAGGGTAGGTGTCTCGAGGGAACCGTGACAGGACGTGGCAGGTAGATAGAAGAAGCAGGCTGAATACTCAGTTATTGAGACACATGTGTGCATGCTTTACCACGAGAAAGATTCCTCGCGGAAGTCAACATTCCATTTGCTCTCGCGATTGCGCACCGCGCGACGCAGATCATCGGCCAGTGAGCCCGTTCCACAAACGCTGACACAGGCAGCGCCCACGCCCTCCTGCATCTCCTGGTCTACCAAGGCCTGAACGTTGGGCTTGCCAGGGAACATTTGGACGCTAGAGCTGGGAGAGTGGATTTCTTTCGTGCTCCTTGGTCGAGTGACAAAGAGGAGGATCTTAAGAATTTCACGACGGCGAGGCATGGACAGAATCTGGGTCATCCAAGAACGAATCCATTCAAGGTGTTCCGGAGATTGGATGATCCAGACGAGTGTTAGGCGGCGGGTGGCAGTGGTCCCGTTGGCGTATTTGGCGACAAGGTCCCGCACGTGAGGAACTTGGTGGGTTATACCAATACCGGCAGCCCAGAGCATTACTGTGCCATAGGAAGTGAGATTTTCGCCACCTGCAATATGAGGTTAGTGGTGTTGCTACTCGGATCTTATTTTTAATCTAACAATAAAGTGCAAGCCGGGGAAACAAGCTTCGGCACTTACCATAAGGACCTTCGACAAATGCCGTAGTCGTAAATTTGCCGGCAGCGGAGAGATCAGCCTTCTTATAGAGCTTCTCGGTGAAACCGGTCCTGCGGCGAACAATAAATGACATGCTGGTCTTGTGCATCTCCAAAATATCTTGGCGACTCATTGGAAGGCCCTTTTCATCGGCTACCATGGTCGAGATGTTGAGATCTTCTTCTTCTTCACTCCAGGCCAATGAGAAGGGGTGATTGGTCCAGAGTCCGACAGTTGGCAAGTACAGATATGCATGCTGACCAGGGCGGAATCTCCAGGGGCGAGCCATGCGAACTGTGACACGGAGTGCATCGCCTGGCAGCACTTCAACATCAGCCTTAGTGCCACCACTTCCGATATTTCGGATGACAAGTCGGACAAGACGATATGTGCGCTGCGGCCCGATTAGCATCCACTTTATTTTTTCTAAAATACTTCGAAACCTACTTCAAAGGCCCATAAGGCGACTACTCCGTAGAGCAAGTATTGCTGGGGTCGTTGCTTGAGATGAACCCACACAGCACCCACTGCAGTGGCCGCCGCAATAAAGTGGAAGTGCAAGAAAGTTTCGTACCACGCATGGCGGACAGCAGAAGGCGATTGGATAAGAAGAAACACGAAGCACACGGTGCCCTGGATTAGATTTGTTAGCTCTGTTCGCATGCCTTCTTCCTTGACTCGAGAACTCACAATAAAGCCAGTCATGATGAATTCAGATCCTGTAATGGATGCTTGAAGAGCAGGCCAACCCTCTGAGTGTTTGTTAGTCTCATAATATATATACTATGTTTTTGAAGTGCCTTACTGGTATGCACCTTGCTGGCAAAATATGCAGCGGTATGAGCAACAGATTCGAGAACCACAATGCGGCCAAACCAACGGTGGATCAGATTCATCGTATCGAAGGAGATGCCGCAAAATGTTATGAATGGATTGTTTCGTCCAGCGAGCAAGAACAATGGAATCATGTTGACGACAGCCATGACACCGGTACGGTTGCGGAACTCGCCGGCAACTGCAGAATACTGGCCATTCCAATCAATGCTCCAGACACAGAAACCCACATTGGTACTGAAGTACCCAACGAGAAGAAGAGTCTGCAGACGGCTGGGTAACGTGCCAATGTTGATAGCGGTTGATAACTTGAATTCGCGGTGATGTCGGGTCCGGAAAAGCGGAGCATCCAGTAGATGCTTCTTGAAACGGGCGAAAAGAACATGAGGAGCAGCGAAGTACTTCTGGGTGTCGTTGTTGAGGCAGGCTACTGTTCGAACGTAACGGACGAAGTGGAAGGCGATTTGGTATATGATGAAGACGGACACGAAGGCTACCCAGATATAGCCAAGAAAGTGCTCGACGTCGATGTTTTCAAAATCGGCTGAGGTTGGACCTTCGGCATGGCCTCCTCCTCCGCCACTTTTAGCACCAGCTCCACCTCCTCCAGCATTGGCATTGGCTTGGGCAGCTGCCATGGTGACGGCAGAGAGAAAACAGGTACAACGAAGACTGTTAGTAAGCATAGCCCAGAGAGAAGACTAGACGTGGTCTACACAGAAAGGTGGCCGGCAAGATGCTCTTTATGGACCAAGGGTAAGTGCTTGTGCACTAGCAGGCGTGGGCTTGACAAATATGTCGAGAGCAGTATCTGCCTTGACCAGCAAAAGACAGATCTAGGAACGGGGCCTGCCGCCAACTAGCGAATTTGAGATGAGCAGCAGGGTGGGCGCGGGGGACCAGGGCGTGTTAGCGGGTGAAGTTCGATGTGTTGTGACCACGCCCACTTTGGCAAATCGGAACGCTGGGGTGACGGGGGTTGAGATATGGAATACAAGGAGGGTATGCAATGGATCCGGCCAGCTGAGGTAGGACAGACTCGGCGAGTTTAATCTGGACAGTACGCAAGGGGAAGGCCACAGGCGCTGCGCAGGTGACCCGGGGGACAAAAAGGCAGGAAAAAAAGGGATGCAACGATAGGCCGTCCAGGGAAGTCCTCCACAGGGGTTAGAATTGAATTGAGTAGCCGGGCGAACGAGGCTCGATGGGGAGCAGGAGCAACACGAAGGGAATATAGGCGGCAAAAGAGCGACTTGGGCGAGGAGAGGCGTTGTGGATAAGAAGAGAGGCGTTGTGGATAAGAAGAGAGAGAAAGTGGGTTGTGGAAGGGAGTCGTGGTAGTTTGATTGTCGCAGGCCTTCAACACTGCATTGCCCTGCAAATGTGCCGCCGATGCCCTGCCAGTGCCCTGCCATTTGCGGGAGGCGTTGGCGTCAAATTGGCGGCCCAAGGCAGTCCCCACAAGGATCCAAGCAGCCCTTCCGCTGTGCTTTTACAGGCTGCCATTGGGGCTCGCGGGCGCTCACGGACTCTCTGAAACGCTCGAACCGCAGCCACTGGGCGTCCTCTACTGGGCTTTCGCCACGGCAGCCAGCGGCGTTTCAAAAACTCCGAGGTGCCTCCTTCATCACCGCCAGTAAATTTCCATTGAACGCGTCATATTGTGGCAACGATAGCTTTTCGAAGTGCCTGTTTGCCCGCTACAGGTGCTCCACAGGTGCTCCATAGGTAAAACAACAGCCATTGCCGTCCACTTTTTCTGCGACTCGCGCCCGATAGCCTCCCATTATCGAACGGCCCCTCAACACCACTTGTGGACCCATTCCCCCCTCGCAGCAAGAGTCTGCCATGCCCATGCCTTCGCAATTCCGCTTCAATCAATCTGCAGTGCACCCCCGGGGCCGACGGGCAACACAGGTGATTGCAGCCTGTACGGCCCGAGGTGCAGTCGGCGCCGTTCCGACTTATCTGCGGTCTCCCCTATCTTCAAGCCATGATTCAAACCTCACATCAACTACTGCCATAGCCCCGATGTGTATCCATCGGCTATCTGAGTCCCCCATCCATCGAGTCAGGTCGAGACGACGCCTTGGCCCTGAGCATGGACTTGAAACGGGCAGAGACGCCTTCTGCCGATCCGCGTCATGCAGTGAAGCTTTCCACGTGTACCAAGCCACCGTTTAGTCGTCACGAATTCCCTTCCTTTTCATGCGCAAAAGCTTCTCTCGTCTATCTCCTGTGCTGCTCTGTTTACCCGGCGTCCCAGTCTCTGGATGTCGTGGAACGGCCTAGCCTACAGTCGCTGGCGCGCGCTGCCACACTCACCGATGTGCGCCCACGCCCCAGAGTGTTGTACGACAAACAAGTCCCGTTTGGGATATTTTGTCTGTCGGCTGACAGCCAAGCAGTCTGTCGTCAGAGAAACAAAAGGTGGATTGACAAGCAAAGCTAGCGATGCAGAGGCATATGGAACGAGGTCGCTAGTGCGACAGAAGTTGAAAGCATGAAAACATCATTCACCTTCGTCACCACCAGACCCATTTGGAAGTCGTAGTGAAGTCTTGGATGCATTTCCTGTTTCCAAGAAACCTGCTTTCACATCATGAACTCAGGCAACTTTGGATTGCATACGTATGAATCTGGAGGCAGGGCGATACTTACGTCGCTTGCACCACCTCGTCATCCTCGCGGTGTTTGTCCACGAATGCTCCTTCTATGCCACTCCTTGGTTGGTGGTGACTCGTACCTCCTATTGGTGTTAATTCCCCTCCGCTCTCGCTTTGTTGGGCAAATTTTTTGCCTTAGTGACCTAAGGGTCAAACCAGGAGACTTACTGCATAACTAGGTAACTTCTGGATCATTCGATCCTGAAAGCGCCCGAGCTTACTGTTTTCGTTGCTATAGGTAGGCACCGAGTATTGTAATGCTGCAGCGAGCTTTGCGCCTCGCATTTAATATTTTCTTGTCTCTTTTCCGCACTATCTCGCCGTCGTACGACTCGTAAAAAGATTTCTCAAATTTCCCCATCTCCCCAAGTCCAGGACTTTGGCGAGATTTAATTAGCCTTGCGCACCCGCATCTGCATCTTAACGACCTTGCACTGCAGCTCAAGATGAGCTTAACCATCGAATCTGGGGTCAAATTTATCCTCGTTGCTGGAACGGTGCTACCTCACCCCGGACCCTGACCTGTCATGCCTCCTTGGCCACACGTGATGCGTATTCGTGTCATCAGAGCAACGCATTTCTAACCGAATTCAGAACTGCACGATGCCTCTCATCTGAAGCCGCGGATCACTCTACTTATGAGGGCATTACCAACTACCATTTACAGTATAGCAGGGTAAAAAGTAAGACGACCGGTGCTGCTCTGTGGATCGTGCAATGGCTGACAGGGTGTTGGCGAATTTGTTTCATGCACTGAGGAACATCTCACCACCAGAAAGGCAAGAGCCCCCACAAAACTCGCCGACAAATAAACACGCCGGGGGAATATCACAGGCCATACATCCCTGCGTGAAGGAAGGTGACCAACATCACCTCCCAATGCCTAGGAACTGGTTTCTCAAACTCCCTGTGCAAGCGGCTGGGTTGATAAGGCGCGCAACTTGCCCAGCAATCCTTCTAGTCTGACACCTACCTGCTGGATTCGACAACGTCCTCCAATTCTGAATTAAAAGGAGTCACTGATAAAGAACGGGAGTAGGGGGGAATTTGGCGATGGGGCGGCAGCGATACGCACGCAGCAGATTGCGAGGTCGAAATTGACTGCGAAGCTCAAATTTCCTTGCCGTATTTTTCCCGTTTCAATGATAGTTTCCGCATGAGGCGCTCGCGAATCAGAAGTGGCGCATTGCTAATCTGAGCCACATGCAGCCATCAACAGGTTATGATCATCCTCCTTGCTGGCGAGCAACAATGGAGGCTGCAAGATATCAGCGGAATGAATTGCTACTCGCTGGCAAGTCGCAAAGTCTATTCCCACGTCATCCCCTACGCACTGCGATGGGATTTGCGCAGCGTAAACACCATGGCGAGGAAAATGCGTAGTTCGACTGCTTGCAACCGCATTTTATCTGATAAGGTGATTATCAGTGATTATCAGTTGAACTTTTCCCAACGATTATCTTCATTCGTTTTAAGATACTTATTCGTGTTCATTAATTACTTTGCAGGCTTAACCTCATTTACATTTGCCCACCGCAGATACATTTCTAGGAGCTTCTCGAAGGCTTATCGAAGAGTGCCCAAACTGACAGTTCACGTGATCTAGAGGGGTGGTATTATTCCGACATGGGGTTAGTTCCGCGCGAAGCTCGCCGACTCGCCGACGTCCAAGCTTGTTTGTCAACACACCGTGGACTACGCCATTCCCACAGTTTCGACATGCCTTTTTGATTCTTCTTGGAGAGACACACCCCATCAATTAGTCTTCATTGTTGAGTATACTTAATTTTGGATATGTCTACAGACGAAAATCTACCATGGACCACTTCCCGCTGCAATCGACTTCTTCGTCCCATCTCCTCCCGCCTCACCACCCTGCGCAAAGAACTCGACAGGCGGCGACAGGCACTTGGAGAAGCGCCCAATGCATCCAATGCCCTATCCCAAACTCCTCCGAGCAAGCCTAACTCGTCCCAGGGCAAGCGCGCAAAACTCCGAGGCTTCGACAAGACAATGGACCCCGACTGGGCGCCGGGCGCAAATTCAGGGGGCGCAAGCAAAAAGACGTACCGCCGAAGGGGTTCGAAGAAGCCGATTTCAGTACAACAAACAGCCTCGGAGAATGCTATTTTCAGGCGACCTGGCGAGATTGCGCTGGCCACTCCGTTCATTGCTAGGACGAGGCAAAGACTCCAAGACAGTCCTTACGTGCATGGTTCGCCGCTGAAAAATGCCACCAAAAAGAGGGGACCGCTTATCGCAAAGGTGGAGCAGCTACAGCTTCTCAAGGCCCAGATGACACCTACGATATGGAAGCTGGTTAATGGCTTGTTTGATGCATATGCAAACCTGCTAGAGGCCACCAAAGTGGACGAGAGGAAAACGAGGAAAGGAACAAGGTCCCTCATGGCTACCTGCCTCCAAGAAATGCCGAAATATATCGCCCTAGAAGTACATTTTGTACAGCTCGAGGAGGAGGAAGCTGGCGAGAATGAAGAACGAGATGTCTCGGCCGAAGTGTATACCTGGCTCGAGGAACAATTCGGAACCCATACTGGGCAAGGCTGGCGACACCTTCGGCAGATAGTTCGAGCTCATGGTACTGCACTCATGTGCGATGCATTTGAGGATCAACTTCTCGGCCTAGAGATGTTAGAGGCTGTTGTGTCGCTTTGCATGAAAGTCTCGGCATGGGACGAGATTGAGAAATTCATGTGGACCTTTTTACCCTTCTTGAAACCATTACCAATTCCGGTCAATGTTCAGTCTGATCTCTTCGGTCGACAGACATCCGTCTATATGAACATTGTCAACAAATTCGTCGCCATGACGCAGCGACACCAATTCCTCTACGATCAGCTAGAGTACATGGTCTCTCAAGAGCTTCTTCCTGTTGAGTGGCTCGCTACCGTACGAATGGGGCCAATCTGGAGCAGGATTGTGTCCATCTTGTCTGATGGAGACCACCGGACTTATGCCAATGCCTTCCATCTTCTTGAGACTGCGGTCTGTATTGGTGTGGGCCTTCCAGATGACAGTGTATTAGATTTCGAAGGCATTGGTACGTTGTGCAAATCAGCAAAGGTGTCCTCTAGCAGTGCCCTTCGAGAAGCACTGGATACGACTTTCTCAAGCCTCTTTACACTGTTGGCTGGGATCACACTTGCGCGCCGTGCTGAAAGGCAAAAAGTCGAGGAAATTGCTGTTCACGAAGTCACCTGGGTGCTAGATTCCCTTGCTGTTGGCTTGTTAAAGAGAAAAAGCATCATGGACGAACTAGAGCGACGTTCACCGGACGAGGATCGTTTGCGGGCTTATGCTAAACGGGCTCTGTGGTCGCTTGCTGCGCCATTTTTAATACATCTAGAAGGATCTCTATCTCAGCCAGGCATGACACCTATAAATCATTCAATGCTTGTCAGGAGTTTCCACTGGCTGGTCTCACAGTACTCATTGGACGATATCAACGTGTATCCCATTCTCGAGACACTCCCGACATTCATATCATCGATAGCCCGGTGCTCAGGCAGACCTCGGAAGCACGACGGATTTGATGAACTCCAACGATTAGTCGATGGCATGTTGTCCAAGAAGAGTCTTCAGTCTCCACACAAGTCATGGAGTTTGCAACGGCTGGCGCTGGATTCTGCACTGGAGTTTGCTCACAGCACTGGTGATCCACAACACATAGCTTATGTTCGCCGGGTCGAGACATCGCTAACCAGGAAGGGTCGTGTTATGCTAAACTCGTCAAACCCCTCGAATCATTCACCGTCCTCTCGAGCCGGGTTTCATTGGGAAGAAGGCATTGGCGAGTGGGTGGCTTGCACGCCGTTCGCAAGGCAAGCGGCTCAGCCAGTGGCAAAGAGCCCGATGTACCCTCTCGAACTATTACCAACACTCACGCCTTCGGATAATGAGTCCGAGGGCGATGGTGTAAGTTGTCCGACGGATGACAAAGCGTTAGAGCGTCAACTACACGACGGATCTCTCCTCGATCATGGCAAAACACTTGACGGCGATACATCACCGCATCTCTCTCCTATCATGCAGCTCATATACCCTGAGCCAGTAAAATTCCAGCGTAAACGACTCCTCGCAGTTATGATCGTACCGAGACACGCAACTTCGTCGCCATCGAAGCGACTACGCTTATCTTCCGGCTCTTCTACCCTCCACACCCTGTCCACTTTGCAACGGCGAGGATCGCAACGTACGCTGAAGCAACTCGGCGTCCTCACCCCCGAGTCGTCCGACCTCCAAAATACATCAACCTTTGTCTCTCAGCCGCGACGATCCCACCACACAAAGCTGCTCGCACGCACAACTGTCCATAAAAAGCGTGTCACACCAGCTCCAGCATCAGTTCAGAACGAATATCAACAGCGCGAGAACAAGGGCAACAACAGTATTACCGTCGCCGACGATAGTGATAGCAGCATCAATCTCGACGACGTTGACGAGCTTGCAAATACGTCGAAGAAGAGGAATCACAAGTGGGCCGAGCGGATAGAGAGGAAGAAGAAGCCGAGGCAGGATTGGTGGGTTCCACAAACCATGCAAATTGGGGGTGAGAGTGAGGATGAGTTGAGCTTTCAATAGAGCAGGTGACAACGATTTGCTTTGGAAGGATATTTACCCCCTAAGGTTATTTCTGGAAGAGGGAGGGGAGTTGCTTGACTTGGAGATTTTCATCAATGATGCTAGTTTCTCTGGCCCCTGGAATGAATGATACCCTGATACCCTTAGTGTCAATGAATAGTTGATAGCAATGTCATGATGGTGTCTGATAATTTATGGTATGTTGTCACCACACGCGGAATATGACTATAGTGATTCAAGACAAAGGGTTGCGTCTTATTAGCCTTCTATATTTTCCCATGGGGTTTTGACAGATGAATTCTACGCGTATCATGTTCGATGTCTTCGATGGTGTACGGTTGGACGTGACGCCTTTCTGTAATTGATGTTCATGGGTCAACTTCCTTAGATACAGGACCTGTAATGTCTTCTAAATGTCTTGCAAGCAGCGAGGTCTTACCTACTTGTTATCTCGCTATGGCTTCGCATTTTAATTGAGTTTAAGATTTAGATTGGCCTGGCTGCGGACCACTCCAAGCACCTAGCCAGTGTCCTGATTTGGGATCCATCCGGAAACGAAGCTCCCGACAAGTGGAGGTCGGGTTGATCCCTCCCGCCTCGCTACAACCTCGTTGAGCATCGCCAACAACAAAAGCCTGTCGAACAAGACTCTTGTACATAGAGGTGAATCAATTCTTAAACAGATCCTACCACCTGATGGGGAATATACAAACCAAATACTCTTAATTATCTTAAAATCTATTTACAACCAGTACTAAATTTACATTCACTCTAAATCAGAAGCAACCAAACAACACCTTCTTACTATTCAGCAAGGCCCCACCTGATATTAGGAAGGATTAGTAGAAGGCTCTCCACAATTCACCTCCTACCGGGGGGGGCAGACCCGTGCGGGCTTAGCACGCTCCCATTCCGCTTCAGACTCCCGTACCTGTACCTACTAACTCTCTACTCTAGTAATTCTGTAATACAGCGTTTCTTTCAGTCCTCGACACGGAGTCCCTTACAGATGCCCAGGTAGCCGAAGACACAGAGGGGGCTTATAGACTCGGGATGGGCTTAGGGCAGCAACGACTAGTAAAGGGCGAAAGCCTACCTCCGAGGGCAGATGCGACGACAGGAGCTGGCCTGCGCCCCCGCTATTCGGTAACTTTCAAGCTGCGAAGGTGAGCGAAGCCATGCTGTAATTATGCGTATCATTGGTGGGGCAAAACATGGTTCGTCAAGGGGAAATTGGGGGCGTCTGCAAACCAGTGATCATTGCAGCCCCCGCGTTACCGATCTAGGATTGATATCATCGGAGGCACTGACTGTGTTTTTGGATGTACCCGCAGCCTCGTTGCCGGCGAGGCTCCCCTTGAAGTGGAGTCAGTTGTCTTTCTCCGGTTTGGTGAGCTTCACATTGGTTTTTACCGTCGAAAACTTTCCACAGCCTCACCATCCTTCACCCTCCCTCATTCCCTTACATATCTTGGGCAAGTTTAGTCCCTGAGCCTTGCAGTTACCGTCCACGGGTCATCTTCGTCAGCCTTTGCAACGTCTGACGCTACGTGTTTCTCCTTCCATTCTCCCTTTCCGTCTATGCTGAGTTGATCTTGGAACATTTGCCCTCCTCACGCCGATGCCTCTGGTCTGAATGGCTGAGTAGCAGACTCCATATAAGTTGGCCTCTGCATGCCTAGCGTCAAGTTTACCACATTACGAACGTTAAATACGTTCAACAATGGGCTTCATCCTGTCTTCTAGACGATATCGCCCTTTGGCATATTATTCAGCTAACCCAACGAAGTCTCGGCCCACCGACGAGTATAAGAACCCTCTCGGACTTTAACATGGAGGACGTCTACTTCAATCCCGCAGACATAGACCCATACTCGCATTTCGCTTCCTCTCCAATACCACATGGGGATTTTGATCCAGGCCCCATCAACCCCAATTTCGACGCTTCGTAGTCGAGTCTTCAGAGCGTAGATTACCATCAAGAAACATCCCCGGCATCTGAGGAAATCTCATCCGCAAGTGCGTCCTCTACCAACACAAGTTATAATGATTTCGAAAGTAGAGATTCTGTACGCTCCATAATAGATCCCCGATGGTTACCTACTCAACTTCTTCAGTTCCTAGATGGCTCTTCTCCAAGTCCGGTGTACGATACTACACCAGACTCTCCAGCGCAACATATTCCAGATTTGAAGTCTCATTCCGGCCGTGATGCGAGTTCAAACCCGCAGCCAATTTTCCTAGCGGCCTCCCCTATACTTACGGCTCCTGAACCATTCACATGCCCTGAACCGTGTCACAAGAGAACATTTGGACGCCAATACGAACTTAATCGACACATGAGCGAACAACGCCGATTTCCTCATGAGGGCTGCAAAGATGTTTGTTTGCCTCGCCGAAAGGACAAAGTTGAACACGAGAAACAGCATAGTGAAACTGGACTGGGGTATAGATGCGGAACTTGTGAGCTGAATGGACTGCCTCCGAAAGGTATCAGGCGACGCGAGAAACTAAGAAAGCATATCAAAAACTCTCACAAAACATCAAACGACTTAATTAGATGCACAGAAAAGCTTTGCTACCTAGGAGAGTCTTGTGGGGGAATATTTTCAACTTCTAAGGATCGGTTGGATGAGCGCAGCCGACGCGAGCATTCTCCTCAATAGACAACAATGCACGGATCGAATCATGGTGAGATAATGGCATCCTTGAAAGACCGTTTCCTTCTATAATAGCATGAGTTGAATCTAAAGCCCTCGTCTAGGGTCAATCTATCCGCGATCAGATTCGTACATCCACGAGGCCGGGAATGTTGGGAAGCGGCCACTTGACCAAACCCTGGAATCTGAATCGAAGCGAGGGAAGGTTGTAAATGGCAATTTTGGCACGCATCTTTACGTTTCAGAGTAAATATGACATGTCCGATATTATTTGCTAACATGAGATCAGGTTCAGCTCTGCCACCACGGCCACAAGCCATCCAAATGTCCAATTTGTCGAAAATCACTGCCGAACCTCTCCAAAGCTCGACCAGCTCCTCTAGAAAGCATAATTTGACTTGTCTGGCACCACGCAACCTTGCCTGAGCGGTAACGAGACCTCGAATCTGACCTCGCAAATTTCCACAGTGCAAATAGAGGAGACGTTGGCTTTCTTAGTCTTTGAGCACATTCTCACGAAATAGCACGGTATGAAATGTTTCCCCATTGCAATGGAGATGCTAACAGGGCCTTGTCTCAGAATTCAAATCTGTACTGGCAAAATCGAAGTCACTGGATATCCCTCCCACCCTTGACAGCAGACATGTAGCCATTAAGTTGCGGGGCTCATGCTCAGCAGTCGAAATGGAGAAGGGAAAGGCCCTCTTAAAGAAACTGATGGAAAAGGCCACACCTCCATGTCTACGAAAGGACGACATGAGTGCACCAGTACATCCTAAAACTAGGGCCGGCTTTCAACAGCAAGTGTCGATCCACTTGCAACCTGAGATACTTCCCCTGGACCCGGTAGCAGATGCAGAGTCCTTAAGAACATGGAATAAATGCCTTCTTCCTGCATTACCGGGAATCTTTAAGGGCGTGTCGGTCGGAGGCAGTTACTCTGCTCCCTCGTTCTCCAGAGTGGAGATCGCGGCGGCTGCCCGATCATTCGATTCCACAGTTCGGACAATCAGGACGACGTTTCACGGCAAATCATCCGACAAAACCTAAAGGAAATATGTGAACAGAGCCATATACCAGCGCTACAAATCCAATTTTCGCGAGGTACTTTAGTGTGCCTAGTAGGAGAAAATTCGAACCTGTCTGTTAAGGATGATCCTTCTAACGACCGGATGCCTTTCCCTCATCAGCGCCGACCCGTCAAGCGCCTGGAATGGGGGATTCAATTGGAATGAGTGGATGTCGTCATGTTTCTGCGACACTTGGCGGATACGTTTGCATATACGGAAGGAAATACATACTCTCTGTCGACCATTTCATCTATCCGCCCTCCGATGCTAGTGTGAGAAAGCCAATCGATTGAGCTCGCCATCGGTTGGTGATCTTGAAGACATCAGACACCAGGTGGAGAGAAAGTTGCACGAGCTCGACCTAAAAATCTGGCATTCTGCTCCACATGAGATACCGCTCAATCGCGCTGGGGAAATTCTGTTTCCTTTTCAGACTAACGAAGCGTTGGAGCATTACCATAGTTTTGAAAGAGAGCTGAAAAAAGAAGATCAGGAGTTTGCGCTGGGAATCGTAAGGTACCGTTGCGAGCAGAATTCCCTAAGGCCATCGATAAAGCCTCTTTCCCAAGCGTTCCATAGAATGGACTGGTCACTTTCCGAGGTCACAAACGATGACAGGCAAAGCAAAAACGTACACAAACGCCGCTGCGTTGTGGAGCCGAATATCGATGATCTCAGCAACGGGGTCACCGAACCTGAAGGTTCCGGAATACCCTGTGAATTGACCAGTGATGTGAGGGGCGGGGAGAGTGCCTTTTACGTTGGACAGGCAAGCAGGCTAAGGGAAGGCTGGATTCACCTTGCGCCCGCCCAAGTTGCAATTAAAGGTAGAATTTCCTACGAATGGGCCACGGCAGTCCCCGGCTGTGAGAGGCTTGGCCTAGTAGCTTTCGGGGGAGATTCTGGTGCTTTGATCCTTAGTAGCGATAACAAGCTGCTGGGGCTGCTATGGGGTAGGGACAATGGCTTGATTCTGCTTACCCCCACTCAAGACGTCTTTGCAGACATCAAACGGAGAATAAAGTGTCACTAGGTCAAACTTCCAGAGTATTCACCTGAGTATTCCTCAGTGTCTCCACCAGACTATCAAAATCCTTCCTTGCTCTGCCGCAGGAACTTCGCCTTCTCTAGACCGTCTACTCCGGACAAGCAACTCACATTTACCGGGCTGTCAACGCTACAAGACGCAAACCAGCTCCCCTCGAGATAGGAGAAAAAATGGCTCCTAGGAACGGCCGCCGCACCAGACGAAGTTGAAGCAGACGACCCTCCAAAGATGGCACCGCTAGCAGCAGCAGCAGTAGCAGCGATCGATCTCCATCTCCGGTTCCCAGCCTGGCTTCTTCAGTGTCCTTCATGTCGGGCGAGCCCAGTCCTGACATTTCCACGATCCGTCGCCCGTCTAAGCTAATGGAGCAGGCACATCCGACGAAGCCCCTTGTCCTTCGGCCAAAGTCTCAAACGATCCAAAACTGCCCCTTGTCCGATGATGTCGATGCTGAGTGGCAGGTTATTCGGCGAGACGAAGCTGCCCCCGAGGGGACACCATATTCGTGGGGATTGGATCCCCACCTTCAGCATCGTCCAAACTTTGTCGCTGCATGAGGCGGTGGCATGGGCATCATTCAAATTCCAGAAGACTAATCTCGTTATCCGAGCATCATAACTACGAACCCAACAAACACCCTAACCCTTGGGAACTTTATACGTTTGTCAAATTGGACCCTCTCCTGTACCCTCCATTCTTTCTCTCCCGAATCGTCCCTTTCACTTCCCGTTCAGATTCACGTCTGTCCATCTATTATCATATACCTACGATCTGGAAGAACAGCGCCCCACGTTGCCAAAACATTCGCTCGGACTGCTGTGGAAGCCATTTCTTCGAAACACGTCAGGACTTTTCATATTAGAAATTACCTTGATCTTTTCCTTATTCCCCAAGGCAACCTCATCAATGCATTGTTGTTAGATGAAATTGTACGTTCATTCGCAATAAAATTGGTATATCCGAAGTCTAGCAAGACTAGATTTAATTTTGCAAACGGTGGCTTTTACGAGCCATTCGACATTTCAGCATCGATAGTCTACCTATGAGGTGGTCACGGCGTGCGCCTGACATTATTTGGAGGAAGCTACACGAATGCTAACAGCTTGCCATTCACTTGTCTAACAGCACACGTTCTCTAATTGTACATAGCCCACCAACCCATGCCTTTAGAGCTTGCTAATGAAGAGACGAGCAGCCATCATGCGGACCCGCTGCGGCAAGATGTATTTCGAGAGGACGTAGATGAGAGAAGGGAGCAAGATGAAGGCTGCGGTGGTCTCGTTGACGAAGAAGAAGGGGACTAGCTGCGGCATGGCCGACTTGAGGATCGTCTGTGGGGGTGTTAGCTTGGGGTTGATAGGAAGGCGAGGGTGAAAGTCGGGCAGTACCATCTGCTGAGTGGGAGCCTGAGCTTCGGTCTTCTGGGCCTTGACTTGGGCGTCGGCGACGACGGGACGGGCCATGGTGGTTGATCGGAGTATTGCAGGTTGGCGGAAGGCCCGCGCAATTGGGCGGAAAAGGCGTGTCGAGTTCATCTTGGACGATCAATTGGCAGGTGGCGGATTGCCCCAAGGGAGTCGACGCACTGTATGGAGGATAGGTGGTTGATTTGATGGGGTTGAGGTGAGATTTAGGTTGCGGGTGAAGGACAAGACGTCGTCGGCAAAAGCTCTCATCGAAGGCACGTCCGGGGATCGGGAACCGGAAAGAGCCGGATCACGTGAAAGCCCGTCCACCCAAGCCCCTGCGTAATACCAAACCAAGTCGCAGTCCCCAATCTGGCATTGCATCCTTCATAATGGACATCAGAAATGTCTTGATCATTGGCGTAAATCTACACTTCCAGCTGCGAGCCCTCCCTTGCTAACAACATACTCACCAGAATCGACAACTCTCCTTCTCAATCCTTAGTGCCCTGCTGCAGAAATCCCTAACCGACGTCAGTACGCCGTATCACGTCTCTGTGTTAACTTACCCCTCCCAAACGCCGTGGCTACCCCCAAATACTCCCCCAAACCTAGTCGAACACAGGACATCTGACTTCTCTGTGCCGTCCCTAGAATCTTCATTTTCCGGGCAAGACATGGTCATAAATACGATAGCCGGAGGGGACTACAACTTTCAAGCCCGAGTAATCGATGCTGCGGTCCTCGCAGGAGTCAAACGCTTCGTGCCCCATGAATTTGGACACGATTCCCTTAATGAAGCTGTACACGAAAGATTACCGCGAAGCGCAGACCGCGCCAAGGTCGTTAGATACCTTCATGACCTCTCCAGAACCCACCTCGATTTCGAATGGGCCGCTGTGTCCGTTGGCTGTATCCTTGATCATGTCCTCGTGGCCGGCGATCTCGGCTTCGACATGCAATGGCAAAGTGTCACCATCCACGGAACCGGAACCGAACCATTTGCCGTTTCAAGTCTCGAAAGAGCTGGGAATGTGGTAGCGAATATCATTCAGCACTGGGACCAAGTCAAAAACCGCTACCTATATGCCGCAGGCGTTTTGACAACGGCAAATGACGTCTTGGCTTGTCTAGAGAGATCCTCTGGCAAGAAATGGAGCGTGGAATATGAGCATGTCGAAGAGTCAATAAAAGAAGGGAAGAAGAGAATTGAGCGTGGATATCCTGATTCTGGTATGTTCTTACTTGAGAGGAGTGTTCTGTATGATGAGAAATTGAAGGCGGTTGGGGCCTTTCAGAAGAGAAGTTCGAATGGAATCCTGCGGCTGGAGCCAGAAAAAATCGGTCACATCGTTGCCAAGGCTTACCATGAGTTCAAGCGCCGAGGTCAGCCGGGCTGTGGATGCGAGTAATCCGCGAAAGGCTAGAGGATCGTCGTTGAGGGGTGGAAGTTGAAGCTCTCCAGGTTGGCACCAATCTTCGAACTCGAACACAGTCCGCTAGTACCTTCACAGTACCTGGAGCAGCCACCACACAACGAGTCTCCCTTGAATTTACATCTAATGCACACGATTTCAGAACAAAAATCGAGCACCTTCACTGTCCCGACACCAGACAATCCTCATCATCTAGACCACAATCCCCGCGCGACCTAGAAGTGGAATATGTCTCAATATTCTATTATCTGCATTCGTGGAGCCAGACGATATGTCAAAGCACTCCCCTCCAGTATTCCTGGTATCTTCTCAGGCCTACACTCCAAGCTCCCTCTTCACGACGGTTCGAATTTCTATTTTTCGCTAATATTCTGACGGATCGTTATTGGCTTTGAGCCAACAGTGGTAAGCTATGGAGAGTTACAGAGGGTCTCTTCGCATTCTTCTTACTCTAATGGCCCGCATGGGACCTGCATGACTCTATTTGTAGCGGTCGCCTATCAAGCATAGAGTAACGACAGGCACAGATGATCAAGAAAGTATGCTAAAGTTGATCTCTATCGTATCCGTCAACTCACATTCCGTGCGCATGCTCGCTTTTCAACACTACATTCATCCGGTGTCAACTTTGCCTCCGTGCCTGGATTGGGCATTATCGAACGAAAGGGAGGGTATACCAAATGTGTAGAATCATGCCATGCATGCATTGACGCCCAAGACATTCTCACTTCTCACTTCCTTATGTTTCCTACGTTGTCGCCTGGCCCGTAGCGGAGGAGGCCCCACGGCGTGCGCGAATTCACTTGCCTGTCGCAGAACTCTCGTTAGTGTTACCATCAACACGCTTCAACTTTCTCCAAGCAGTGGTGCATTCCATCGATGAGGTTTTTGAAATGTCACGAGTGCGTGACACTGATGAGCTAAGTCCAGGAAGTGCACTTAGGCTATATCGAACCTTGAACGAATTATCACAGGGCAACTGTCAATGCTATGATCTCAGCGACACAGACTGAATCTCCACTTCACCGGACAGAGTTTATTTCTACACCGGATGGGTTTAATTTCCGACTTCCGATTTTAGAAACCCTAAGTACTCGGATTTCACTGAAGACATTTGGCTCACTTGAATATCTCGTTCTCGCATCGCGATTACGGCTAGTCAACTGGGCGCCACTGTCGTCACCATCAAGAGTAAATCTCCACAGAGAGTTCGGATTAACAAAGGACCTTTATTACATCAGTAATTCAGGCAACACCTTTAATTGTTCCGAATTTCTAACACACTCAGGGCTAAACCCCGACTAAAAATCCAATATCGTGATGCGGAAACGTACCCTCTACTAGTCGCTCATCAATGCGCACACATCTATATCGCAAGGAACTCTGCATCACGTCACACACCTATGTATAAGGTGATTATCCGGGTTCCGAGCTTCTGAGCCAAGCGCTTCCCGTCGAACCATTTCTCACCCAAGGATGTACAACGACTTAACGGAAACTGACATACATGAAGACAATGCTCAAGGTCGACCCTGCACATCAACTAGTATCTGTCATAGTACCCAGCTAATTGCCGAACAGCATGCGGTGTGTATAAGGCTGCAAGGGTACTTAGTCAGGAGGACATTACTTTTCCCGCATCAAAGAACGCTCTTCTAGAAGAACGGCGACGCATCTCAAACTTGTCAAAGCATCAAGATCTGCAAAGCCTCCGCCAAACCACAATTGGTCTATCTGCGCAGTGCAGATACAGAAGCCTGAAAATAATCTGCTACGTGCGATGCGACTAATACATATGATACGCACACGATCAACGAGGCGGAGATCCGAGAACAATTTTATTCAACGCCTTTCCCGCTTCGTCACTTCCACATTCTGCGTAGATCCAGCCTAAGATCATCTACTTCTGTGTACATCATTATGACGAATCTGAGGCCTCACACCTAATTAATCAATCTCCAGTCTGACACTCCAACTCAATCACAGACATCCCTACGCATAATCCGCAACGTGGCTGTGCCCCGTGACCCAAATCCAGACCCTTCAACCGAACCAAACCCATACTGCCGGAACTGCAGACCAGACAAGCATGATCGCTGACAGGGCCTTGTTTCAAGGGTCCCTCGTTGTTAGAGACTTGGAGACAGCCCTGGCCGGTCCGGATTTCAACGAGTTTGCGAACTGGCCCCAAGTCCCAGGTTGAAAAGAGGGCCAGGTTCGGAGGCGGTCTACGTGCAGCCATGAGCGCAGATCATATCGAGGGGGCTTGGACGTTGGGGCCTGTAGTGCAAGTTGGTGGAGATGGGGGCGGAACATGAAGTCCCATGCAGAACGAGAATCCCGACAGCTTTCTCTCTCCTCTCAGAAGTGTTTTGTAGTCCCACTTGTCTATCTCACACCGACTCACCATTCTGGGACGATATAGACGAAAGCATGGAATTGTAGATTAAGTTCTGTATTTTGATTCAAATGAGTGACGTGCTTTCAAAGAAAGTTCCCAAACACAGCTCTATCTACAACTGAAATCTACCTACGGAGTTACGCTACAGGTGGAGGATAGTCATTACATCATCAAAGACAAGGCCGCACCACGGAAGCGTGCACGCCAAGTCCTGCAAACAAACAAAGAAAACGGATGTCGCCAAAAACCCATATTCAAATCCCGTGTGGCCGTATGCCCGATCCATTTACTCGCACAACTTACAAGACCGACCAACCCAGTCGCTCATGCATGTATGTTCTGCAGCACCCATTGCAGCTGCAGAAGAAACGTAACACATGAATGAACAGCGCTGATACCCGAATCAATGACCAACCACCAGAGTGAAGAAATCGCATAACACAACGCTCGCCAATAGAACCCCAATACCCGGTTTCCCTGATCGAGGCATGAAAGCCTGCCCACCGTCTATCCAAGAACGCCAAGCAACGCACAAAATAGGATGCGAGTGAAGGATAACAAGCGGATATTTAATACGCCTCGGTGCGCCCTATTGCAACGCTGACTGAAAATCCAAGACTCCTTTGGGAAAGGACACAGCTGACGCATGACTGAGATAGGACGTACACCTTTCATGGGAGAAAGTTCTTATATCATACTCGCCAAGCTGTTTAACGGCGATGTCGTTTTCACGCCCACAAGTTCTGGTTCGCTAACTTGGTGCGCAGGATTTGAGAACGAATTGGAACCAGAGAACGTAGATATCGACTGCAAGGGTGAGCTGAACATACCTATGACTGGCTCCTGCTTTGGCTGGATTTCCGCATGCGTCGTTGTAGGATATGAGGGTTGCATTGACACAATCGAAGATGACGTAGTTGGGTGTGCAATCCGCGGCATGGGGGAAATCGACAAACTATTCGAGTGGTGCTGCACCGGCTGAGCGTTTGATTGCGTTGGTGTTGAGTGAGGATGAGGATGAGAGAGCTGTTGTGAGGAGTCTTGCGATAAATCTTTGTTGAGAGGGTACGAAGACGAGGTTGCAGATGCCGAGGATACTGCACGAGCGCGAACCGTGTTGTGGGTTTCACGACGTCGTTTAGGGCCGTCTTTCACTTTGGGGTGAGTGTGGCACTGGAATATGTAATTAGCATGAGCATAGATTTGGTGCAACAAACTAGAAATTGGAGAGGTAAGAGGAGATTTTAGACGAGAGACCTACCTTGTATGCATGCCTAAACCATGTAGTCCCTTTCTTTTTGCTGCTTACTAGCGCAATCCAATCGCCACAGCTCCCGCAAAGTCCTTCCCAGACATCAAGATTGCCTTCGGTTCGGCGGGTATCTTGGGGTCCTTGGAATGCAGCGCCAGTTGCGGCGCTCACACCGTGGGTGAACGACTTATCGTACCAAAATGCGCTGTTCTTAAGCACAAGCCATCGACCAGGTTTGCAGAGTCCACACCAGCCCTCACGCTTATTGCCGTGTCCACGGACCCAGCGCGGTGTATATAGATCTCCGCTGAAGCGTAGATCCTGTTCATGTGGGACGAGATCGGGATCTGAGGGGTTCATGTCCGATTCTGGTGGATTCGAGGGCTCCTCATGGAGGGATGAATAAAGGTCCGGCGGATCTGAGAGGTCTGCAAAGTGTGATGAACAGCCGCCGTGTCGGTCTGCGTTACTTTGTAGAAGGCGGAAGAGTCCTTGCGAGGGCAGAGGACGTGGGACCTCAAGATGAAACGGCTGGTCAGGGGACGCGAACATTGCCGGGTTACTTGACTGCAATGGATGTGGCTGCGAGTACAAAACGTTGTTGGGGTGTAACTGGAAATTACTCAAAGTGCTCGTCGGATACGCCGGCATTGAGTGGTGTGGGTTCAAGCGGGGACCATAAGGAGCGAATCGGTCCTGAACTTGGGCCAGCGCACGTGAGCTTGAAGGAGTTGAGGTTGGTGCATGTCCGGTAGACCACCTCTTGAAGCGACTGCTCTCCATTGTGTACGGCGATGAGCGCACATTATTGTGCGGCGCAGGAGATGCCCGTGAGCGACTGCCACTCCTTACAACGGAATCGTGTTGCGGGCGACGTGGTGAGGCGAGCGGTGAAAGAAGGCTTGGCGCCGGCTCAAGGTTGTTCCAAGCTTCGCAATCTGACGCGTATGAAACGGCCTCGGATGAGCCTATTTCTTCGTACGTGGACACTTCTTGGAGCGCTCCACCGGTGCTTGACATTGAAAATGATGATTCAGACATTCGTCGAGATGAAGACGGGTTGAATGTCGCCATGTTATCGGCCTCTTGCTGTTCCATGCCGTGATACTGCCTTAAGTCAATAATGGGTGTATTCTCGTCGTGACCAATAAAGCCTTGGTTGAACTCGGACATATCCGGATCCATGGATGGAAATGACTCCAACTCTTCGCAGACTTTCTGGCCCCATGGACCTATAAATGTTAGACAGCGAATCCAAATCAAAGGTAATAGAAACCTACTGGTGTCAATGACGGTACCTTGGAAGTAATCAGGGGTTCCGAGGGATTCGTGACCACCCATGTTATGGCGGAAGTGCGCTGCATTCATGGCAGGGGATTGAGACGTGGTGATGTCGGTCTTGGCCACTACTTGCTCAGATTCATGGCTACTGCTTGTGACCGGACCCTTCATCTGACTGTAGGGGTTGTGGGTCTGTGGCACGGCCCACGTGGGGTAGGGTGGCGAAGGTCTTGACTGCTGTTGAAGAGCCTGATTTTGTTGCGGTTGAAGCTGGATGTTCCCGTATGGGTACATTATCTGCGCTGCATGTCGGGAGGAAGGCTGCGAGATGGTAAAGGATCTATTAGATGATGGTCGGTATCTTTATATGTAGTCAGCATGGGTAGGGCCAAGACGATTGTTGAGGATGATGGTATGTCTTACTGTCGAACCGCATTAAATTCCATCTTTAGCCTTGTTCTCTGTAGAAGATGGCTCTGGGGTGAATCCCACTGTAAACTAGTTTGGCGCAACTGTTAGCACTTCAATAGGTACAGCATGACCTCACAAAGAACTGAGAACTATGAGGTGCAGCTGGGGACGGCAGGCCCGAGCGGTGGGCTGACAACGGACGAAAGGGATGGGCGAAGATGCGGAGGACGTACAATTTGGTCAAGAACTGAAGGAAAGTAGGTCTAGTCAAAGGAATGTGGCTAGTCGACAGTAGTGCACGACTTCAGCTGGGTTGGTATGGTGACAAAAGGAACCTGTGAGGATTGAATTAAAAGAGTGTACGGAGAAAGAATCCCCTTCGCAGCCAGCGCGGAAAGGAGCCCGCTCCAGTGACAAGAAAAGAATGAATAGGTAAGAATAATAGGGCTGGGATTCTAATGAGTGACGAGGCCAAAGTAAAAGGAAGGACAGCTTGAGGGACCATGGGACTATATGGGAAAACACGGGTTTGAAGATTTCCGTGCAGCAACAATGAGATGAGATGACATGTGGGAGAGTTGACGCAAAGGAACCATTTGGGCGCTTGGTTTGAGGGCAGCGTCAGGCGCCTTGGCTGCAGAGATCTGGAACGGCGACAGCTTGGGGCAGAGGCGTTCACCCAAAGGAGCAGTCGACGGGGATCGAGGTAGGTGAGGGGTTTGAACAGCTTGCCAGGGCTGCTGGGGGTGAGGGGTGTGAATAGAAGGCCCTGGCCTCATCTATGGGACTCTTGAGAACACTCGCACCGCGCTGCGGCCGCGGGGTGCTCATTGCGCGCTCGGGAGTGCATGCTGAGCTCGCAGCTCGTGTCTCCCTTGCGGCGCGGTCGACATGGAAGAGAGAGGCAGTCACCAATTGATCTTCTCCCGGACAAGGAGCGTGCCGGTTCGGAGAGCAGGATGCCTGGGGGAAGCAGCCCTATTCGCGAGACGAAACTCTCGAGGACAGCAGTTTCAGGACAGCCCTGGCTGCGATCTTCTCAATCGAGAAGACGGGCCTGCGAACGAGCGCTGATGGGGAGGAATGGAGAGAAGATGTTGGTGGTCGGTCAGGACGCGACGAGGAGGGTCAGAGACTTGAAACGCACGTGAAACTGGACAGGGGTTGTTAGCGACCTTCACCGCGGCGCAACATCCTCACCATCGCCTTTCACCACCATCACATCGCACCTCCACTCGACGTGATTCGGCCGCCGTCAGCAGCCCTCAGCTCGAGCGAGCACCTTGAGGCGGAGAGCGCGCCGAGCTCGCCGTCCAACCCGAGAAGAGTGGCCGCTTTAGGATGGCCGACCCCTTCACCTGAGCTCACACCTCAGAAGCCAAACATGGCCAACCCGGCCCCGGCAATACCATCGTGGAACTGCTCTCGCCAGCATCGCGTGTACGATGCAAACCACTCCATAGCCAGCAGACGCCCTTTGCGCTGAGCGGTGAATGCCTCGTGTTGACGTTTGACAGCTGACTGACAGGTTCGTGCCACTTTGTTACATTCACCACCTCCAATTCCTTCTGCTTCTGCACTTCAGGCTTGCTGTTTGATTCAGCCCCGCAACTTGGCCGGTGAGGGAACGTGCAAAACTGTCTGTGGGGTGCGTCTGTGTAGTCCCCCCAATGTTTTGCATGCAATATCAGACGTCATAAAAACGGCTCCAGCAGCAGATCCGTGTCTCCTCTATTAACCGCTGCCCCAGCCCCTCGTCGCCTCAGTCCGTACTACCCCACCAGACGTATATTTGTCAGTCAGTATGCACCTCGCACATCGGTTAGAATCTGTTCCTTCTCTTCCGGACGGCTTCCAGTCGGCCCCTCCCGGCTAGGCATGAAAACCTCAGGATAGAAAGGTTTAGACGTCAAGAGATCATTGTCTGCGATTCAGCCACCATCATGCTGCCTATCTTACCTCATAGACGCATGACAGGTTGTAGCGGTAGGTGAAGATGTGCAGATTGCAGATGAGCAGCCATTTGTGCGCCATTCCCGACATGGCTTGTCGTCTAAAATGAGCCTCCCGCATGCATGCCCTAGTAGATGCGGGCCGTTCGCTTTCCTTCGTGCTATTTCTAAGGAGTGAATGGCTATCACCTGGAAGTCAATGGGTGGGTGGTTGTCCTCATGTGTCCTCCCTTGCTTCCAGCTGTAGAACATATTGAATTTGTGCAAGGACGGCTCTCGTCTCCCCACTACGGACTGTTATCATTCTCGGTCCAGCTCCACAAGCCCCGTCGTACACGGAGAACCGGCCGTACATTCTTCAGCTTACTACATTTTATACTTGTTTGGTTCAGCAAATTCCTCGACAACGTATCATTGGGCTGGAATGCGCGGTCCTCGGTTATGGAATACATCCTTTCCTGATAGGATTCGCGAATATCGTACGGACGACTTCGATGATAACCCAACTCGATCGTAAAGTTGATCTTCAATAGGGGCTGTGCTACTCGCCTCAACAGTATGGACTGCGTGCCAGGCAGGCGATTGTCAGGGGGAGAACTAGACTTCTTGCTCACGGGACACTGCTTTGGTTCAAGAGTCCGATAGGCGATCTCCGCTATCGTTGTCACAAGCCGCCGGTGTTACTCATATTCCCAACCGTGTGAAGTGGTTCTGGAGAAGATCAGGCCTCCAAAAGAACCCATCCATCCGTTCACGCTACGTTCTGCCGAAGGTATGCCGCTCTGGGGAAAGCCAGCCGAGGGACGTAGAGGTTCAAGGTTTGAGGCTAATGGCGTCAAAATGCTGGATGTCGAAGTTGGGAATGGGTTCCACAATGACTAAGTTGGTTCAGCCCTACCGACTCAGAGGATGGAAGCTTGAAGGGGTAATGGTGGCACTTGCGTAGATTTAGATGAGATGCTAGGATGTGCCCATGTTCCAGGACCACGGGTCTGTGGCGGAAGAACCTTGAAGGGGACGCGTGCGCGGATGCGCTCATGACGTCAAGATCAAGATTAGAAAGGGTAATCTTGAGAAATGGAAGAAAAAATAATTTATTTGCAGTACTGATCACTGATGTGTCACTAATGTCTTACATGATGAGGTAGCGATTGTGGGTTCGAGGAGACATCAAATAGGCATTGTGTGCGATAGAAATCCTGCTGAGATGTATCTATAACAAAGCCCCAGCGTGTGCTCATCATCTCTCACGATGGGGACCCATTATTGTACTCCTTACTAATATTCCAAAAACTCATTGTAGAGCACCGGGTCTAGCCAAACTTAAAGCACACTGTCAGAGGTTTCCAACCTTGACCTCGCAGCTTCCGCTGACGGTTTTGAACAACATATTACTGCCTCCGCCACCCTTTTTAGCTTCGACTCGACTTCCACCGGGCACATCTTCGCCCTGATGAATTAGCTCGAGATCTCGTCCTTCGAGATGAAGACTTCCATTAAGAGTGCTACCCTCAAGATGACCTTCCCATTCTTGTGGATAGGTCAAGTCCATTGCACCTGAGATACTCTTATGCGTGCTGGTAAGCTTGTTTAGTGCAGTCCCTGGGTTTACATAAGGTGGTCGGATCTTCAGCTTCGTCTGTCCCGAGGAAGTAGAGGTTTCAATTGTTGATGCGTACGAGCCAGCTTCGAAAGGAAGTATGTCAGCGGTAATGAATCCAGCAATAGACTGGATCACCGTCGTGGAACCATGGATGAATGTCCCATCCACCGAACCGACCTTAGTATCAATCGACACTTGATAATCTCGGTCTGGAATTTTCTTCCGTTCAAAATCAGCCCGGATGCTTCCAGATAGCGAGCTCGCTAGGAAGATGGCTGGTTCAGATCCTTCCTTCCCTGCCTTTTTGGGCGCGACGTTGACATTTACAGACCCACTCTTCGTCTTGATAGAGAGAAGGTCGAGCAGAGCGTATTTACCACTAATGGACCCAGATATCGTCTCGAGCCTCGTCTCACGGGAGTTGAATGGAGGAGCATCCAAGGTTCCAGTTGTCAAGGATATCGAGGTCGCATTGATAACCGAGAAGTCGACTCCCTGATGTATCTGCATACCCAGATGCACTGATGCTACGTTGAAGTTCTCTAGCTTCGCTCCTGGGGCAATGTATACAACGACAGATATGCCTAAGCATGCTGTACCGGGTTTAACGCTGTCTCCAACGTCTGGAACGACAGGGTCACCAATGGTTAGACCTGTCTCTGTCGAAGCATATTTAATACTGTCGATATCGACTGATTGGGAAACTGCGTAGGCAAGCTTTGCTTGGACTGTGCCCGCTGGTTGATCTGCTGGTGCCCTAACAACGTGGATCCAACCAGATACGCGTTTGTAGGGGCCGTCTAGCTGGTGGACTGCCTCTTGAATGCGCAACTCGGGAGGCATACCGAAGTTGAACTCCGCAGTGTTTGTGTTATAATCCTTCTTACAATTTGAAGGCCAGCGAATGGGATATCCCTCTTGTGGTTGTGATGGTAATGCTGGGATGGGCGAGACGATTTTCTGTTAGGCGGTCAGCGGGCTCTTATTGGCTGAAACGAAGACATGCCTTCTCTTCCTTCCGAGTTGCTGCCGCAATAATGGCTGCTACTATGATTAAGAAGAGTACGGCAGCGATGTATTTAATCATCCGTCTTCGGGAGCAATGCTCTCGGAGGCTCCGCCGCTGGTACGCTCCACCCTTATACATTCCATCCGACGAGCGGGCAAGCAGTGGAACTGGTGTGCCTCGCCCATCGAAGGACAGTAAGCGAGTAGCTTCATCTCCACTCGGCCGACCATTCCATGGATTGGGTGTGGTAGCTTCAAGGTAGGTAGGTGGTGGATCCTGACCAACGAATGTTTCTAGAAGGGGTGTTGTTTCTTCGGAATCTCGAGTTGTACTTTGAGGAGCTCGAGCGACTTTAGCCTTGGAGCCGGCGTTGGCGGCAGCGGTGTCTATGAACATATCCTGGGGGTGTGAGCGATTTGAAAAATAACCATGAGATGGACTTTCGAGGGGACGGTAGAAGAAGAGGCAAAGGAAGATGTGTCGGAGTCTGTCCAAGTCATGGTGGCTAATTATGAAGGTAAATTTCGAGGCTGGTTCGTCTGCTACAGTGTTTGTTTTATCTCCATTCTTGGCCGGGACGCAGGCGAGGGCAGCTTACGTGCCTCTCCTTGTGCACAACTATATACTCGAACATATGCTATCAATCAAGCTCAGAACGACAATGTATACGTATAAATTTACGCTGAGCTACGTTGGACCACAATGAAATTGGCGGGATGTGCAGGCTGATACAGGAAGAGATGCAGAGAGTTACGACGAGCGGTTTAGCTCTGCCAAGGCTGGAGCGGCCTGAAGTGAAGGGAACATCAGACGCCAAGTATCTCTCTAACTCCAGTAGGAAGGCGCCTGTCGCAAGCGCGTGCTCATCGTTTCAATACGGCCGCCTGGGCACACTTACCGGTAGGACCATCAACTGCCGCGACTTCATGTTCACCCAAAGGACAGAAGAGGGTTTACTTCTTATGACAATCAGCGCTTTCAACTTTCGGCAGGGATGAACTCCTACGTCCTAAGCGGCAACGATAACCTTTGGGCTTGGCCTCCGGACAAAAAGTGCAAATCTTCTTTCTGTGTAGTCTCGACATCTTCCACTTACTCTGATATCCTATAGAGACGAAACCACCGCCTTGTAACTTATGGAAATGACCCAATATCATGAAAATCACGTCGATCATAGCTCGATTACCCCGCTCTTCAACACTGCTCTATGCCCATCGAAAATTTATTTACGAGACCTGGCGTCACAATACTCGAAATGTCGTAAAATAGCTTGGAACTTCTAGGAATGCATTTGCGTGCTTTGGTTAAGGGGATGTTCCACTTGTCAAAATGTTTAGGAATATCTCGCGCATGAACAACTAGGGGAATTTGGGGGTGCGATGGAGGATACAGCGCGGAATCAATCTTCCTTTAGATAGATTCCCTTGGTTTGCGTTACCCCTCCTGATACCGGCGAAAATATTGAAGGAGTTCCACTAGACTTGCTAGGGCTGCAATGGATTATGATGTAAATAGTGAAAGAATGGTAACTTTCTGTGAAGTAGATCGTCAAACGATATGCCCTTCCATATCGGATCTCTAGCTTGGTGTCCGGCTGCATAAATAGCTGTTATTCATTGTTAATGCTTAGTTCGCGGCCCAAACCCATACCTAGGTACATAGCATTAAGCTACATTTGAGGCAACCACACTACGCCCCACCAAACGGCGTTGGGAGATTTCGATGTATCCTTCAAGGACGATGCTTTCGATGTGCCTGGAGATAGCTCACGCTTACGGAAATCATTAATATATCAGAGCCCTAGGCAGATTGGTTGAGCATAGATACCTTTGGTTCGTCCGGGCTTCCATTCAGAGCAAGTGTGAAATAGCAAAAAGGAATGTATTTAAAAAGCACGTAAGGTCTGAGGGCAGAGAGCCTAACCTTAACGTACCAGTTAGAGCAAGCTTATATTTCACTTCTTGGCTTAACCTTAGACTAGACAACGAAATGATGGCTAGATACGGTGGGCGCCAACTGTCTTATCCTTGAGATGCATTGGCTGCATCTGGGCGGTCAACGCCCACACACGCCAACTCATGGACGGAGGTCTCTTACGCGGATTGCCTGAGGTGTTCTTCGATGGTCTGTTTTCTGGCATTTAAGCGAACGGCTCCTCCAGTAGAAATATAGGGTGAAATAGCCATACAGATATTTCCACGCCGTCGTAAGCAGATCAGATTGGAAGTCTGATGTTTATCACCGGTGCTATTAATAATCATCTTCGAAGGTGATTTACATGGGACTACCTTGTAACTGTGCCTTTAACCTACCAGCTAGTGACATGAAACGCACATAGCCCAGGACCCCGAATTCAAGCACAATCCGAGAACTACGGAACTCTTAAACGCAAATTCCATCATGTATGTGAATACCTGAAACAAATGCAACTCATGGGCGTATGTTCAGCCACCATATTCCAACACCTTCGCCACCACTTACACTGGAGTACGGTGATTAGAGCCCGACCATTTCCTCTTGTACATAGACCTTCCACCTTATTAGGGGATAAACTACGCAGAAGGAGAGAAAGCTAGTCGAAGCCGCAATCCCCAGTTAATCAAAACGATGCAGTATTCTCACTGGCTAGTTATGTGAATGGGTAAAGACCAATAGTAGAAAATTGGGTTAGTGTGTTAACCCATGTAGCGTTAATCGGGATCCTTCAGAAATGATGCTATCCTAGGCAGAATGTGCATGGCGTTGCTCATAGCCACCTGTTCCCAGAGGAACAGTGTAAAGCCGATGAACAGCAGAAGGCTTTAAACATTCTATATCATCATGCAGATTAAATAGGAAGGCGGTATATCATACCGATTTCGAGATGTTTGAGAATTCTACGTCAGGAACGTGAACTTTGATTAAGAACACTTCATTAATCTCAATGTGCACATCTGCAATTGTTATACCCATATTTGTACTTGCCTTTATATCCCAGATATTATTTTTGAAACCATCCATGAATTTGATGGAGCATGAACTGGCCGACATGTAGTAAATCGTTAATGAGCCTGCCAACTGAACATAGTCTTCTCTTACTTAAACGTATATCCTCGCAACGATAAATTTGCCCCAAGATCCATTCAATCTAGACTGGCCGGGGAACTTTAAACAGATTATAGAAACAAATAACGAACCTGGAATGATAGTAAGCTGCGTCGAAGTATCGTAGATCGTGAATAGACAAAGCCAGAAGCCCTGTGGAAAACCGCCTGCAAACTATCCATCCCTCTTGGCGGTTCCCTAAACATCACCACCCTCTCGAGCTTCAATGGAAGGAATGGATATGCTTCCTTCAGTACACAAGTCAAGCATTGCCAATTATAGTCGCAGCACAGTTTGCCAAGCCAAGGTCCCAATTTTGCAGAATTGGAAGGTAAACCGAGCTCCATAACGACGACGTTGAAGGCCGAAATTCCGGAGAATGGGCAAAATGTCAAGACGTTCTAGAACGCCCAAGCAAGGCCAATTTGGTCGATGGGATTTAGGGGTTGGCATATGAAAGTTGGTAACTAACAATGAGGAGATCAAGGAGTAAAACTTGAACACTTTATGAACGAGCCGATTGCGAGACGCAAACAACTTGAATGGAACTCTTAAACTCCTGTAGAAGCTGGTATGTAAATAGCCTAACTGGCGCGAAAATGTAAGCCGCCTCGAGAGCTAAACACTAAAATAATCAGAAACATAATCAGAAACGAAAAGTGGAAATTAGTTTTACTCTCTGGAGCTTGGGTGTGTGGGGAGGTTAAGGAAAGATCAGGGGAATATGCGAAAATATAATGAAACTCCAAAGTTCGCTTTTATGTGTCTGCAAGAGTGTTCTGGGCATCTGATTTTTGACAGTACAACGGCCAGAGGAGCTATAGTTCAATCTTAAAGTGCCTTTGCTTAAAAGAGATGCCACCGACCAGGTAGGAAGCCTCTCAGTACTAAAGACGCCACATAGACACCGCATTGCTATGAAGCTGGTTCAAACGCCTACAAACACATCCCTAGAATCATCATTAACCCTCGCCTTCCCACCTCTACCGCTTCTCTCTTTCCCTTTGCGACTCCGCTTCAAACTTCTTGCATCGCTAATATCCTTCTCCCACCCCCGAATATCGACCTCAACATCATCCGGCAACACACCATCTCTCATCAAGACCCCACCTCCTTTCTTTCTACTCTCAACCATCTCAAAGAATTCATATGACAAAACTCCTTTCTCATTTCCTTCCGTCAAAACAACCCCATTCTCACTCAAAAAGAATTTGATACCATGGGCCATAGCGGCACGAATATTGATGTAAATGAGAATAGTAGAAGATTTCCGCATTCCCGATATAACATGCGGGGCATCTTTTCCCTCTACGGTAGCAGCGATGCCTTGGTCCATCGACTTGAAGCCCCTAGGAAGCCCGGACGCGAAGTGGATATGATTCCTTCCCATGCATCTCAGGCCACCAGATTTCAAAATTAAACGCCAAGCGGGCTCATCAGTGCCGTGGACACATAGCTCTGGCACATTCCCGCTTTCCTCGCTGACTTCCGTTAACAGGCCTTCCGTCTCGACACTGATGGAGTGGCCCTGATTTGCACGGATGATGTAGTCGCTTGGGTCGTCAGACTTGGGGGTTGGGTCGAAGGCCTCGGATTCGAGTCGGTTTACTGGGGAAGAGGTGATGTTGGAGGAATCGCTAAGTGATGAGGCGAGGATCATCGAGAAACGTTGTTTATCGTTTTCGGCGACCATGGCGCGGAGTTCGGGGAAGGTTATGTTGAGCGATTTTAGGGCGCGCGTGTTGAGCTGAAAGAATTTAGAAACTGAGCTCAAGCTGAAGTATGGATGCTGGGTGAAGAGGAGTAATATGGATACTGTGGATAATCCAAAACAGACATCGAAAATCGCTATCTATAACGCAATATTTCGCAACAGGAAAGAAGTATGAGGAAGTGCACGGATGGAAATATAAAATGCCAGACGATATAACGATAGCTTACAGCATCCTGAACACTAACATAGCCGCCCTTCCCTAGCTTCAAACCCTCCTGATTCGCACCATGTCTCAACAGCCAACTCACTTTCCTGGAAACCTGTTGATCACGAGGTAGGTCTTTCGGGTTGCGCCCACCACGGGCCACTCGTCTAGTAGTCATGAAAGAAAATGGTCGCTTGAGTAAATGGTTGGGCGGAATGTTGCTGGATGGGAATGGATTGAAAGTGGGCGGAGAGGCAGAAAATACTAAGTAGAACAAGTTAAATTGGTAGTGGTAGAGGGATTTAGTGAGTCAAGGTAAAGGATTGAAGTTAGTGTGGCGAATCGCCACAAGCACGGACGGGAAACCATAGACCAACCAACAAAGAGGAACAGCCCACCAGCCACATTTGCACTCGTTAAAATATTCCACTCTGTTGACCAGCCACCACCATGATAGACACCAGCGGGTTATATATATCCTAACTTTATTTCAAATCTACAAGGCCGACCACAGACTCAGTTTCAAGACCGATTCGTTACTGTCCGCCAAGGCTGCGTCTTCACATTCAACCCAATAAAATTTTGTGGAAAGTGTTGAGAAGAGCCAATCGGAAACAAAATCCTGACCCAAAAACGCCAGTTGCATGCTCTATGATTTTGGTATCTCCCCAATCGCTAGATCGTATCCAAACTTAAGCCATTGTAAGAATGGCCCTTTTCAAAAGTTTCAAACTGGAAAGGAAATCCAATGACGCAAATTTGAAATCTGTTGATTAGAATTATGAAATACGGAATGGGTATCAGGAAAGGAAGAAGAGTCAGGGATTAACAACTTAACCTCGAGAGAACCTGCTCTCGGCCTTTGGGACTGCCTAGGGTGATACTTCGTAGCGAAGAGGGTATCATTTTAACAACCTACTCAATCCGGTTCGGTAATTCATAATATGAGACTGTGTCTGTACGTGTATCTTGACGGAAAAGTACCCACGAAAGAGGCCATGGCTCTTCAGAAGTGAGGCGGGTGTCAACAATCCGAAGGATTAGTGAAGTTCTCCTAGTCGTGAGACCGCCGCTCCGCGGAAATGAGGTTGGCATCTGTAAGAAGATCCTGAAAGCACTTATGGTAACTCAACTCCCTCTCTTGCTTCGTCTTCCATGGTATTCATTCTTGTTTCTTCGTCACCGCCAATTTCCCATCCCCATTCCAGCCGGGTCAACACCAGGGTTGCCACCAAACCCACTTCCATTACCACTCAGTCCCAGACCCTGATCCATGAATGTATTTGCCCATTCTTCACCGCCGAAGAGGTCATCGAAGGCCACATTGCCGCCGTCTGCGCCATGTATGTGAAGGCGATGTTGAGGGAGCTCCGGCTGGAACCGCTGTCCTTGTGTACCCGCCATTTGAGCGCCCTGCATCAGGTACATTGGCATTGGGCCAAAAAGTTGTACATCATTATCGCTCGGGTGAGGTGCCCTAGGGTCAATCGGCACATTCCCTTTCGGGTGACTGCTAGGACCAAATGTGGCAGGATGCGATTTCATGTCTACCCCAGAAGCTTGGAATCCTAAGTTCGACCTACTAGGCGATGAAGTCTTGGGCTCAAAATTCTGGAGATTATTATTCTCGAACGTTGTCATCGGTTGGTTTGGATATGCAAAGGGGTCAGCGGAGGGAAACATCATTGCGGATACATCAGAAACCGGGACGTTGAGGCCTGTAGGATCAACAACCGTATTAGTGAGTGAAGTAGAGGGATATGACTGAGTGGGTCCCTGAAGAGGAGTGTGGGTTTGAGGAAGGCTGAAGCCACTGAGATTGCTCGTCCCTGTGGATGTTGGGGTTAGGCTAGGGGTGGGGTCGAAGAAGTCGCTACTTGATTGGGAAGTCGACTGCCCGTAGGGGGAGTCAACACCAAGATTGGCGAGATGTGTTCCAGATATCGGGAGGGAGTGACCGAGGCTGGTGCGTTTGCTGTTTGGCATCGACTCAGGGAAGGTGCTCGCCCGGCGAGGTCCCATTTCAATTAACTCCGGATCCTGTTTGAACAAGCTGGGGCGGCTTTGGATGGACTGCGGTGAACTACCCTGCCTGCGTTTCTTGCTGCTGGCGAAAGGTCCACTATGTTTTACCGTTTTAGGTAGCCTCTCGAAAATGGTCTAACGCCTTTGTTAGTGTCCGTACAATGTGAAACACAACTGAAAGCCACATACATTTAGTGTGGCAGTACACCTATCTGCTGCCATACTTCTCTTGGCGAAATGTGCTAGTGTTTCTTTGCCTTCTAATGCATCACGGAAGAGCTCAGTACTCGTGGGGTTGTTCGGATTCTCTAATACGAAGTATATGATAGAAATGATCGCGAAGAAAGTCGTGTACATCGAAAACCAGTATGCTCCAATGAGGAGTCCTCCTTTCTTCATCTCTGTGGTAATGTGAATGATGTTCCGAGAAACGCTGATGCATGCTGAGGCGCAAGCGAATGCCCTTTGGTCGGCTGTCTTGGTTTTGTATGTTTGCGAGACGTAGTGCAGAAATGGGCGGTAAAGGAGTAGCTGCGCATGGCCAAAAGCCATCCTAAGAAGTTGTTGAACCCTGTAATGTGCCTCCGTGAGCGACATGGGTATCGCATGGAAGAATTATCGTGAACGTACCTGACAATAACTCTAGGCGCTTCTCCACCTGGTTTAAGCGCCATTGGAAGCCCGTCCAACCATTGCTGAAGATCTTGTTCGATTTCTCGAATCCTAGAATAGCTCACGGAATATGTGACTGAATTTTTTCCGCCAGACTGGGTACCTTGAATAGGATACACGTACTTGCAAATCTTCGCAAGGATCTGGACAATTCGAGTATGAGCATTGGCGCCGGCAACGAGAGAAATTCTCCCTTCGGGCATAGGGCGAATTTCTGTTTCTGTTATATATTCATCATCAACTTCAGTCGGCCAGTCTTGATCAATGTCTTCTTCATCGAGGAAGTGAGGTAACCCCAGCATAGCCCCAACGTAGGTGTCCATCTTGCGGACAACCCAGAAAACACGTTTTCGCGTCTCAGCCTCGATCGGACTAAAATTGTCGTTGAAGGATCGATGCAAACCCATGCGCAGGGCAGATCGTAAAGCAACGCCAACGTACGCATAGCAGGTCGATAGTTTCGCAGATGATTGCAGGAACTGAATCATGAACACTATTGCCTGCAGTGAAACCAAATCTCTGCAGTCTGCAATGTCCAGTAGTTGTCGAGAGGCCTTGAAATACTTGAAGCTGCAAAATGTTACCATGCATTTTCGATAGATTATTGTGGCGAGTTGGGCTTACCCTTCATCGATGGCGGATTCATATCCTATCTGGTCGAATTCGGCACTACTCTTCGCAAATAGTGTTCCTAGGGCGAGGACAGCATAAAGCAGGGGCAAAAATTGATTTTCTGCATTGCCATAGTTCTCCGGTGCAGTATTGTAGATCCGGTCCATCGACTTATAAAACGAGGGGATATGCACAACTCGTAGCAGCGCACCAGCATCGACTAAGGCATTGTCGCACAACAGTTTAGCTTCCTTCTTCGGGGGCAGATCAGTACCGGAGGGCAATGGGGTTGATGAGTCCACAGGCGAATCCTGGGCGGACTTTGGAGAGTCAAACACCTGTGACATGGGTCGGAACTTGACAAAGGGGGAGCTTGGGGAACCGTTAGAAGGGGCGATGATGTCTCCAAACTGTTGTTGCAGTCTTCTCATGAAACTGAGGCCTGAAGAGTGACCGTGATAGTCCCAATTCCCATCCTCGTCAAGATCGAGCTGGCCTGTGGCCTTGACCATCGACTCAAGATGCGATTCAGGGATTTCTTCTCCTGCTTGGTCGTCGCGCCGGTGCGACATGCGAGGACCGTGCGGATTCTGTAGAGGTCGTGGGCCACCCATTGGCAGTTGGGGAAGCATACCATTTTGCAAGTAATGGTCGATGTTCGGGTCATTCAAATCAAGATTGGGGAACACAAGGTGCAAAAGTGCCTTTGCACGCTTCAATTGAGTCTCCAAGGCTTCGATATATTGCGGGGCAGCGTTGCGCCTGCGATTTGATGGCTGATCGTATGTACATTCTTCATAGGTTCTACGTCAGCATGCGGCGGCGGGCAACGTCGTTGGATACGGAAGGCCAGACGTACCATAGCTGTAGACAGTGCAATGGGTGCAGGGCTGTTTGCCGTCGCATTTGATCTTCTTCCGTCGACACTCATCGCATGCGCGGGTCACTCTTCGCCGCTTTTGCAAGGGCGCAGATGCCGGCTTCTGCGGTTGGTCGGCGTCATCGTCGTTGATTGGCGACGGCTGATCGGTGGTGTCTGGAGTCTCTTCGACCTGAGGCGTCTCCCACTGGCCGGACTGGGAGGGACCTGTGCTATTGAGGTCCAGAGTCTCGGAGGCTGGAGAGTCCATGTTGTGGTGCATAGATGGGCAGCATTGGGCTGGGTGATAGGAGCTAAGAAGGAATCAAAGAATTGTCATCAGTGGCGGTGACTCAGCAAGGTGGAAGATGCGAGGGCCCGAAGAGCGCAGAGCCAGCAGCGAAGAGTGGACAGCTTCACCTAGCGTAAAGGTCACAGGATTAGCATGCTGGGTGGAGTCTTAGCGGCGCTCTCTGGCGGTCGTCTCCCGCTCTTAGGACTGCTTGGAGTGAACTGGCGTTAGCGCGGGCCTCTAACTCCGCGCCGAGCACGACAGAGGGCCAACGACAAAGACCTGGGCGGAGGAGCCCGCTTCCAAGGCGCTGGTGAATTGCTGGCGAACCCTTCGTATTAGTGCCGCTGCAGGTGCTGTGTTGCGAGCGGGATAATTAATGAGGGTGCTGTATGTCGTCGTCATGGTGGTTTACCACCCCCTTCACTAAACAGCCAGCAGTTGATGCCAGGGTTGCAGCTTCGCAGAAACAGTTTGGCGGAGACAGTACACGTACGCCAAGCAGGCGCAGGCTTCGCTTATCTGCATGCTGTGGCGTAGGGTGGAAGTAATTGGGCAGTGCAGAGGCGCATGTGCTGCACCAGGCTGCGTTTGGGGAAAGGCTACAGCAGGCAGGAAGCGACAGCGGAAGGGTAGTCGTCGGAGGCAAGCAACTCCCGAGGCTTAAGGCTGAAGGCTTAAGGCTGACATTAGCGGCGCTTGATCTTCTGTTCCAATTTGCCTGCTCTTTTTTTCGCCAGTCTCCAGTTGCCTTCGTGACGCCTTTTCTCAGCCTACCGGAAAGAGGCATGATCGGCGCCGGCTTCGTATTGAGCCCCATCATGCCCAGTTCCATTCGAGAGTGCAACTCGCCAGTCAAGCCACGCATCAGCACTCCAATGAGGACAGTTTATCCGGGGCTAACTTCTGCCCTTCCCACGAGGGGCTGGTGGACCCTTGGGACTTGGTCACATTCTTGGATTTCGAGGTCGCACAACTTCACTTCCCCACTAATTCTATATCTTGACCCTGGTGAGTACGGCAATCCGACCGAAAACAGGGTCGATCGAACGTGGGACCTATGAATAGGGTCAATATTTAAGGTACATCGTCGGGCCTCCCGAGCCTGCCAATGCGAAAATGCCATTGTTAGCAGGCCGTAAGAGTTTTGATTGTAGGCAATTTTGTTGAGCCTGTCGGCAATATCCTGAGGCATCAAAATACCTGTGGGCCCGTTGGCCCGCTAGAACATGACTCAATATCTTCGAATCCCAAGAGGGCAAGAAAGATTGGTTCCAAAAAGGATAAAGAGGAGACACGTACTCTTAATCGCGGAATAGAAAGAATCAGGGTAGATCCCAATAACCACTTTATTGGGAGGCTGCTACGAATTCGTGTTGGACAAGTCCTCCGAGTATCGGACGAAAGTCGGGCGGTTTTGGTCGGGCGGTCTTCAATTCCAAACCGTAATAGTTGACTAAGCTCATGGTCAGAGTTAGAAGCCGTTCCAGAGCCGTGCTTGCTGCAATTCAAGTCTCATGGTGGTAATTTGGGGTAGTAGGGAGTGGAGGTGGCGCCGCGGCAAAACAAATCCCTTTCTTAGTGAGGAACATCAGCATTCTCGTTCATGGGATGTAAAACGTCTGCCTGTGTAGATTAACGCTGTCTATCATCTAGGCGTCATGGTTTCTAGTGTTGCTCCACGGTGCTTCGAAAGCCCATTTCGCCTCGCTTACCGACGGTCCTGATTCAATTCGGCCCGGCGCTCGACCTACGCACAATTACGTACATGGGCCGTCCTGCCGGATTTCCCAAAAATTATTTTAGCAGATGGCGCTGAACTTTGCATTCAGATGGCGGGGTTTGAAGCGCCTCACAGGTGGCCCGAGTGGCGTCGCAGAGTAGGTATATCCGACCCAGCCCGGAGAAAGGCATCGAGTCCGAATGGGAATGCCGTAACGGACGGAATCTGATAAACAAATACGGATCCGTACAAAGCAGGGATTTGGCTATCGCCGGGTGAATCAATCTGAGCAACAGGTCTTCAGGTTGAGACTTAGATGAAAGATGCCCTTTCCAGAGAGGTCGACGTGGACAAATCAACTATCCTAGATAAGCACATCGTGGCCTTGAGCCAGATGACCAGTCCTGCGCCTTCGAAAAATCGAGATACTTGGATTCCGTCGAGTGGTGAGTCGCGTGATAGCCTCGACGAGCCTGAAGCCGACGACTAGGATGGCTGACCCCAAGCCGATCCTATCAATTGTGAAAGTATGATGAAATGCAAAACTCGACCTTTTGCAATTTCCACCTGCACCCTTATCACAAGGAGCTGATGCTCGTCTGATGGCGATGTTGGACTTCGCTACAAAGACTTCATCCAACCCTAACCCCGCAGCAGATAACCCCACACCGTCGGGCGAACAACTGCGAGCTCGCTCTAAATATGTGCCGTTGGATGGGATTTCTAGTCCTCAGACTGTGGCATGAGCTCGTGAAGTTTTGTTTCTTAAAGCGCATTGTACGGATCCTTACGTACTGTTACTTCGCAATCAGGCTCGTAAGAAGAAAGCATCTGGCTTCGCTCACTTATTCTCTTGGTACGCGAGTAAATATATAGCCTACTAGTCAAGTCAGAATGGCTGCACGGTTATTTTATGACAAGGACTGTCCTCTTGATTGTCTCAAAGGCAAGACGATAGTTTTCATTGGATATGGCAACCAGGGAAGGGCTCAAGCGCTGAACTTAGTAAGTTCCCACTAAGTTATTCGTCACCACCGCGAGATATAGCCGTGGAGACTCCCGTGCTCCGGTATGGATATCCAAATGAAATGTATACTGACCACAACCAAGCGAGACACGTTCAAGAGTGAACAGCTGGAACCTACGCCAAAGATCGTCATCGCCAATATAAAGGACTCTTACTCATCAAAAGCCGAGCAAGATGGTTTTGGTTTCACCTCCGACTGGAAAGCGGCGGCGGCAGAGGCCGACGTGCTGTTTCTTTTAGTCCCAGACCAGGTCAGGGTCAAGCTTTGGCTGGTTCACCGCCGCCACTAACTAGGCACAGGTGCAGCCCCAGCTTTTTAACGAATTGATCGCTCCAACCTTGCAAAAGACGGCTTGCATCGTAGTAGCCAGTGGCTACAATGTATTCTATAAACATCTTAATATGGCGAAGTCGAATGATGTTGTTATGGTCGCCCCGCGAATGATTGGAACGTCTGTGAGAACTCGCTATGAGAGTGGCGAAGGCTTCCCATGCTTTGTCTCGGTGGAACAGGATGGGACTGGAAAAGCCTGGGAAGTTGGGCTGGCGCTAAGCAGAGGTATTGGTGCAACAAAGGGGGGGGGTGATTGAGTCGTCTGCCCGGGAAGAGACTTTGATGGACTTGTTTGCGGAACAAGCGCTTTGGCCGACCATCATTGCGACGTTCAACGAGGCATACTCAACCCTGAAAGGACTTGGTTGCTCGGATGAAGCATTGGTCCATGAAATGTGGATGAGCAAAGAATCGGTGAATTTGGACCTTGGATGTCCCCTCCCATCCCCACCATTAACAATTTACCCAGGCAGAGATCTTCGAGAAGGCAGCTGAAGATGGGTTCGTAAAACAGCTCGTGCATCACAGTTCAGTCAGGTATGTATCCCGAAGGCGGTAACAATTCTGGCAGGCTAATGAAGTCAGCCAATATGGCCAGCTGAAAGGAAGCCTCGAAGTTGATACAACCGCAATTAAGAAAGAGTTCAAACGAATCGCAGAGGAAAGAGTTTTAAATGGAGCATTTGCGAAGGAATTCATGTCCCTAGACAGGGACGGGCCAGGTGTTGAGAGAACCCTGGAAGAGCTTTATGCGAAGGCGAAGAACAGTGAACTGGCAAGAGGGGAGGCTAGAGTGAGAGAGAGACTTGGCTTGAAGTAGCGTAGAAGCCGGTTAACGTTCTCGGTTCCCTGTATCTTGAGCCTGATGCAGCATGAGTGGCTTCATGGTCGATTTCCATGGTCAAACAACTCTCAAGGTGACTGGCTTTTTTGACAATGGAGGGCTGTTAGGAGTTGGGCGGACTTTCGGATGGAATTTTGTGCGGTTTCCCCATATTCTCCTATCCCTTCTGGAGTGGAGTGTCATAGAGATTAGAAGCAAAACGTGATTTAAACCGTGAGGCTAGAAGTTGCGAATTTGGGGTGTGAGAATGTGAAAAAGGAATAGAGGGGCATAGTTACAAAACCTAGTAATATAGCTATGCCGTGATCTTGGAAAGCCATAGCTGCGAAGAGGTGATTGAGGCTGGTGCTCTTGAAGTAGTTGTATCGGACGCGAACTAAGCCATATTGGGGAAGGGCGTTTCGCCTAATCACCGCCAAGCCGTTAAACCACACACGAACAGGAATTTGTCGATTCTCTGGACTTGACTCCATCAAACTAACACACCAGCAACCCCCCCGAGCACGATGTCGACCTTCGATCCAGTCGTCGTGGTATGTATGCTGTTTCATATCACTTCGTTGCGCCTCACACTTTCGGTGGGATTCGGGCGGATTGGCGTGAAGGCGCAATTGGCGTGCACAATGCCATTCTTCTCCGACATGAGCTATTAAGCTGACTCTTGTTCCCTAGATTGATGGAAAAGGCCATCTGCTTGGTCGTCTGGCCAGCACGGTCGCGAAGCAGCTGCTAAATGGCCAGAAGATTGTCGTAGTGCGCTGCGAGGCCCTCAACATATCCGGAGAGTTCTTCCGGGCGAAGCGTACGTCTCTGCCCTCTCGAAATTTCCGATACAATACACGCGCGATGGAAGTCACATCCGATTGTGGACACAGGGCTGATATTGTGGGATTTTAGTGAAGTACTCGGCCTTCCTCAGGAAACAGACCCGTTACAACCCAACTCGAGGAGGTCCCTTCCACTTCCGAGCACCGTCCAAGATGTTCTGGAGAACCGTCCGTGGCATGATCCCGCACAAAACTGCACGCGGAGCCGCCGCAATGGAGCGCCTGAAGACTTTCGAGGGCGTCCCACCACCATACGACAAGAAGAAGCGCATGGTTGTACCCCAGGCCCTAAGGGTGCTGAGGTTGAAGCCCGGCCGCAAGTACTGCACTGTTGGACGGCTGGGCCATGAGTTCGGCTGGAAGTACCAGGATGTTGTTGCTAGGTATGTCGCCTCCCGGAATGTATTGTGAAGACCACAAGTTGACTCAGTTTGCACAGGCTCGAGGACAGGAGGAAGGCGAAGGGTGCTGCATACTACGAGCGCAAGAAGGCCGCGCGGAGGCAGTTGGCGGAGGCCCAGAAGACTGCCAAGGTGGATGGAAAAGTCAAGTCGCAGCTTGCCGAGCTCGGTTACTAGGTGGCGGTGCTGGGATGCGATGAGCTTTCGGAGGGTTGAGGACGTGGGTTGGCGTGGAGTGCATTGGTCTCATGCGATCTCTTCAACCTCTATCATAAACCCGGCCTCTTGAGGGGTGTTCCTGGCAAAAAGGGCATATATCGCCGGTGTTCGACTAATGCTCACGAATATCTGGGTCTCTTCAAGGTCGGCCAATTCTTTTCGTCACACAATCACGGCTAGAAGAAATCAAATTCCAGAGCTGCATGTTCTTGGCGATTTTGGGAATGTGGTGTGTTCTCAGGCTCGGTGCTGTCGTGTCCATGAATCTGGGGTGCGTAAGGCCCGAGCTTGCCTGCTCTCTCCCCATCCAGTCTCCCCACACGGTCTTTCCCTCACCTCACCTCTTCGTATCTTGATACCTGAGGTTCTCATGGACGCGGCCCGATGGTTTCGGCCGGGCAGGAGGAGAAGACTGCCACGACGGCTACAGATCCCCTTGTGTCCAATGGCAGTCGACCTCGGCTTCGGTCCTCAGCTCTTGTCACACGTTGCCCCCTGTCAAGCTTCCCCAGATATTCAGACCGGCCATACTTAAACGCGACCGCGCACTCTGCCATGTACTTGAACTTTCCTAACAGAGTTGTTGGACGCACGAATCCTGCAAGACCTCTTCAGCTCGGTAGCAATTCCTTCTCTCAGGACCCGGGGCATTTTAGCTTTGGCGGCTGAGACTCCGCTTTTTGCTTGAGCTTGGATAATTACTCCACACCCCAATTACCCCAGACTGTAAACATCAAGACGGTACGGATTCACCAACCGTCGAACGATTAAAGTTTCTGTACAATTTGAAGAGACTTTGAGGGTATCATGTCGCCGCTCGACCGATTGCAGAAACTCGCCTCGCATTTCTCGTCGCCGACCCCAGTGCCTGACTCGCAGACGGTGATACAGCCTGGAGACAGCCATGAATACCACCACCGGCATAACTTTCACACGTTGAGCCCGACGAGCTTTCTGTGGAGGGCAGCGCAGATTGAACCGGATGTACGTGCAATTGCTCTTTCAACGAACGGACACAGAGTCTCAACTCCATCCACCCGAACAACGCTTGGAGAGAGATAAATAAGCTAATAGAGGTTATAGGCTACAGCAATATACCACGTAACTGCAAACGACAAAATCCTGCGTCGCTCCTACGCCGAAGCTGCCGATCGCGCTCGCGGTCTCGCATACTACCTCAAAAAGCACGGTTACAAACGCGTCGGCATCCTCAGCACTAACACCCCTGCATTTCTCGAGGCGCTCTTCGGCATCGCAGCCGCTGGTGCCGTGAGCGTTGCAGTCAACTACAGACTCAAGACGGATGACATTTCGTACATCTTCCAACACTCGGAAGTCGATGCCATCATCGCGGACTTTGAGTTTGAAGGACTGCTGGAAGGCTACCTGAAGGTGAAGCCTGAGACACGGGTAATTGTGGACAACGATACCGATGCGACTGAGGGTGAGCTTTCAGGGCCTTTCGACGAGGCCGTGTTGGAGGGACTTCAGTACGACCATTCCCTCGGCGAGCACGGCTGGGCGGGTCTTGAGGCCCAGGCTGGCAGTGAGGAAGATGTAATCGCACTCGCCTACACCAGCGGTACTACTGCGCGCCCCAAGGGCGTCGAGTACACCCATCGGGGCTGCTACCTCGCGGCCCTCGGCAACGTCATTGAATCCGGGCTCAACTACGACATAGGCAGATGCAAATACCTCTGGACACTCCCCATGTTCCATGCCACTGGGTGGACGTTCCCGTGGGCCATTACAGCAGTCCGAGGAACGCACTACTGTCTTCGGAAAATCGACTACCCCGAAATTTGGCGCCTACTAAAGGAAGAAAAAATCACGCATTTCAATGCCGCGCCGACGGTCAACACACTGCTGTGTGCGGCAAAGGAGGCAGAGAGATTGGAGCATCCGGTCCGCGTTACCGTTGCGGCGAGTCCACCCTCAGCGTGGCTGTTTGAGCAGATGACGGATTTGAATTTGCATCCGGTACATGTATATGGGCTTACAGAAACGTATGGCCCCATAACTAAGGGCTATCATATGCCGGAATGGGAAGAGATTCCCGTCAAGGACAAGTATGCGAAGATGGCTCGACAAGGCCACGGTTTTGTAGTATCCCTCCCTTGCAGAGTCATCAAGCCGGAGGAACCTGAGGGTGTGCTGATCGATGTCAAGAAAGACGGGAAAGAGATTGGGGAAATAGTGTTTGAAGGAAACATCTGTGCGAAGGGGTATTATAAGGATGCTCAGGCGACAAGGAAGCTTTGGGCAGGTGGTGTTAGTCATTCTGGGGATCTGGCGGTTTGGCATCCAGATGGCGCGATACAGATCCTGGATCGTGCGAAGGATATCATTATCTCTGGTAAGCTTTTTCTACTCCCCTTCTTCCCTTTCGCTCCCATACACTATCGCCTCACTCTAAAGAGATCGAACTAATCCCTTATCCAGGCGGCGAAAACATCTCCTCCGTAGCCCTGGAATCGCAACTCTCCACGCACCCCCATATCCTCGAAGTTGGCGTCGTCGCCGTCCCAGACTCGCACTGGGGCGAACGTCCTAAAGCCTTTATCACAGTCAAACCTGGACACGAGGTCAAGGGTGAAGACGTGATATACTGGGCAAAAAACCAGAGTGATATTAGCAAATTCATGGTTCCGAGGGAGGTGGAGATAGTCCAGGAACTACCTAAGACGAGTACTGGCAAGTTGAAAAAGAATGTTTTGAGGGAGTGGGCGAAGCATGGAGTTAAGAAGATCTTGATCTAGAGAGAGAGAGGGCTTGACAGGGATAGGTAGGGGAGTCTAAAGACGATGACGTTGGATTACCTCGTTGAGTATTTGTATAAATGTGTTGCAAAGTTCATAAAACTGTTTAGATTATTGTTGGAGCATATGGATTGGGAATGGAAAGTAGAAGAGTGTCTATTCACCAGGTCTTCTCAACCTGTACAGACCCTAGTGTAAACCAAGGACCTTTGATCAAGTGAGCTAAGCATCAATATGCCCCTTCCTACACACCTGGAGGGAAGAGTGTGCAAAGCGGGCAGAAGAGAAAATTAGAGAAAGCCAGCCAACGCCATGCTAAAAGGCAAATCATGTATCCCACCCATCCCACCATGTCATGCATATGCAGCATGTAACTCCTAAGCCTGTCGATACTAACACATAAACACCATTAAAGAAAATAGAACCAATGAACATGTATCCGTGCAACCAGGTCTTCCCGAGGTCCTACAAAGCCGGGCCCCCTATCCACCCACCCAACCGCTAACCCTTCATCCTCCCCAAGAAACCCTCCAAATCAAATTCCTCCTCATACTGCCTCTCATCCCACAGCTCTCCCAAATCATCCAAGAAGCCCTTCTTCCCCTTCTCGCGTACCTCACCCGTTGCATCCACAGCGTCATTTTCATCAATACCGGTTCCGTTGTCGTTCGTAGGCGGAGGCGGTAGGGCTGCGGGATCCGTGGAGTCGGCGGAGACGTTAAAGAGGTCGAGGATTTGGTCTGTTTGCATGGAGCCTAGACCTGCATTTTGCTGGTTTACGACGGTAGAGGCGACGTCGATTTTGAAGCGTTGGAGACTTTTGGATATTAGCATGTTGTTTATTTCTGGGAGAAACAAAGTGGGTGTGGAGAGGGGTAGGTCTTACTTCAAAATCTTCTCCTCCAACGTTCCCCTCGTAACAATCCGATAAACATTGACCACTTTCTTCTGCCCAATTCGATGTGCACGATCCATGGCCTGGATATCTTTCTGGGGGTTCCAGTCATGCTCGACGAATATAACAGTATCTGCACCCGTCAAGTTCAACCCAAGGCCGCCAACACTGGTCGTCAGAAGTAGAACATCATAGGACGGATCCGAGTTGAATTTGTTGACAATATCCTGCCGTTTGCTTGTTTCGACGCTGCCATCAAGGCGCATGAATTGTACAGAAGGCAAGGCCTTTTCAAGAACGTGGGTTTGGACCATGTCGAGCATTTCTTTCATTTGGCAGAACACGAGGGCCCGGTGCTGGGATACAGCTTCGGGTAGATCACCGATGCTGTTGCCGTTTGTTTTCTCCACGTCCGCAGCGCCGATGCCGCAGTCAACGAGCAGATCTTTGAGAGCGCCAAGTTTGGGGGCATGCGCGATGTCCTCTAGAGAGGTGTTGTGCTGCTTGAGATACTTTTGTGTCGCGTCGTAATGTTTGTGCTGTGGCTTGATCACCAGCGCGGGTGAGTTGCAGAGTTTCTTCATGTATTGCAAGGCTTGGAAGATGTGCTGTTTGCTTTCTCGGTCTGCGGATCCAGCTTTGGTTTGAATCTCTTTCCCTTCTTTCTTGGTGAAGTCCTCGAAGAGTTTGCGTTGCAGGTCTGAGAGATCACAGTAGTAGTTCTGTAGGATCTTTGGGGGAAGATCATCGAGGACTTCCTCCTTGAGTCGGCGCAGGAGGAACGGGAGGGCTTGCTTATGTAAAGCTTCAATGGCGAGAGCGCCAGCTTCTTGTTCTTTAGAAGATGACTTGGCGAAACGAGATGCGGCGATGGGCTTTGCAAAGCGTTCTTGGAAGACCTTCTCAGTACCTAAGAACCCAGGCATGAGGAAGTCGAATAGTGACCAGAGCTCCAAGACGTTGTTCTGAATCGGCGTGCCAGAAAGGATAAGACGGTGGTTCGATTGAAAGTTTTTGACAGCTTGACTCGTCTTTGACTTGGAGTTCTTGATTAGATGGCCTTCGTCGAGGACACAGTAGTTCCAACTCAGTGGCTTGAGAACGTCATTGTCGTTACGACATATCTCGTAAGACGTAATGACGACATCGACTTTGTCGAGTTGTGACCTATGTAAACTGCGTTGGGAGGGGGAGCCAACATAGGCAACAGAAGAAAGGAAGGGAGCATATTGTCTGATCTCCTGCTGCCAATGGCCTGACAGCGTAGGAGGACAGACAATAAGTGAAGGTAAGCGTCGATAATTAGGATCTTGCGTCTTGGAATACTCTTCCGCTCGCATGTGATGGTCGCTGGCAACCATGCAGAGCGTTTGTAACGTCTTCCCGAGACCCATATCGTCACAAAGGATACCATGTAGATTGTAGCGATTGAGGAATGCGAGCCAATTGACCCCGTCTTGTTGGTATGAGCGTAGCGTAGCCTTGATGCCAACTGGGATCTCGAAAGGTTCGACTTTCTTTGCATCAAGCATCTGCGCGACGAACTTGCGCTCCCGGTCTCGTCCTTTGAGCAACGTCTCAGGCAAACCAGGTGGATCAGGAATGCCAGCTTCAAGGGGTACAAGCTTCACAAGGGTTGCGAAGCTAGTTGTTGCCAATAGACGAACATCGTTGTCAGAGTCGCTCATTCGACCGAGAACTGGAGTGATCAGGAAGATAACATATGGTAAGATGCCATCTTCCATGACGTGAATGAGATGGTATATGCATTCGATCGCTCCTTGTCGACCGTGGATATTGCTGCCATTGCCAATGGAAGGGAGGACATTCTCCACCAACATCGTAATACCTTCAACAGGCATAACGCTACAGATGGTAGCAAAGCACTTGGCGGCTGCATATCGGAGCACGTATAGTCTCGACTGTAGAGCCTTGGCTATGAGGGGGAGAAGGTCCTTCACGAACCCTCGCACATTCGGGGTGAACTTGCCGGCTAAGGCTCGGAGTGTGGACAAACCATCAACCACCTCTTGACCAAAAACACCGTTGTCATGCGTGATTTCGACAGGCAAAGTATCCTCCGTAAAGGCTTTCTTGATAGGACGCTCGATCAAATCCTTGAGAATCGGCACCTTCTCGAAGATCTGGTCTCCAAATTTCTCCGCGACTTGCTCCAGAGCCTCGCGCGCACCTCGTCTTGTGATCCGAGCATTCTTCGCGTCCTCCGCAAATCTGGCGGCATCGGGATGATCGCGGATGTCCTCGTCCTTCTTCAGTGTGAGGATGCCGGTCTCAATATGAGCTTGGCCAATGAATTCTGGCGTTTCCGCTGTTTCCATACAATAAAACTTGACGAGATTGCCAACAACTTTATTGACAACCACAGTTCGGTTTGATTTGACAAGATGGACGATGAAACCCGCAACAGCAGCAGCCGAGCGCTTCTGCAATTCAACATTCTCTTCCTTTTTGACACTATCCATCATTGCTTTTATAGTTTGCGCAGGTTTCTTTGGCGGAGCGCTAAGAGCAACAAGTGCACCTGCAGCAGCAGATTTGATTCGGATATCTCGCTGCTCTTTGACTTCTTTGGCTTCGTGCAGAGATGTCTGCACCTCGGCCCTTGCAGCCTCTAATTGAGGGGTTGCAACCATGCGTGCTGCTGGAGTCAATGCTTTCTTTAGCTTCTCATAGTGCAAGTCGAGAATCTTCTCCGCGTCCGCAGTCGAGAAGGCGTATGGGCTTGCATCAGGATCGCCTTGTACGACTACCGCAATTTGAGGAACATTGGCAATGTGGTGATCGCGGAAGAGATTGATGAGCGCGGTGCACTGGGTGCGGACGACTTGAAGTTTTGGAACGAGGTCTTGATATGCGCTTGGTCTCTCTCCTTCAACGATGGGAAGAAGCACAGAAGCGAAATCGCCAGCCAACTCATCCTTAGCCGCGAGCGACTTCCCAAACTCCTCAATGATCATCGCGGTAGTCAGTTGAGTACTTGAGTTTGTTGACGCAAGAGGTAGTATGAGCCGAGGTTTGAACGTCTGTCGCCGTGACTGCTCAGGCCAGGCTGCTATGGCTTTACCCAAAGCTTGTGCAGTGGAGATCCTTGACCGGATCATGACATCGACGCCGACGAGTTCAAGGTCGCCGGACATCATATGACCATCCACGTTATGACTCGGCGACGTTGGTGGTACCATCAAATCTTCCTTCCCAAAGCGTGACTTCTTTCGCTTCTTGTATGCCGGCTCGTTAGCCGAACCTGGAGGCGTGGATCGACGGCTCTGTGAGTGTGCTGGTGGACTAAAAAGCTGACCAGAGGGACGAATGAGAAGTGAATGATCCATGGCAATCGGATGACGAGGTACACCAATTGGAGTGAGAGTTAGTGGAATAATGGCATCGAGGATTGGACCGAGGTGGGTGGGCAGTTCGTTGGTCCCATCGACGAGACGGGCAATGATGGCATCCCAGAGCTGGAGTGATAATCTGAGAACGCCCTCATTCCGCTCCAGGAGGATATTTTGGAAAATCAAACGCAAGGCTTTGCTATCAATCCAGCCATCAGTGCCTGGCCCTTCAATGTTGAGGAAGGTGAGCAGTGCCCGAAGAACGGCAGCGCGAACACTGGTGATTGTATGTCTGAGGAAAGGAAAGAGACGTGGTACTAATTCATGAAACGACTGGGATGGATCTTGTCTAGCATTAGCCTGCATCGCGTCGAGTACTTGAGGGAAGCTGCAGAGTTTGGCGAGGAGGTCCATCACAAATCCAGTGCTTGCGCTCAAGTCGTCCTGCAGGTTTGAGAGACAAGCCCAGACCTGGTCAATGAGGTTCTCGAGCGCCTTTGGTCGCATCTCCACAAATTCCTTCGCGACAGGAATAAGTGTGGCTGCGCTGACGGCGCGCACATCATCGTCGTAATCAGAAAGGCCTTTGATGACGGCAGCGAGGACACCATCCATGAGGGATCCGTCTTCAAGAAGTAGATCGTTCCGTACAGCGACCAGGTACCGCATGCCAATCATGCCTCCTTGGCATACTTGCCAGGCAGACATCTCAGCATCCTTCTGCATGACAAGCCGATAGAGGACATTGAATGTTGCGACAACATTCTCGAGTGACAAGTACTGCAATATGGAACCTAGTGCTTGGCCAGCTGTCTCTCGAATAGGCGCGACAGCATTATCAGAGGTATAATCAGCAAATCGATCGAGCATGAAGACGCAGCATATGCGACATGCAAGATCGTTGAGCCAGCGTTGATTAAGCTTGTCGTTTTGCGATCGAGTCTTTCCCTGCTGCCTTCCGGCGCCAGCACCATGAACGCGAACGACTTCTCGGAGACCCATGGTAGCACCATGGCGCACCTCCCAGCTGTGGTCAAACAGCTCAACAGTCAGAAATTCGCACAATCTTTCGAAGGGCCATTCAAGACCACTCTCCTCGGCTTCCGTTTGAAAGGACGACTTGTCGGGTATTGGAGCACCCTTAAACTCCTTGACAAATTTTGTGTCATCGTCGCCACTTTTTCGGTCCAGGGAGAAGTAGTCGCCGATACTGCTGTTTTCGTCACCATTCTCTTCTTTAGGCTCTTGTTTAATGGGGTGCGGATGAGCATTAGATGGGGTATGGGGGTAATCCGTTTGTGAGCTGGCGCGACGACCTGGACCGAGATCGACAATATGTACTTTGTTTGCTCGGTTCTGGACATCTTTCTTCGCCTTGCGCTTAAGCATATTGAGCTGGCGTTTGCTCAAATTGGGCTGTTGTTCACTGGTAGGCGTGGCCCCTGGAGGAGGGGATGCACATGATGCTGAAGTGATGCTGTCAGACCGGGAGACGGAAGTGTCCAGACGATGCATCGCAGGAGTTCTAGTACCAGGAGTTTGGATAGTGATATCGTTCTCTGTAACTAGATCTTCTTCAATATATTCCCCACCGAGACCAAGTCGGGCGGTGAGGCTCTTCTTTTGATGTGACAAGCGTGCTGCAGGGTCCATGGCTGCGAGTTTGAAGTCATACTCCCTGCCGGCGCTAGCCAAGAGGGTTTTGCCGAACTTCAGAATGGAAGCGATGTCGAGACTGCTAAGATCAAGTTGGTCTTCGCTGGGCGAGAGGCTATCATCGCCATTCTCTTCCTTCTTGACGGCAGAACCGTTAGTCCCTTCAGATTTGACATGACCGTTTGATTGATCCTTGATGGGTTCGTCTTCAGTATTGGGGTCGTACTTCTCGGCATTCTCAACAATGCCACCGACGGCCTTGGCAGCAGCAACCCTTGTGTCCCAGTTCTTTGAGCGCAGGAAGGGAATAACGCGCGTCAGTAGATTGAAAAGTTCATCTGGATGCTGTTTCTGGACGTCGGATATTTGCTGAACAGCGGTGTTCTTGATGACCTGAGTGCTGCCACTTTCGAGAAGGCTGGGAAGTATTAGTCAGCAAAAGACGAATGATTGGGGGTTAGAGGAGAGAAAAAATGAAGGCCCAATAGAAAAGTGAACGAATTAAAAGCAAACTTACGTCACGAGACGGTCGAGCCTTGTGACACTACGAGGACGTCAGCCAACTCGATTCATGAATGCATATGAGTGTGCAGTACGTACCTCATGCTGGGCAGAGTGTGGACCCGGAAGGCGGTCGGCGTGAAGCAAGCGACCGGGCCGGGGGTTAGCGATTATTATATATTATGGTGGGGGGTTCAGCAAGTAAAAGAGGAAAGAAGAATCCATTCATTCAAATTCCGTCATGCATCGAATAGTGTCACAACACGGCCGTCACGTGATGTTGAGGTCCGTGTTTCGTGCCCAGGTGCAGGTCGGGTGTGCAGGCCTGGAGCGTGAGCGGCGGGACTACTGACAATATATGTGCTTAAATACTGCCATCAACTGCAGCCCAGGTGAGCACGGGCCCCTGTCTCAGGGTGAGAAAATTCAACGATGTCGACAACGCGAACAAACCGCATCCGTCGCGCGTGTCTCCATTTCACCGTCTGCACTGTCTGTAAGACGCATATTGATTAGAGGTCCAAGGTTCCTGATGCGATCCTCGTTTGCGCGATGCAGAACCTTGGAAAGCGCGAATGTTGCGCCCGAGTCGCGCCTTCCTTCACAGCTTGACGACTTGTCGCTGCTAGCCCGATTGGGTCAACTCCCATCACCTACGATTCACCGCTTTTCTCTCCGCTCTCGCCTCACAGACTCTCGGGCAGATCTTTTCAACACTGCATTTACCATATTCGGCGCATCCATCTCCTCAGTTACACCATCAATGATCATGATGATGATGATGATCATCATCATCATCTAGCGCGTCGTGATGGGCGCATCTTCCATTATCTGTCGCGACTAGGCTCGTCCAGGTGCCGCACAGAAAGAATCTGTCCTCAAGGCAGGCACCAGCAGCGCCACCGCCCACACGAGGCGGAACATTATCTTTCACCGGCTTGCTGCAGTACTTTCTCCTGAGCCAGATCCACTTCAAACGACACGCTCCAATCTCCACAGGTTCATGTGCCTTTCAACCCCTTCTCTCGCATTCCCAACATAGGTTAAAGCGGATCCTCCGGATGTCGGCGGGCCTTGCGAAACAGCCTGTGATGTCCGGCCGCTGTCGACGAAATCGCGCTTGCTCTCGCCGTAATAAAGATGCCCGTTGATCGCCGTGCGGCTGCCCCTCTGCACGAAACAGGCATAGGCTGCAGCCACCGCTTTTGTTTTTGCGATGCTTGTTCTGCAGCTTCACCAGTTCCCTTCGATTGTTTACGAGACCTACTCAAGGTACGTTGTCGTTGCGACGAGCGCTTTCAAGGTACGTATGCACAACGCATCCTTGGTTTCCGTCCTCGTCGACCCACATGTCGCACGTCTCAGAAATCACCGCTCAACCTTTGCTCCATACCCACCGTGACGTCGGCACTCAACATTGTGACGGTAGCACAAGCACCAGACGACGGACGACAAGCAGGCAGACACCGGCCACGGCCCGACGCGGCCCTCCTGCATGTTCTTGACCATGATTCCCAGCAGGCAGCCGCGAAAGCCGCTCCCTTCCACAGATGGAATGCAACGAGGAAAAAAATCATCCACGTCTTTCTTCTGCGATATATTCGATCCACTGCTCTTCATGTGGTTATTTTCCGCCACCAATCTTAGCCTAGGCAGGCATTCTGAGAGAGAGTTGGCAATGCCGACAATGCATATCCGGGCTAAGAGTACAGTGCGTTACCACATAATGTGGAAGATGACCAGGGCGGAGTGAATCTGTTATACCTTTTGCAGAAATATTAGAGGGTGTCAATAGGATGCAAATTTCTGTCCTAAAAACACAATCCTGCCCCATGTTGGGTGACCCGAGGCAGTATCAAGAGAACAAATCAAGGTGCCACAGGTATAACACACAAATACACCTAGTTTAAAACAGCTCCCATCCCCCTTCTACCCACTCCATTAAGATCGGGCAACATTCCTAGTTCTCCCCTCAATTTAATCCCCTACTTCAAAAGCCCACACATGCACTGACAATCCGGCACCGGACACATCGCATGTCTCGCGAACCAATCCCTAGCATGATGCCCATGAAACCCATGCGTACAACTCATACAGAACACCATCAACCTCGCTTCGAGATCTTCTTCCTTCAACGTCTGCGCCGCCCCTAATTTCGCCGGATCAGGACTCCCAAGCCACATCATACACAGCCCACATCGCGGCATCTGCACATTGCAATTCGGACAGGCGAGGGCGGGCGAGGACGCCACGCCCTTTGGATGTGGTCGTTGGAGGGGTTTCGCCGGGTGGGAATGCGAACGCAATTGAGAGGGGTGGGTAAGGACGGGAGTAAGGTACTGGCGGGAGGTTTTCACATCTTTTCGCAACGCGAGGTTCATTTGGCAGTTTAGACAACGGATTGCGAGACTCGGTGCTGCGGGTTTGTTCACGCTTCTTCCTTCTCTAGACACGCAGCGCAGATTGTGTTCTTTAATATACGAAGTGCGCTCGAGGAATGTGCGCCAGACTTGCATTTGGTTGAGGTACATGTCTTTCCAGAGTGGCCAGCGGTCGTCTTGGATGTAGAGTGGACAAGCCCGCGATAGAAGTAGTACGGCGGTTTGAAGGTCGCCGAATTTCGCAATGTAGTGCTCGAATAGGTCCATTGCGCGGTCGGTGAGCCCCGTTAGGAGAAGGCCTTCGATATTTCCATAAGCGATGGTTTCTTGCGTGATGAGACGGAGGAAATTCGTGAGTTTTTCATCGTTGAGATATTTCAGTGCAACTCCAACACGATCTGTGAGTGAGAGTTGTGGCATGTCAACGACGGATGACCAGTCCCCACTAATAAAGTAGGCAAGAAGCCCCTTGAGGTAAGGCTCGTCAGTCATATCGGCCATCCAGGAGCACATGTGCCGCTGGTCCTCATTTACGGAGTCGCATGCAATAACGGCGCCAAGGCCAATATTCGAAAGTTGTTTCTGTTGGATGATTTCCTTGAGGAGGTCAAGAGCGACATCTTTGTAACCTTGGAAGACGGAAAGGACGATCGCTTTATAGTATTGTCCTTCATTGATGAGCGTTGAGCAGCGCTCTCGTATGCCTTTCTTAGAGATATTCCAACCGCAAAGAGAGAGGCAGAGTTGCCGATTCTCGGGATAGTGTGACGCGATGCCAGAGAAGGGTGGGAATTCCTTGTTTTCACAGATCTCCTTGACGGCTTCAACAAAGATGGTTTCCGATTTCTTTGCATCAGGGTCGATCATTCGTTGATCGTACATGGTGAGTTTGTTCGCCCAGATAGATGCAACGCCGAGGTAAGTGAGGTCCAAGTCACCTCCCACCATGCCTTCATTACAGGCGTGTGCGTCCATACGTTCTATTAAATTCCATGCGTCTACGAGCCACGGGTCGTTAGCGACGACCTCTTTATTTCTTCGGCAGTCAAGGTTGTATCCTTCCTGGCATCGCTGCTTCTGAGTTTGCAGTGATTTGAGATAGTCTGGTAAATCTATCTTGATATGCGGATATGCTAAAGTCAAGAGATCCTCATGCACTTGCGTACTTGACTGTGTTGCTGACTCTAGAGGAATGTTTCGATGTAGATGATCGATAGTCAACCTGTCCAATCTCCCTGAGAGACTGTCTCCCAGGTCGGGGCTAATCTTATGTTTCCCTCTCAAAGACTTGTTCTGTAGTTCAATTAGATCTTCTGCCACTGTGCCTTGCCTTGCGCTTGGCTTAGCGATGACTTCTCGATTCCGGTATATTTCGTCTAGAGCGGTAATATTAATTCGGGGTGCTGGAGATGGAACTTTGATTACCTCAACCTCTCTGTTCGGGCACAGAGCAAGGGCACATTGTCCACCCAGGGGGTTACCAGCCGTCATGAAGTCATACGCCACGATTCGTGAGTTCTCTGCCACGCGGTGGCGTTCATCGTACCATGGATATCTTAGGCTGTGCGATGTTTTTGTGTAACATGGAGATGCCCATGCCGGAGCATTGGGTCCGGAGACTGAGGGTTGATGAGACTCTGGTCGATGTGAATGTTGAGCGAGCTCGACGATCTTGAACTCGCCGGTATTTGCCAAGACTCCAAATGTTGAGCGCTTGGTGCCGCAGTAGCGAAGACTCCAAATTGTAGCAGACTGGGTGTTGTCTACTACAGGCCGAAATTCTAGCACAGGGCCAGCGCTCGCTGGATCGCTTGAATTCCTTTGCTTAATGAATCGTTGATCCCAGACAGTCACAGTAGGATCGCCCGTAGTTCCAGCGGATACAAGGTAATTTTCGTCTAGAGGGTCTATGGCAATATTGTGAACTTGGCGAGTCTGATATTGCGCGACCCCAATAGGTCCAGAATCTACGCTAGGTCAGAACCACAATCCCAAAAGGGAAACCGATAAGAATACTGACCTCGGAGATCATACAAACGGATACATTGCCTTGATACTCCAGCAACTAGGGTATCTGGCTGACCGGTGAAGAACTTGATACTTGATATGGCCTCGGAGCTCGCCAATTTCTTGTACGGCTCTGTAGATGACGAAAGCGAGGGAGTATTTAGATCGTAGACGTTTAAGCATACATCGTTTCGCACTCGATCCAATCCCGTAGCGAGGAAGTTCTTCGAACTGAATGCTATCGAATTGCATTTCCGTTGGTGCTTGATAGGGAATGAATGAATATAGTCGGATTGAGGGCGGTCAGCATCGACTTGGACTAGAACCGCTTCCCCTGACGCAGAACCGATGGCAACAATGTGCTCGTCCCTTTTCGACCAGTCGAAGGCGGTGTAGTTAGGGAGTTTGTCTCGGAGAACGAGCTGCTTGTACTTCACCTTGCCCTTGCCGAACCGGTCGATCTGGCACAGTCGTAATCGATTTCCGGCAACATCAATGATGAGGAAGCGGGGCGTCTGCTGGGTCGAATGAGGAGACCACCGAATAGCTGCTTCCATTTTACTGGTCCGGTAATCTGTAACACAAGCGCCGTACAGGTCTGGATGCTTGGGATGCTCCCCAAATTTTTAGAACATGTCAGATACAAGGAAAGAGAAGGTCCAGGCAAGGACGCTATTGTCCATTTTGAGGATACACTGAAGGCCTATATTGGCCTTGAGGGATGAATATCAGGGAAGAGTGAATGATGAACGTCGCATCTAGCTCGTGACATGTCTTGGCACCCGAGGGCGGTCAAACGCGGCAGAAACCTCCCGGGAGAAACTTACTTGGTCCGGCCGCCGAAACCCACGAGTCTTTACCACAACGCTGGCGAACATGTCGCAGAAGCGTAAGCATACCGAATTCCAAGGCGGCGACCATCCGCATTCGGCATCAAAAAGGTCTCGCTCGAATCATAAGGTGGGCGGACCTCACTTCAAGCCTAGATGGCGCAATCAATCACACTCTGAACCGAAGCCTACTTCAACGAACACACTCAGAAGCCGTATACGGGATTTGAAACGACTATTAGAACATGTGGATAATGAGCCAAAATACAAAATGCCGGCCAATGTGCGCATGGAGCGGGAGAGGGAGCTCGAGGCTTCGGAACACGAGTTAGCTGCGAAGACGGCTGTGGCGCGAGAAGCCGATCACAGAAAGAAGATGATTGGCAAATATCATCGAGTGAGATTTTTCGGTGAGTGTCCCACTTTTTTAGCCCAAATTTATTGTCCGGAATGCTAAGGACTCTCCAGATCGCCAAAAAGCGACTCGGATCCTCAAACGACTCCAGCGGGAGCTCTCATCCCTCCAAGACCGCTCCAAGAAAACCGACCTGCTGCGGAAGATACATAATACCGAAGTGGATATCAACTACGCGCAGTACTATCCGCTCATGAAACCATACTCCTCTTTGTATCCAAAGTCAAAGCGAGAGAACAGCAAGTCGGAAGAGCTTGCAGGTGAGGAAGAGGCGGGAGTACATCGAAGTGAAGATGTGGAGCAAGGACCCAAAGGGGATGTGCAGATGTGGAAGGCCATCGAGCGAGCCATGGAAGAGGGGACTCTGGATGTACTACGCAACAGCAAAGCTGGTTTGCCAGTGATAGAGCCCAAGGAGGATAATCGATCCAAGCAAAAGGAAGCAAGGAAGTACAAGAAGAAGAACACACAGGCTGGTATCATGCAACGGATGCTGGAAGACACGAATGTTGAGGTTGTGGACGAAAAGGACGATGAGAGCGATGGGGGATTCTTCGAATGAAGCCTAATACGGAACCCGGTTCTTGGACCATGGGCCTTGCTGATCCCTTTACGCTGCACCACAGTACCCATCCTTCTCCCTCTCCGTGGCTCACTGGAGTTGTTCGGATGCACCGGGTTCACGAAGCCTCTACCACAGAGGGGCAGAGCTCCGCTTTCTAATCCGGTACCATATATAATTTCGTCTCCAGAAATAATTAGCTAGCATTGGGCAACGGTACATGGTACTCAGTCTTTAGCCTGGGTAGTCAGATTATGGGATGCAGGGTCAACGTTGATCAATGTACTGTGTAGATCACTGAGGCGAAATGCTACCCAGCACAGCGGTTGCTATGTAAAGTAGTAACTTGTTGGGCTGTATTCGGAGCTGTTTGCGTTGCTTCACGGGAGTTTCGTTTCTAGGAACAACAAATGATATTCACACTCACGCGGGATATAATCAGGCTAATTCAGGACAGTAATTTACACCCTATTGGCGTTCTTCTTAGTTCCTGCAAAAAAAAATTGAACGGTACGTGTGAATATGCCGCTATTTGCCATTTCCTGCCTATCTTCTATTGCCCGCCAACTCGTTTCTAGCCTTGGGCGGGTCCTTGAAGGCTGGGCAAGGCGGAGTGAATGTGGCGCCACGCACAGACGCATATCACCCCGCAGTTTGGCTTGCTTGAGCGGCAGATGCCCAGGCACGTTTGGACAACCACTGGATGACCTCGTCCATCTCATGCAACCTCAGATTGCCCGAGCGTCTCGGTCTCTGCATCAGCCCACCGCAAACCACATTATATTGCACACGCAAAGAACCCTCAAAGAGCGTCCAACGAGCTGCTTCTTTTGTCGACACTTCCGATGTAGAGGGTGCCTGAATCCTTCCACTCTACCCCTGATAGCCTACCGCATTATGCCAGATGACGACACGAAGAATGGACCCGCCTGCTGACAACAAATATTGGAGGCTCCCTCGTCCGTCTTCCTAGTTCAAGGCCTGTAACATCTCACACGGCGTCTTAAGAGCCAGTAACGTTGAACTCCCACCTTCCTCGACGGCACCAAGTCATGGGGCAAAAAGCTAAAGTCCATGCTTCGCCGCGGCTCGCTGGTCGTGGAATCTTGCGAACACATGTCGCGTGTGGTGCAGTGTACCCACCACACAGATTCTTCCCGCAGTCAGAGAGATTGCAATCGGCGTGCTAATGGGAGTGAGAGGAGCCGATGAACCGGCCAGCCGGGCGGGTCATACCCTCGCTCCTCTTTCCAAGACCAATACCATGTCGTGTCAAAATAATACCCAGTAGCTATTCGCCGTAGGTATATAATCCTGCTCGTCCACATTTTCTTTCTCGACATCTTCTCATGTTGGCTTGATCTGAACAAGTTGTTTAGGGCCCCATACTGTTATTATTTGTCTCCCAGCATCATGACGCGAATAAAATCTGTCGTTTTGGGGACGGCAATACTCCCCGCTGTGCTTGCTCTTCCAAAGACCACACCGACACATGCCCATTACAGAGGACGGGGCTACGATGCCAATTCAACTTCAGATCGCGCACAAGCGGTTGTTGACGTATTTAGGACTGCTTGGGGTGGATATTACAAATACGCATTTCCACATGACGAGTTGCATCCCGTCTCGAATAGCTTTAGCGATTCTCGGTACGCTATAAATCGAGTCATGAACTGCCCTTCTGTAGGATGATTTAATCTAACATTCTGTCAGAAATGCCTGGGGTGCCAGTGCCGTCGATGCGCTCAGCACTGCACTTGTTATGGGGCAGAAGGACATCGTGAACCAGATTTTAGATTACATCCCAACGATAGACTACACGAAAACCGCAACTGAAGTCAGCTTGTTTGAGACCACAATTCGGTATCTAGGCGGCATGCTATCCGGTTATGATTTCCTGACTGGCCCTTTATCAGATCTCGCAGACAACGTATGGGAGTTCCCCTCAAGATCCCTAGCTCATCAATATTTGAAAGCATAAAGATAAATTAAAAAACCTAATATTATAATAGAAAAACAATGTCGACGCTCTCCTAAAGCAATCAGAAACCCTCGCCAACGCCCTCTCCTACGCCTTCGAAACCCCCACCGGCATCCCCTGGAACAACCTCTTCTTCACCAGCCGCTCCAACGACGGCTCCGCGAACGGCCTCGCCACCGTCGGAACCCTCGTACTAGAATGGACACGACTCTCCGACCTTTCCGGCAACACGTCCTACGGCGCCCTAACCCAAAAAGCCGAATCGTATCTCCTGAACCCGTCTCCGCCAAGCTCCGAGCCCTGGACCGGACTCGTAGGCACCGATATCAATGTCACCACCGGCCAATTCCTAGACTCGACGGGCGGCTGGGTAGGAGGTGATGACAGTTTCTACGAGTATCTGATTAAGATGTTTATTTACGACCCTTCGCGATTTGCTACGTACCGCGACCGTTGGATTCTAGCCGCAGACTCCACAATTTCACACTTAACATCGCACCCCTCTTCCCGTCCAGACCTAACCTTCGTCGCCATGTACAATGGCCGGAATCCCTCCCTCATCTCCCAACACCTTGCCTGTTTTGACGGCGGGAACTTCATTCTCGGCGGCCAAGTCTTAGGGGTCCAGAAATATATCAATTACGGACTCCAGCTCGTAGATGGATGCCACGAAACCTACATCGCGACAGCGACAGGAATCGGGCCGGAAGTCTTCGGTTGGGATAGCAAACGCGTGCCAGCGGACCAGGCTGAGTTCTTCAACAAATCCGGGTTTTATATCCAAAACCCAACGTACGATCTGCGGCCCGAAGTCCTGGAGTCGTTTTATTATGCATATCGGGCGACGGGGGATCCCAAGTACCAAGACTGGGCTTGGGAGGGGTTCTTAGCTATTAATGCAACTACGAGGGTGGGAAGTGGCTATTCTAATATCGATAATGTGAATGTGGCGGGCGGTGGCGGTTATGGAGATTTCCAGGAGAGTTTTTGGTTCGCTGAGGTGTTGAAGTATGCGTATTTAATTCAGGCAGCGGAGGCTGAGTGGCAGGTCAGTAAGGATGGGAAGAATGCGTGGGTTTTTAATACCGAGGCGCATCCTTTTAAGGTGGCTTCGTGAATGAGTCGGGCGTAGTGGAAACCTGGTTGCGATATGTGAACGAAATATGCACGAATCATGTATACGTTCTTCTAAAATGACTTCTTATCAAGTCGTCTCCTCATGCGCCAGCATGGAATGCTCGCTCCGCTGTTCACTCCTCCTCCCACCACCGCCAGCGCTATTCCTGCTAGCCCTACTCTCAGCACTCGCTCTTGAGCTCGCCCTCTTTCTACTCTTCCCGTCCATTTCCTCTCGGACTTTTTTCAGTAAATCCAGTCCAATTTCCGTCTTCCCTATGCGCGCTACCAGTGCTGTATTTTCCCTTTGTAAATCCCCAATCTGCTCCTTGAGCAGTCTATTCTCCTGCTCAGCTAATCCCGCCTTTTCCTTCCAATCATCGCGATCTCGTTGCGTTTTGAGAAGCGTATTCTTATCCGCCTCCTTTTGCTGACGCGCGAGGAGTTTCTTCGTCTCTCGCTCCCTCCGCTGTTCAAGCTTCTGAACCTCCTTGGCAAACCTGTCTTCCTGCTTCTTACGCTCTCTGCTGTGCCTTTCTGTGGCCTTTTCCAGCTCCTTTGCCGACTTCAGACTTGCTTCTTGGCTTTCCTTGCTCTGCCTCTCCCGCGCCTGGTCGAGTCTGTCTTTAAGCTGCTGCCGCTTTTGCTCGATCTTTTGGAATTCGCGGCTCATCTGGTTGTTCTGCATTTGGCCTCCAGAGTCAGATGGTGATAGCGCCATGGATTTTTCGGACATTGTTGAAGGCGTTGCCATGGAGTTGTCGACAGGGAGGCCTTCGGGCGCGGTATTGAATTGCTCAGCTGAGGCGAAAGAGCCGATAGATGAGGATGTTGAAGAGGAGCTGTGGGAATCTATCCGCTGGAGAGGGTTGAGGACGTTGGGAAGGTAGACTTCAACCGCATCGGTCATAGGCCTGATCGAGCCCGGTCTTTCCCCGCCATTCTCTACGGCGTTGTGGGACGAATGTCTCCTCCATGTTGGCTTGTCCGCGATGCTAGTTCCAATGCCAGCCAGAATGCCATTGGACTCGAAAATGGAGAAATTACGCTCAGTCTCCACACTTTTCCGGATGCTCTCTTCTGCAATCTCTTCGTCTTCTTCTCGTGGGAGGAAGTCGTCCCTGCTGCACGCCCATTCCAGAAATTTCCCTGCGTCTTGGACAATGCTTGATGGCGTGTTGCGTTCGACCATGAATCGAGGGATGCCACCTCCGGGGTCGCTTCTGGTGATCATTATCCACTCAACCGGGTTTCTCTCTGGGTCGTCGTCACCTGGCCCGTCCCTCCGATCAATTTTCTCCCCTTTAGCTCCTGGGCCCCTCGATTCAGCGAACCCAATTGTGCTGCCTCTATGCCTAGATTTCTTGGCTTCATGCTGGAGGAGGTTCGAGGTAGAGGCGACCTTGGAAGATGCGAGGGGGATCTCGCGGATCATCTCCACGGATTCATAGTAGCCTCGAACGAGACCATTTCGGGGTGGAGCTTGGGGATGTGTAACGGGTATGGAGACAACCATGTAATGGCGGGGTATAGTGTTGCCGACCTTGGAAGCATTCGACAGGCAGTTGTCGGAGGTGAGAAGAAGAGTGATGAATTCTCGAGGCGAGGTAGGTCCGGGGAATTGAGCGGAGAGTTGGTAGACTATGTTCATAATTAGTTTCTTCACCAGTGATTACAATTGCGGTTATAGCCTGGAACCTACCCTCCATCCTTCCCACTCCATCAACATCGACATCTTCCAGCCTCCTGTCCCCTCCAATACCCCTCACATTGCCCTCTCCAGGGCCACCCTCTACTGCCAAGCTCTCTGGAAATTCCCTTAACATGGCCCTCTTCCACTTGGCGAACCCTAGCCCCTCGTGTACGCTGGACCTCGCAAACCACGCGCCGTGTCTATCATGGCCTGCCATTTTAAACACGCTTATGCCCAACGCACTGTCCTTCGCCGACATCTTCAGAGGCTTCCCCCAAGCCTTGCGTAGCTCTTCATGGTCGCTTTGCGGTGGGGGTCGTCGTGCTTGCGAGACGGTCATATCAGCGGCTGAAGTCGCGCAATTGGCGTCCGATCGGGAGCGCTGAGAGGACTCGTAGGGCGCGCCATTGGGTGGAGGAGGTACAGAATTGGCTATAAGCTCTGCTTTGGAGAATATGTCTGACAGGAACAGGCTGAGCTCTTCGAGGGGTACCTCGCCGAAGTCCTTGGGCCGAAGCGTCTCCAGCGCCTGGTGAAGCTGCAGCATCCTGCGAGGAGGTGCGTTGGGGGTATTTGATGTGTATTTTGCGCTCGGAAATAGAGCACAGTCCTAGCGACGGGAATCTCAGGGCTTCTGGGTGTAGACTCTCCTACGTAGAGCTGTTCCGCGGTCTCCGGTAAGAACGGCGAGCGGTTCCAAAAAAAAAAAATTAAAATTGATATCACTAGGCAACAAACATAACAGAGGGGTATCAACAGTGCGAAACGCCCAAAGCCCGGGAAATGGCACAAAGAAATGCTGGTGTGAGTGTCGGGGTCGGCGACATTCTCCAGCGTTCGGCCGGGCAATGTGGCCATGATTATGATGTGTACTGCATCCTTGCTGGCCAGTTACGTCATGAGGGATCCCTTAAATGCCTAGACCTGGAGCTTTCCCGACCCGGGAGCAATGCTGGAAACTAAAATAAGATGCGGACAAACACTTCGGCCGTACGCTCATGCCCAGTATTTCTTTGTTTATCAGACTTGTCTCGTAAGACACGCCCGAAATCCGCTCCCTTACACGAAGTCAGCTCCTTCACAGCCCCCACGAAAGTCTCTCCTTCTCCATCGTCATGTCTGTCAACAAAAGAAAACTCTTTTTATATAAGTGTGCTTGTATTTCAGGGCAGAAAGTGGCATCCTGTTAACTCTCTCCCTGATCCCACCAAGGGTTTTGATAGACGGACTCTACTCTGATCATGTTTTATGCTATGTGGCAATAACGCTGTTTATCACGTGATGTCGTTGCATTTCTTTTCTCTTTCATTTCATACTTCTAGACAAAATGACGTGCATTACAACATTGCTCTCCAACAATGATCCGCCAGGGGAACAAATGCCCAAATCACTGTAATCCCCACCATCGTCTTCTCCGCCACGCAAAACCCCTCTCCATCTAGTCTCAACGCTGCATCCCAAAGCATCAACCCAGCGATGAATCTCCCGAGACTCAGCACCACACAACAAGCCTTCAACGTTGGCACTGCCGTAGCCATAGCTGCAAATCCTCGGTAATGCGAATAACTCGCTGCTACAAGAAGAAGGACCAAGACCCAGACCACAGTTCCGATGATTGCTCCGGTCTGCATCTTGTTTAGAAACGTTAAAGCACTCTGTTCGGCTTCGGAGAGAGAACCAGCAATCTGAACCGGGCTGCCTAAACATATACCATACTGTTTCTGACATCCAACTCCACAATATGTCTCGTTGTTCCCACAAAACGAGAACGCACTACAGCAGCTACCCCACCGAGACCCCAAACACGATGCATCTATTCCAGAACCCGTCCCGCATGACCCATCTGTTGTCGTGGTATTCCGTCTCTGCTTTACGGCATTTTTGCAGGTCCCGAAAGCGGGCTGGCATCCTTCGGTGCAGTAATCGTTATCGCGACCACAGTATCCAAATCTGCTACAACAGTCTCCCCAGAAGGATCCTAGACAGGTTTGTTGCTTTGAGCTGCCGCACGTCCGGTCCTGGGATACCTCGAGGCTGCCCTTAGGAGCATTGTTCGGCCTCGTCGAGGGCGTCGAAGTAGCAACCCACGCCGTTGGGACGATAGTGGCGGTCGCGATTGGCGCAGAAGACTGTCTAGTTCCTTTTATGGTGATCTCTGTCCTCTTAACTGTTGTAAAAATATCGAAGATAAAGTACCCACTCCCCAGACCATATAGCAATTCGACAGCTTGCAATTCCATTGCATTCTTAAAGTACGTACTGGGACTCATCAAACTCGTTACACTAACAACAATTGCCGGCATTGGCCTCAATATCCAAGCACCCATTGCAGTTCCAAACTTTGGTCTTTCTGATACAAGACCTGGTGATCTTAGAAGCATTTGAGCTGTTGCAAGAGTCATTGCGAGCTGCAAGACTAGACTTCCAAGGACCGAGATTGCCTTAGAGACGGGTCGCCTTCTGCTCGAGATTGGGAATGGATTAAGTGTGCTGCGTATCCTGCGTCGGATATCTTGGGCTCCGAGGAGAAAGCTCCATGATACTGTGAGAGCTACAATGCACAGAAGCCATGGGACGGCTGTGCTAGGGCTGTGGCAGGGAGCATCGGGGTGGTGGAATTGCCAGTACTTGGTTGTATCCTTGAGAAGCTGGGGCAAGTTCTCAACCATGGCGAATAGAGTTCCGCCTCTGTCGCGAAGGAGACATCGAGGTTCTCAGACCATAGGGATCATCATGCACTGTTAGGTTAGAGTAGTAAGCCATGTCTAGCTCTTACACTACAAGGCTCGACGTATCTCAATACAGACAACAGTTTTCCAAGACTATTGACGCACGGCTGAGACCATCCTTCCGTCTTTGAGTACGCCTGCAGGTGGACCCCGACCTTCATTCGGCTATCCCTTCTACGAGACAAAAGCGTCTCTTCAACGCACGCCACAAGGCTGTGTCGCTTGTACACGTCACATTATCACTCTTCATGACGCGAAGACTTTCCTCTTGAAAAATTTGAGATAGCCTGAAATACAGGTGCATACATAGCCGTCCTCTCTGCAACCCACAAGGCTGGGAACCTCAAATTCATACGGGCCGACGATCCACAACAAACTGCCCTCAACGCTACAACAACAATGTTAATCTCAAGACTCCATGACCCCGATTCCCTCTCCACAACCGCCATTACTATCCTTGCGCTCACTTCCCAATCCCTCACTCAGCGGTCACGAAGCCGGGCTATGGATCGGGGTCGGCGTTTTACTAGGCTTCGCCTTCATATCCCTGGTTCTAGGGGCTTTGGAGCAATGGCGTGGAAATTCACCGAAAGCGTTTCGCGCCAAAGTCGATGAATTGAAAGCCCAAGCTTCCACAATTAGCACACAGAAAATGAGAATACAAGCCTTGGAGAATATAGGGCGTGATAAGGAGGAAACGATTGCAGACTTGGTAGAATGGAAAATAAGGAAGAAGCGGAAATCCAAGGCAAAGGAGGGGAGGATTCGGGAATTGGAGGAGGTAAAAAGGGAATTACAGGAAGAAATGGCGCGCAGGATGTTAGTGATTGATCAGAATAACGCCGAGATCGAAATGGCCAATAGAGAGCTTACAGCAAGAGGCGAGACCATCGCTACACATACGACAACGATACGGAATATAACAATTGAACGGAACGAATTAAGGAGAGATTTGGTGACCGCGAGAAGGAGACTAGGAGTTCTAGAGGTCAGCGAGCAGCGTCTTCTTCAACAAGTCAACTTCCATCTTGAAGAGGTACTCGAGCGGGACGCGGAGATTGCGAGGAAAGACGCTGAGATTGCGAGGAAAGATGCAGCGATTGCGAGGAAAGAACTTTAATGCAGAGGCTAAATTATCTTATGAAGTTACGAGTGGAGTGTACGTATTGGAGGATGCCAGGAACTTGGGATAGCTGGCTATGGAGGTTTTTGTACACATGAGATTGGTATGATTTGTTTCAAGCATGATTATTCGGACACCTATCACGGAATGCATGATACAGAGTGTGGACGGGGGAATGTCTCTTTCACACAGGCTACGCTACAAGGATAGGAAAGTGCATTCTACTTCACAATCTAAGCCTTTAATATCAGCGCCTACAGCACATCTAGACATACTCCATCGGAAGAATTTGACCACCGCGCAGCCGTACAAGGATCATGATTGTGCAGTTCTACTACATTGTCAGTCGCCACCTTGCACACTATTGCATTCGAGCACATACCTCTTGCACGTTATAATGTTCTAGCGTCTTACCTACAAACAAACATCAGTTCCCAATTTTAGCACACATCCCCTGCACACACTTACAGTCCTCAAACTGCTTCCCGGCATAGATCAACCGGTAGTAATCCATATCAACGTCCTTTTCATGCCACAATAGCCCCTTTAGCTGCCTAACGGTGTATTTGACGGGAATATTGCTGAGTATGAGAGTCTTCCCATCCAGTTGCTTGAAGTGCATGTTATCTATACAGGGACCTTCAGCTTTAGGACGTGTCCAGTTTCGAGACGTGAGTGCCTCTGAGGCCTTGGTGGGAGCCTTGGCTCGCTGGGGTGCGAGCTCGAATGGTCCAGCTTGTTGGATCTCGTCGCCCTGGTTCTGTGGTTAGGAGGCCCTCAATGCATCTGCACGGAAGGGAAGAGAATACATCTTCGATCTCATATTCTTCCAACGTTTTGGCTGTACCATAGGTGAGTGAATATGTCGAATATATGGAATGAATAGAGGGGGTGATACCATCATCTAACTTTGTCCTGAAGTAGAGAATGATGTTTGACCATTCGTGGGATCGACCAACTTTCTCAGCAATCATTCGTTTTAGATGCTCAACCGTATTGGTAGGGAGCAGACCTGTGACTGAGAGCTTCAGGTCCTCACCCTTTGGCCCTGCGTTTACTGGAGCGATTTTTAACGTGAGAATCTCATCGGCCATTGCTGAAACGATACCAGCGCTGTTCTTCACAAAATAGACCAGACAGCTTCAGTAGAGTACTAGATAGAGAACCTTAGGCAAAGGACATGTTTACATGCATGGCTGGGGTTGAGAGGCCAGACTGGGACGCAACCTCACAATGCAGAAGCAAGTGAGTTAGTCGTGGTTCATTCGCGCATTACATTTCGGTATTTCGGTATTTCGTGGCAGTGCATAATATCGCCGGAAATGGTCGCGAGAGAAATAATTGTCGAGATGGCGTTCTTAGCTAAACTCGAAAGACTGACCGGTGCCCCAACGCTGCCTGCACTTTGTATTTGCCTCCTGCAGGCAGAAAACAACCCCGTGAGTCAGTTCAGCCTTCTTCTTGTGCAACATGTTGATCACTATCGCGGGTAAGGTTGGTCTTATCTTTCCAAAGCACGAATAGTGCCCGGATACTTTTTTTTTTTTTTTTGGAATGGAGTATGAAGACGACTTCGAGAATTGGAAGCTCTGTTGGGAGGTCTCTCGGCTGTTCCAAAAACAGAGGTTCTTCCCGCCTCCTGATGATAACATTTGCCTAGGCTGCGGGGCGAAGACTAAGCCTTGGAGTAACAAGCATCGCTCTGAGTTCGTGATTCTTGCAGTTCAATGTTCTGCAAAGGGGCATCTCGACAGCCTGAGGTCATTGGAAGTAGATGTTTGTGTGCGCTGCAATCAGGATTTTGTTGCAAAAATTGTGAAAAGAGAGCAGATGTGCCCAGAAGAAGGATGCAGGAGAGTGTTAACTATAGACAAGAAAGCTGTTGCTAAGAGACTAGGCGGACAGGACTTACTTACCGTGTGAGTTTCAATCTTGCAATCTGCGTTACTAATAGTACTCATCTTTGTAGCAAGTTCCTGAGCCTGCTTTCGAAGTATGAAACCTTTGAATGCCTTTTTCATGGAGACACATCACCGTTGTCTTTAGCCCCAAAGCTGCACGCTCCTACAAATTGTAATCATGAAGCGAATATCTGCTCTAAGGGGCTCAAGGCTGTGCTCGAGCAAGCAGTCTGTGATGGTCGATTGCAAGACATTCGATGTCCAGATCCCGATTGTCGAGCCAGTTATTCCAATAAAGCCGTTCGAAGCATGCTATCGAAGGAAGTGTTCGTTCAGTGAGTGACTGTATTGAGCAAATTACTGTTCGGACACGGCTTGTCTAATCTGACTAAACCTAGATATAACCGAAAGCTAGGACTTCGCGAAATGCAGAAAGATGATAATTTCCGCTGGTGTCAGGGGAAGGGTTGTGACAATGGACAAATCGTTCAACACAATGGTACTTGCCTACTCTTAGTACAAATTGGGAGACTGTACTGCGCTAACTATTTTCGAAGCTGACGAATTGGAATGGCAATGTGTCGTTTGCAAGATGTGGAATTGCTTTGGTTGTAGTAAAACAATATGCGAAAGGCATAAGAAGGAGAAGGCCGAGGAGAGCGCAAATGAGGAATTACTTAACCGAACTACGAAGAGATGTCCTAGAAGAGGCTGTGCCCGAAGAATTGAGTACAAGTGCGGTTGTGCCCATATGACGTGCCATGAGAACGTAGCAAGTAAGGGTCGGTTAAGGACAACATTTGAGATATAACTAATTAGCTCCTAGACGGATGTGGAACGGAGTTCTGTTGGGTCTGTAAAGTCATTTGGCCAAGGCAACCGGAACCAACGGGGAAGGCGGTGGCATCTCACCTGGCATCATGTCGGCTTCGAAATCCTTCAAGAACTCCAGTAAATAGGCCACAGTCTAATGATGGAGACTATGCTCCTGGGTGGGACTTAGATCCTGGATACGATATATCTCTAGACACAAGTATGTGGCTTCCAGGATACCAGCGTTGAGAGGGCGTAAGGAAATGCAATGCAAAATTGCGGTCTCGGACAGCCTTCGTATCTGTAGGAGCGAACAAAAAAGTGGAATGCTAATAGGATTAATATGCGCTGCTTTGGAAGATTTCAAGTCTTTACATCAATAGAGACGCGCTGAAAACGGACATATCAATAATTGGGCCTTTGTTAAAGCGATTATCACATACTTGTCTGTAGTGGAATAGGCCTTTCAATGGGTTGTCTGACGTACCCGTGACCAAAGTATATAAAATGGTGGCGCTGCCGAGCTTCGATCACTCATATGTACGATCTTGGATTAGCACCTCTCTACCTATCCCTCTTGAAACGAGATCCGCCATTGACCTTCTAACATAGCGTCAATGGACCATCGAAGGGACTGAGCAGAGCGTACTCGAGTGTACTGACAATGTCGAATAGTGGCCTGGTTACGATAAAGACCTAGTAATGCTCTTCTCAAGATCATTAAGGAACTACTAATGTTCAGAAAACAGGTCTACCAATATCTCATTGAGGAGAATATTTTGAAATATGTTGATGAGAACGATGGGATATATGCGTCTATATAATGCAGAAGAGTAAGGAAGGGTATCTCGAATGCGTACCTCTACCTATTCCTAGCCCACGGATATTTGTACAAACGTATGCTACATAGGTTCTAGGTCTACACAAGAACGTACAAAGCACACATCTACCTCATATTAGTTCTAATACTACTACCCATCATAAAAGATACTTACCATGGAAAGTCCGAGAATCATAGAGCACCAGAATAGTACGTTCTAGTGAGGTTAGCACACATTTACACACTAATGCTTTAAAAACTAACATTGAGCAAAGTGCGACCGCGGACAAAACGAGACCGCTGGACCATAACGATCGGCATTTGGAGCATCATTGCGAAGAATCCATAACCTCGGAACTTGCGCGTAATGCAACCCATGACAAGTTCGTGTGCCAACGCGCTAATGAGGAAAGTGATAACAGTCGCAACTGGTCGCGACGTGTGGTTTTTGGACGCGGAGTAGACGTGCCTCCTGAAGAAGTGGTGAACTGGTTTGTTCCACTCTCTCGAGAACTCAAGCCAATCGCAGCTGTTCCACCAATCAGCGTAGAACTGGCGATCCGCAAAGCCTACGCGGATTGTTAGCATTGAGATAAGAAATCCGATGGGAGACTTACGGGTTATTTCAGCGAAAGCGCCCAAGACATACTCGAAGATCACCAAGAAGACGAGTAAGAACGTGACCATAAATGGGAACAGCAGACGTCCGATTGTTTCTCCCATTATCAAGCCGAAGTCGGAGATGCTCTGCGAGGCCTGAAGTCTGACTGCAGATTCGTCCAAGACTGGCAAGATGAATTCTTCAGTGGTGACTGTCATGAGGAAGATGCAGCCAAATACAGCCAAAGTCTTGTAGAAGACTTCCATCCACCGTATCCTTGGAGTTCTTGGATATTCAAGTTCATAGCAAAGAGTCGGACAGAAGATGAAATCAGCGTAGTTGTATAGTGTGAGATTTTGTGGATACGAGACGTGGCCTAAGGGCGAGGCCAACTCGAATGCAAGGTCTTCTCTTAGTTGGCGCAGCTTCTCCCCGTTGACGCTTTGCGAATTCTGGGCTTGAGAAGGAGACTGGGGAATCTCTTGGAGATGGGTGCGCGGCTGGGGGTATCTGTAAGCTGCAGCTTTAGAGGCTGTATCAGGGGTATCGAGGTCATTGAGCCGACGTCTTGTTTCGCTTAGATGGCCGTTGTAGAAGCTTCTTGTGTTAGCGCCATGTGCGAAAACCTGTTAGTTTCACCTACGCATATGAATGCATTTTCATAAAGATAGCCAGTAAATGCAGGGTGAAGAAGACTTGAGCGGTCCAACTCCAGTCCCGGATGAAGGGGAAACTAGATCATTGGTAAGTATAGGACCAAATTGCCGGATCAACCAACGCTACGTACGAGCACCAGAACGTAAGCCAAGCAGCTTGATATATGCTCTGAATAGCCATGCCGAGATTATTCCACCGGAACACGCCGAAGCTGCTCATGTACAATTTGTGCAACGGAAGCGACAAAGCGGTGCTAGCAACCATAGCTCCATCGCTGAGGCCCAGTTCCCAGACCTTCTCCGTGAACAGATTCCATTGCCTGATAGACAGAGGGTAGCCTGTATCCTTGTAGTTCCGAAGCATGGAAGTTATGACCATGATGGCAAGACCTATCCAGAACAGTACGAAGAAACCGCGGAAGTCCCGGTAGTCGCTCATCGGGTCGAAATGGGAGACTCGATCGACATATTCGATACTGGGAAACATGCGCTGTTTCTGCTGTGCTCGAATCTGGCGTCGAGCGGAGGAGGACGCCTGCACAGAAGGTGGTGCATCTGCAGGTATAGGCGTCGAGCGGCCACTACTGGAGTTAGCGCATACCGTGAGGAGAGCAGCCCAAGTTCTACAGACCTCGAGACGCAGGACGGAGGCTCCCTCAGATACCCATTCGGCCTCAGGAGCTCGTCGCTCATGTGCGGTTTCAACAGTTCGATTTTCCCGGGTTTGCGCGCCCGGGGTTGGAGGCACTCGGTATGTCCATCCTGGTTCCGCGCGTCAATTGAAGTGGAGTCGGCCATTATGAGGAGAGGCGGCGGGGCATTCTGAGGCGCGGAGGAGCGCGGCTGGCGAAGGATTTAAAGATAATGTCAGCCCAGAACTTAGTGTTGACTGACGCCGTGTCCGGTATCTCTCACAGACTGTCAGATGAGGCAGTGTGAGCTGGGGGTCCTAGATTACTACTGGCCCGGCATTGGCGTGGGTGGCAATGAAGAACAAAAGTGGAAAGGAAACACGGTGAAGGTTCCGAAAAGGGACATTTGCAGTATATGCTCAGAGACTACAGCGGTCGACCGCGCTCTATTCACAGTCACTGACCGAGAATGACGAGCGGGTGTGACGGGAGCCAGCCATTACATCAGCGAAGTTCGGGCTCAAGTGCGAAGAGGATGCCAAGCACCCGCCACTACTGCTGCCAGGAGTACCCACGAGACTAAGAACAAGGGAAAGAGTAATGCGTGACTTCGTTGCTGGAACCCAAGGCTTGTCAAAGGGATAGTCTGATTGAGGGTATACGCGGGCGGTTGGTACAAGACATCAACCGTGGAGGTGCTCCTTTCAGCCAATCACGTGGTGTAGGCCCACGGTCATTAGTTCCCCCGACCTCCGTGCCTGTCCTCTGATGCTGCGAAATATCAGCCAGCAACGACTTGACGAGATTTGCAATAACGACCCCACCGAGCGAACGACTTTTCCTCGAACTCAGCAACGGGAACTACCTCTCTATAATCGCTGTCCTGCCGCTCGACTGATTCTCCCAAAGCGCCTCCGGTGGGGTCCTTGAGGCCACCACAATGACTTCGTGTATGCCAAGCCCCACCACCCCAGCTCGAACTCGAGTGCAGTTACTGAAAGCAGGCAGTAAAGCAATTCATTCGGAATGTGCGCGCGGCAAAGACGATAGCAGACGAGCGGGCTGTGGTCCAGAAGGAGAGTGCTGCCATCCGGGCAAGCTTCAGGGAGGAGAGCGGAGATCACAGCGTGAGGTGTGTTCTGGACACCGCCCCCTAGACAGGTGCATATATTCATCCGCGTGCAGGAGAAACAATGTCGCAAAGCTCTTATATCTCTTCACCCTCGGTGAGAGGACACATTTCGGCCAGATCGAATGTCTGAAGCTGCTGGCATCTCCGCGGTTTGCGGACAAGCGGTTGGGCTATCTAGGGACAATGCTGCTCTTAGACGAGAACCAGGAAGTTCTGACACTAGTCACAAACTCGCTCAAAAAGTATGGTTTATCCACGCACAAAGCTAGATATGATGCTAAAGAGCTACTCCAGCGACCTCAATCATCCGAACCAGTACATCGTCGGCCTCGCTCTCTGCACGCTTGGAAACATTGCCTCAGTCGAGATGTCACGAGACCTGTTCCCCGAAGTCGAAACCATTATCTCCAGCGCAAACCCGTATATACGTCGAAAGGCGGCTCTTTGCGCCATGAGAATATGCAGGAAGGTGCCAGATTTGCAGGAGCACTTCCTGGAAAAGGCCAAAGTGCTTCTCCAAGACCGAAATCATGGCGTGCTGCTGTGCGGGCTGACACTGGTTACCAGTTTGTGTGAAGCGGACGAGGCAGAAGATGGTGAAAATGGTATTGCGGATATGTTCCGTCCTATTGTTCCAAGTCTGGTCAAGATACTGAAGGGCCTCTCATCGTCCGGCTATGCCCCTGAGCACGATGTGACGGGCATAACTGATCCCTTCTTACAAGTCAAAATCCTACAGCTTCTCCGGGTTCTGGGACGGGGAGACCCCCAGGTTAGCGAACAGATAAACGATATCTTGGCACAAGTACGTCCATCTCTGATTACCGAACGTTGTCTCTTATATGTGCTCTATGCTGACTTTCATAGGTCGCAACTAACACCGATTCGTCTAAAAACGTCGGAAACTCGATTTTATACGAAGCGGTTCTCACCATTCTCGACATTGAAGCGGACTCTGGCCTTCGTGTGCTAGGCGTGAACATTCTTGGAAAGTTCTTGTCAAACCGGGACAACAACATCCGATATGTTGCATTGAACACTCTGATCAAAGTTGTTGCGGTTGAACCGAATGCCGTGCAGAGACATCGCAACACCATCCTTGACTGCCTTCGGGATCCTGACATCAGTATTCGGCGGCGAGCACTCGACCTAAGTTTCACTTTGATCAATGAGAGCAATGTGCGAGTATTAATTCGGGAGCTGCTTGCCTTCCTCGAGGTCGCAGACAATGAGTTTAAGCCTGTAATGACATCTCAGATCGGTATTGCCGCCGACCGGTTTGCTCCAAATAAAAGGTGGCACGTCGACACCATGCTGCGTGTTTTGAAGCTGGTGAGTCTCCGATACCGAACCTTCACTAGTATTGTTACTAAATCACTCTCTAGGCTGGGAACTATGTCAAGGAACAGATTCTGTCTTCTTTCGTCCGCTTAATTGCTACCACTCCCGACTTGCAGACCTATTCCGCTCAAAAGCTCTACGCTGCTCTGAAAGACGACATCACACAGGAGGGCCTCACCCTTGCTGGTTCATGGGTGATTGGGGAATATGGAGATGCTCTACTAAGAGGCGGCCAGTACGAAGAGGAGGAATTGGTGAAAGAAGTCAAACAGAGCGACCTCGTTGATCTGTTTGAGTCCATACTTAGCAGTAGCTATGCGGGGCAGATCGTCACACAGTATATTGTCACAGCAGCAATGAAGCTCACAACCCGACTGAACGACCCGGCACAGATAGAACGGCTCAGGCGACTGCTTCAGCGATACTCAACGAATCTCGACATCGAGATCCAACAGCGGGCCGTCGAATATGGAAATCTCTTTGGTGCCGACCAGATCCGGAAAGGTGTATTCGAAAAGATGCCACCGCCTGAGATTCGCGAAGAGCAGCGAGTACTCGGCGAGGCAACCAAGAAGCGACATTCCAAGGCTCCAAAGAAGAAATCGGCACCAGCGGCTACGGAAGACCTCTTGCTTGATCTCATGGGTGACTCTGCAGTTCCAGGTCCGGACGCTAGTGCTACCACCAACGGCTCTCAGGCGCAAAGTGCTGATTTACTAGCGGATATCCTTGGTGGTGGCCCATCTACCTCTTCACTTCCTCAGAGGACCTCGCCTGTACCTTCGAATGTTAACTCTATAATGGACCTCTTCAACACTGGTGCCACTGCTTCCCCAGCGCCTACGCAATCTCAGCCACCGGCAGGAGCCCCAGCATCTATGGATTTCTTCGGCGGCATGTCCTCTCCCCCTCCTCAAACGTCAACTCCCCCTGTAGCGTCAGGCCCACCAGCCCATCCCGCATACGACAAGAACGACCTGAATATCACTTTCCAACTTAAGCGTGACGCGAATGCCATCCAAGTCCTCGCCCGCTTCCGGAATACCGGCAGTTTTTCGACCCTTGGAAGTGTGAGCTTACAAGCAGCGGTACCTAAGAGTCAAAAGCTACAGCTTCAACCTATCACCCAGTCCGAGCTAGGCGGCGGCCAGGAGGCAACCCAACAGATGCGGATTACAGCTATCAATGGGGTAAGTTCACCTGATTTCCGATACTATCTTTCTAAGAACGCTGCTAACGGCTTCTACAGCCACCTCCTGCGCGGTTGAGGTTGAGACTCAAGGTTGCATATTCAGCGGGAGGAAGCCCGGTCTCAGAGCAGGTGGATTGGTCCGAGCCGACGTAAAGGGACGTCATCAATGAGATGAGAGCGTGCTGTCCTCGGGCTCTGAGTGACAAGGGGTTTGAATGAAGTTTACACACAGCATGCTGACCATTTGGGCGTATTTTAGTGAACTGTGTCTACAGCGTAAGAATACATCAGGCTAGCGGCTTTGACTCAGCGAGCATTTGGCTGCAGACTTTTTTTTTTCCCACTTGGATATGATACTTCGGCCTGATCTATCTATTCTTCGGAATTGATAGCGATTTGCATGTCCCATCCACACAATGTATTCATTCCTTCCCCACTAACTCAACCTGATGTCGGGAGGCTGGGTTCACCAGGTTCGGGGTTGGAGCTGAGAATCAAGCTGGGCAATATCGTGCCATGTTGAAGTCTAATGAAGAATTTCTAAACTGTAACGATGGTTGGTCATGGTGAGAGCACGAAATGCGGACCGACGGCCGATAAAGCATAATGGACTACAGATGCGGTTTCACGAGTAGGAGATAACGGCAACGGAAGCAAATGAAATTGTGGAATGAGTTTTCGTTGATGACTGGTCGTGGTGAGGGGTGTTATCATCTGCTGTCTTCGGAAATGTAGATGGGTTTGATAAAAAACCAGAATGGACTAGATGCAGTTTCACTTTCAGAAGATAAAAACAGCAGAGTCAAACGAAAAGATTTATTGATCAGACGTTCATTTTTTTGGATTTGGCAACGTAACCTCACACCGCATGCACCCAGCTAGCTACACAGATAATGCCCCAAACCCATAATCCCATCCATCTAACCATTCCAGATCACTATCCATCACTGGACCATACCACGAAAACCGAAGCCAACCCGATGCACAAACGGGCGAGAATGTCGAATTGAAGTTGAAATTGTCGTACAGGTAGCGAGGGCGTCAGGGGAACAGTTGGGGAAGGTGGGGAAGTTTACTGCTCAGTCTGGAAGTAGTTGAGCAGGATGCTACGTTCCTGGCTCTCCTCACCCCAGTCGCGAACGACGACGCAAGAACAGTTGACAACTTTGCGGGGGTTGCCTTCACGATCGATCTGACCTGTATTTAATTTCTCGTTAGTCCGGATCTAGAAAAATATTATAGCAATTCTCCTCTTTATCCTCGAGACAGGAATAGAATCCATCCAAGTCCGTCCCCCAGTTAGAATCAATACAAGGGAAAAAAAATCCACTCACATAACCCAGCCCACTCTCCAAGCTGTTTCCCATCGGGGACCTTAATCAACGGAATCTTATGCTCGCTGCACAACGCCACAACAAGCTTCTTATATGCCTCTTCCTCGCACGCTTCATTCAGAACACACATGTGTGCCTGGCGCCGATCCAAAGCCTTGGAAGCCTCGCGCAGGCCGCGGGCGAGACCATCGTGGATGAGCGCGAGCTTGAGGACACCTTTCAGGGCCTCGAGCACGGACATCTGGCCTTTGCCTGTCGCGGCATCGGCGCTGACTTCGACTTCGGCGGCGGCTTCGACGGGAGACGTGGGCTCTTCTCCGTCCGACTGTAGGGGAAGTTAGTACTAGAGACATGTTTTCGCTGGTTCCCGTTCAACATCCTTCGCGATTGCTACAATCTCGGGAGGCGCGAAGGAATATGGAATAGGAGGAAGATAAAGAGCTGCATACCATACTGATCGTATTAATCGGATGTCCTCGAAGAGATAGATGATGGGGGTGGTATGGAGGAGTTTCAGTGTCTAAAAGTTCGAGGTCGAAATCTGTGTGTTGGGGCGGTAGTTCGATTGCCCGACAAGCGAGCTTATGAGCCATGGCTTGGTAGGCTTGGCACACGTGATCCGACCCTTACGCCCTCCGACAGATGAAAAATCGAGGTGGGGTTTCGAGATGGTGCTTGATTTATCTGACTTGGGGAGACAGACATAGTAAGCAGATATTTGAGGGGGTAACCCGTGTTAAAGATGATAGATTCAGTTGAAGTTGAGTCACAAATGCTTTTGTTCAGAACTGCCGTGAAGGGCCTTGGGCCAGCGGATATTTAGAATATTGCTTCAGCATTTGAAGCTCTCGTTCATTCTATATCCATTCTACCCCTTCCTAACTAGCCCCTACACCAGCAATTCTGGACCAGCCGACGCTTTTACACTCTCACCTCGCCTTCCCTAGTCGAATCGCCTTAAAGATAAGGAAAGCTTGTCTCGAACACCGCCCAGAAACACAAACAGAATACACTTAATATGACGGCATCAACCGTCCCACACTTGGCACTCATCCACACTCATTGATATAAAACACCTTTGCAAAAACACATAGTAGAAGACAGTAGAGAAAGGGGAAGACTAGCTAGCAATGCAGAGTGGCCGGTGACGAAACGCGCGGCGCTTTGAAGGGACTTGTAAATGAAGGAAAAGGTATATCAGCAAGCCGCTGTACGCTATCAGCCCAGAGACGAAATATGGTGGAAGGCCGAAGGTATGGTTGGCCCGCCTATCGGGGGAGCACCCTAACGCCAAAAACAAAGAAAAGGTGATGTACTCCTTTGTACATTAGTTGGTGTGCAAGCACAAGGGTAGGAAAAGAAATAATATATGGTAGTAACACTACATAACAATGCAGCAGCAGTTCTTCTTCTGCTTCTCTTCTGCTGACGGCTCGGGTAGGCGAGTCGTGTTGGTATTCTTCGGAGAAGCTGTTGATCGATGTCCTGAGTTGCGGGATGGAATACGAGGGCTTTGTGGTATTTTAGGGGTCAGCTTGTAACCGCCTTGCTCGTTTGTTGGAGATTTCAGGCCCGTGTCCTGACGACCTGGACTATTTTTCGTAGGGCTTGGGAGAGGCCATTGTTGATCATCTTCGTCCTTTTGATTGTCGGTTGGCTGAAGAATTTGGGAATCGCGTTTGTTGAATTCCTCTGTGTTCAGGAGTCTGAACTCCCGATCATATATGGAACCATGCTTGCCCTCAATCTCCCACTGCTCTTGCTGCATCCGTTTCGCATGTGTTGGGATGATCTGCTGATCAGGAGGGAGTCGAGGGTCGGGCTTGTACATGGTAGCCATCCATGGTGGGTCACCCTCAGGCCGGTGACCCGTAGTCGGTCGAGAAATAGACCCACCACTCGTCCCAGGACGTTTAGCAGGAGATGTTGCGGATGTGTTTCGAGATTTTGCGGTTGAGGTACTTCGTTGCGCAGTGCCTTTCCGGCCCCCCGATATAGGAGCAAGCTTTCCAGGAGTCTTTGCTTTTGGAGGTGATCCCGTGACAGGAGACGTGGGACTGCTGAAGTCTCCTCGGAGTGGAGTCTTGAGGTGGTCCCCAGATCCTTCTAAATCATCCATTAGAACCTGACTTGAAGTACTTCCACTCCTCACTCTTGCTCCGTTGGTGGCTATCGCATCACCGGTCCAATTCGCGCTTCCTTTGCGGGATCTTGGCAGCGGTACATCTCGCTCGACGTACGCGTGGGGAACCGGCGCTGGACTGGTCTTTGCGATAGGGATGCGTGAGGTGCTAGGTCTGATGATATGGTTCCGTGGTGGGGAGATCTCCCTCTCAGCTGCTATTTCATCAGGGGTTCGCAGGTCCCACTGCGCCGGATCATCGTCCCCCTCCTCATCCTCGGCGGGTATAGGGGAGACCACCCGTCGTTTGTCATGGCGATCGTCTCCATTGTGCGCGGCATCGTTTGCTTCAGAGTTTCTACGGTCTCTAGCACCCACTGAGGCGCTGTGGGATCTGCTATTCGATCGACTGGTGCGTCCAACTGGAAATCCCGCCTCCTCCAATTCCTTGGTCTCGATTTCCTTAAGCTTATCTCGGTGTATCCAGTTGTTCTCGTCCTTCTCAGCCTCGGTCCAATTTGCTCCACCTGCCGTCTTTTTCTTGTTCGCCGCGGTTTGTGACGCCGTTCGGCTCCCATTCTTGCTCTCGGAGTTCTTGTAGTAGTCTAGGAGGCTGTCTGGGTCGCTGCTATTGGCACTGATGTCACTGCCCTTCCTCTGCAGTTCGTTGACCCGAGTCGGCGCGAGGTATCCTGCATCCTCGTCGTAGCGTTGCCGTTGGGAGTCTAACGTGTTGGAACGAGGCTGCTTGGTTACGCCATTGGGCTGGGGTGCGAGAGGCTGGCGGGACGAGAGCAGTTGCGCGGCGGGGACGTCTTCGGACATTAAAGGCTTCTGGTCGGCAGTTGTCTTCTGTGTTGGGTAACAAGGTCAGCAATCTTGATCACTGCGTAAGGCTCGGGGATGCCGTCCTAGTGAGGCAGAAATTGGCTCGTTGATAGACGGGAAGTTGAGTTGACGCTGTGCGCGGGAGCGGTTGCAGATAGTGCCAGTAGTCTGGCGCCGGACCGCGACAAGCAGCATGTGACATCACGGCAAGACCAGGAAATCAATAGTCTACCACTCACCCCGTTATCCAAAGGCACTGCAAAATCCCACGATCCTCGTCCCCCGTGAGAGCTGTTCGGAGGCGTCAATTGCTGAAGCGTCGGAGGCTGGTGGGGGGATGCCACGGCCATAGGAGAAGAGTAGGCAGGCGTGGGCCGACGGCTCTAGAGCGCTCTCAAAGCCCCCGGAGCGTGCGCAAACGCGATCTCACCCAGAAGAAAAGGGCAACCAGAGACAATCCGACGTCGTTGTAGAATGTTTCACGGGCCCGGAGAAGGGGTGACACGAGTCCGTCCTATGCGCGGAGACAGGATGAAGAGTGCGGGTGACGTGACAAGCGGGCCCCCGTGTGGATTGAAGTCAGAACGGCTATGGAAGAAATGCCATGGACGGGAGTGTCGATCGTGGAGAGGCGTCGATGGTGGTGAGAAGGGGGGGGGGGGGGGGTGTTAGAGTTGTTTGCATGCATGCAGGTTCCCTGCAACGGCGCTGGGGGGACGGGGATTGGGCTAATTAACGTAAGAGGGGAAAGAGAAGTAATGAGTGGATGAGTGGCAGAGACCCGCTGAGAGCACCTCCAGAGAGGCGGGAACGGCCGTCCAGTGGTTGCACAATCCGCGAAACCGACGATGAATGGGCGCAGTGCGTGTTGTTGCTGCTGAGGAGGTCTCGTCGTCTTGAACGGCGACGGCGGGTGATTGGTTGTGCTGCGATTTTGCGGCGAGCTTGGACAACACTCCAATCCCAGAGACAGCCCCGTCTTAGCCTGCAGCACCGCGCCCCATGTGGGCTAGCAGCGAAAAGCAAAGTGGTCCAGAAAGCCAAAAGAGCCGGGATGGCATCGCCGCAAAAAGGAGACGGCCAAACGGTGGAGCCGTTTGACATCGGTGCGCAGCATCAGAAGAAACGCATCCCACATCACGCACATCACGTACATCAGCCCGCTGTGTGTGAGTCGTGCTGCTCCTATGCGGTCCATACCCGCCGTTGTGGAAACAGGGCTCGCATGATATGATGCTCTCTGGGATGTTATTCTGTCTGTCAGTTTAAACTGTGACAAGTGATAAACAACCCTTATGTCCCCCTGCGTATAAATTATGCACTCTTCCACCTCGCGCCATCATTCTGATAGCCGGCAGTATAACGAAGCGGTGGAGGCATTTCCAATGTACTCGGCGAAGGTGAGGTCCTTTCTGAAACTAGTCACAAAATCTAGTTTTCGGAGGCGATGGATTTCCTTCTGGAGCGTGCAGCATCCCGCCCTGTGTAGCGAGATCCCAAAGGCGAGGAGCCGGCGGTAGCGAGCTACAGCTTCAACAACAGGCAGATTAGGATCATTGGATGCTATGATCACCAACCCGTAGTCCTGGAATCCGGGGAGACAAGCAGGTAGGTCACACGTACAGGGCTATTATTTCCACGCTTATAGTTCAGGTCTTCGGTTCTGGCTAACAATGAAGCAAAGCTATTAGTCCGCAGCGTGTTAGCGTTGAATGTAATTAGCGTAGGCTTCATCTGCGAAAACCCCTGCGGGAATAACACAAAGGGTCAATAAGTTGCAAATCTGTCTGGAATTACCCTGGCCATGTTCTACGTTAGTAGTCCATCACCATCCAAAGCTCTCTTCATGATAATATACATCATAACCTTTTCCAATCCACAACCCCACCACACTCCTCAACTCCTCTGTTAAGCCCTTCGGCCCACACGCAAGAACGGCTATCCTGGTTCCCTTGCTAAAAGTCTCACCCACGATCGCCTGCATACTCGGACGTCCACCCTTCACCGTCATTCCTTTCCCCAGCTTATCCATCTGCTCTTCCATACTCAGCAGCTGACCATCTTCTGCAAGCTCGATATCATCGCCCGAACCGCTGGCCTGCAGATCCGGACCAGAAGGCTGCGTTACACAAACCTCGATCGTGCTGTTGTGTGACGGTAGCTCGAATCCTGGCTCGTCTGAGTCCCGTGCGGGGAATGCCCATTGCGTTTCGGCGAGCTTGCGAACTGCCCAGATGAACCGGGTTCGGGACACTGATGAGTGGCCTGCGTCAGGAGATTCGACGATGCTGCGGTAGATGGGCATGAGGAATGTTGCACCGACTCCACCTGCGACTAGCAAGACCTTGTCGAAGGTAGAGAAATCTGGTAAGCGGGTTGATGCGCCATAGGGTCCTTCTAAGGCGAGTGGAATGCTGGCATGGGTCCCATTGTGGGTAGATAGAGACCGGGCCAGCTTTTCCAGGTGCTTAGTGTTACCATTCAAGGCCCTTGCTACTAGAAGGAGTTCCCCATCCTTTGCTGGAATTGAGGCAATAGTGAACGGATTTGCTTGGTTGCATAAGAGGAGCTGACCATATAATGACCCAGCGGATGACTTCCCTGAGGGTCGGCTGAGGTAGACGTGTTGCCCAGGTTTCCAACCGAATGCTACTTCCGGTGTGTCCAAAGGAATGCAGATCTGAACAAGATTGGTTCCGGGGAGGAGCTTGATAGTCCCAGAATATCTTCTGATACCAAGGTTCCGGAAGACTTGATGAATGGTGTAAACTACAATGGTCTCAACGACGTACTTTCTGATATGAGTTACGTGAAAATAGAGTGGGACGAGGATTGTACTGGCGATGATGACGTGTGTAGTGAAGAAAACTCGGTAGTTCCATCTTCGAAGAGGCTCAAGAGCGGTAGTACTTAGGATGGTGAGTAGAATTATGCTGAGGATCCCGATAATAACGTCCTTGTCCTTGATTCGCTTCGCAAGGAACCCAGATAGGACAAAGAAGTTCATGTAGAAGGTTGCATGAAGGAAGAATAGGAAGTAGATGATCCGGCCTAGGACCTGGTGGGATGCTTTCAGTTGCTCATGAGACATTCGTGTGAGATGTTGTATTGGCGAATAGGGTGACCGCATGGCCAGGAGGTAGTGGAGCGGAAGCTGAGAAGCTCCGATGATTCCGAAACGTTTTGTGAGATGGAGATAGTCTGTGGTTTGTCAGGTGCTTTTCCTCAGATCGAATCTGAAACGAGGACAACTACATATCAAGCAGCCCAGCTTGTTAGAGAATTGGTGAATTAGAACCTTTCTTACCATTGCTGGTCTGAGCGCTTGAAAGATACAACAGCCATGCCATCCAGATCCCACCACCTATCCATTCTCCCCGCGTTCCCCAGCTGGCAGCTACGGGTTTCTTCATCCACCATGAAAGCTTGATGCTTCCCTGACAGGACTTCTTCAACCACGTTGATTTCCCTTCCGCTCGCTTGCTGAACGAAGGCGACCTCGGCCGTTCATAGTCAAGCCCTTGTCGTGCCAGGAAGGATAGGATGCCGCCGCATACGAATAAAGCAAGAACAACCAGGGCCGATAACTGCGCCATTAAAGGATACCATTCGAGTAAGACTCTCCGGGCATGTTTCTGGTCATGGTCCAGATCCACGAACTCGTATCCAAAGACCATGGTGGGAATCCCGGCGTTTAGATGAATCGCCGTTCCTTATCAATATCTAGCCTATCTGTTGTCGATAGAAAGTTTTAGATTCCTCAAAGAGAAACTGACGATTTGGAGAAAGAAATGCCCACATAGAGCACGTGAAGCTGGCAATCGGATCCCGAAGGATAGGGATGCGAGGGCTGACAGGTCGTTACCCCTGGAGATAGCACACGGAGCAAACGCAGGGCCTCTTGCTCTCAAATCCTGGTGCGACAGAGTGAGTGATGGAGGCCTGAATATGAAGGAGCATGCTACTTCGCTCAACAATGCATGAATTGGCGTTGGACAGGGGGTGCGCCACAGCGACACATTCACTCACCAGTGGCGCCGAGCCAATCTACGCTTTCATCCCACCTGCCACATTGGACCCCGCGTCTGACTCCAATCCCATCGCACAATTGTCTTCTTACAGAAACGAGTTGTTTGCAACTTTCCACCACTCGCTGAAGTCATCTTATATATCCAGACAAAAGCATGGCTGCAGACCTTACCAGCTCCAAGATCCCTCTTTGGCTTGATTGTGTATGTCGCGTTCCCCAATCTCTCCTCGAATTGGCCGCTGACATAATGGATACCACAGGACACAGGACACGATGTATGAAGTCCTGACCGTCGCCATCCGGAGGAACCGCTCACGCTGCTCTCAATACTAGGATGCCTACGCTCTCCTTCTTAGCTCCCACGACCCGCGAGTCGAACTGCTTGGTGTCAGCACCGTCCACGGCAATGCTCCGCTCGACCAAACTACCTTCAACACCCGTGGCATGCTAGAGGCTATGGGCAAAGGCCACATCAAGGTCTATCCGGGTGCAGCAAAGCCAATAACGCGCGAGGTGGTACACGCTGCTGACATTCACGGTAATTGAACACATGCACACCTGCGAAACAAACAGCTGAGGGCTTCCAGGCGAGTCTGGTCTCGATGGGGTTACATTGCTTCCGCAACCCCTCGAACCAGCAATCACCGATGTCGACTTCCTTGAAGCGATGTATAAGGCTCTAATTGCTACACCACCGAACTCCGCGTGGCTCGTTTCGACAGGCACCCTCACGAATATCGGATTGGTTTTCAAGAAGTACCCCGATCTCGCAGCACATTTGAAGGGTCTTAGTATCATGGGAGGCGCGGTTGGCGGTGGTTTTACGAATGCCCCAATGGGTAAAGTGAAAGGAGAGGGGGAGCGGTTTGGTAACTGGACGGCTTATGCCGAATTTAATGTATGTGCTCGCCGTGCCATTTCCCGCCTTTCGAGTCTCTTCGAAAGACCAAGATTCACTAACACCACCTTTAGATTTATGTAAGTGGACCCCGGATTCAATTGCAAGCCTATCTTACCCTACTAGTGCGACCCCGAGGCTGCGCAGTCCATCTTCGCCAACCCTGTCCTGATTCCGAAGACAACACTTGTCCCGCTTGACCTCAGCCACCAGGTCCTTTGCACTGAGACAATTCGCCACACGCTACTCTACGGCTCAGATCAACCTCTTGACCGCTCCACGGTAGACACGAGTGGGACGCCATCTCCTCTCCGTGCACTATTCACACAGATCACGTCCTTCTTCGCCGCTACCTACGCCGAGGTTTTCGCCTTAACGGAAGGGCCGCCACTTCATGATCCTCTCGCCGTCGCCGCTGCGATCGAACCATCTATATTCGATGACAGGGGAGGAGAGCGCTTTAAGGTAGACATCGTGACTGAGGGAGCACATTCTGTCACTCAGACCAACGTCGGAGAGCTCGGACGAACAAAGGTGGCCAAGCTCCCGCTGGGAGAAGGGGGCTGTCGAATTCCACGTGGCTTGGATCTGCCTCGATTCTGGGAGATGGTGGAAAGCTGCCTGAAGAGCGCTGACAGCGTCAGTCCAATGGCAAAGGTCTCGCTTGAAGACTTGAAGAAGGAAGGAATTTTGGAAGGCTTGGCATAACTGGTTTGCGGTGTTTTGTGTTTAGCGTTCTGCCACGAATATCCCTTGCCAATGGAGCAGGCCTCAATTTGCAGAGATCAGGAAATTCAAAAAGTTCCCTTCAGCCTTACAAACACAAAGGGCCATGCGTACACAGTATGGCGGAATTTCAGGAACGCCTCCCGGAGCAAAAGACTTCCAGAAGGTGGCTGCATTTAGCCTGTTCACTTAGCGCATATCGGGCATCTTTCAACGCCGCGGCTCCTCATATTCAACCCCAAATTCATTGAACTTCTCCGTCGACGCCACATAGTAGTCGGGTGGGTGGAGACCCTGAGCCTTGCGGGGTAGCTAACAAAGTGTTGATTTTGCCCCCTGCGGTTCACGAGATCACAGAGCAAGAACTACCACTCCATCGCAATACCCAGAGTACGAAAAGACACGGCAATACTGCCGTTCGTCACCCGCAAAATAAATGTGTACCATTCGTTCGAAATAATAATACGATCGCCCAGTCTCCATCCAAATCAACGGAAACCCTCAAACCCGGCTATATTCATTCTTGCACTAAGCATCTCGCAATATAAAAAAGGTACCAATTCCACCCGTCAAATCCTAGTTAAGCTTAGCTTCGTTGATCCACTTTAACGTTCCTCGCCAGGACACAATTTATCCGATTATGATCTCCTGTTCACGCTGTTAGCTCATCGCGGAGCCCCGGTGTTTGGATTGATGATGGGAACGTTAACCTGGTTCAATTGCTATTTGGAGATTCTAGATCATGGGAGCACCGGGTGATTGGGCCTTGGACCCCTCTTGGGGAATGGGTAGGTGGATGATGGGAGTATAGGTATATATTCGAGGTATAGGTGGTTGGGAATGTAGGTCTCACTGCTCTTCGCACTCTCCTTCAAATCCTGCAGAAGACGAGAACGCCTTCGCCGCAAAATGAGGTTCACAACTCTCTCCGTAGCGCTCGCCACCTCTTCTCTATCCATCGCCGCTCCGGCTCCAGCTGCAAACTACGACCATGGCAACGACCACGCCCGCAAACCAGAAGGCCTAAACGCCCTCGCCCGAAAAGCCGGACTCCTCTACTTTGGCACCGCAATCGACAACCCCTCTCTTAATAACACCAAATACCTCTCCATCGCCTACAATACCTCTGAATTCGGCCAAGTAACCCCGGCTAACGGCCAGAAATGGATGTACATCGAGCCCTCCCGTAACGTCTTCAACTACGCAATGGGCGACGCCATCATCAAGCCAGCGATTCAGAACCACCAGATGCGGCGCTGCCATAATCTACTCTGGCACTCGCAACTCCCAGACTGGCTCACAAGCAAAAACTACACCAAAAGTGAGCTCATCGGAATATTGGAAAACCATATTAAACATGAAGCCAATTACTACAAAAACGAGTGCTATGCCTGGGATGTTGTGAACGAGGCTTTCAACGACGACGGGACTTACCGCAACGATCTATGGCTCTGGACGATTGGGCCAGAGTACCTAGAACTGGCATTCAAGTTCGCGAAGAAGTATGTTGGCCGAGGGACCAAGTTGTATTACAACGACTATAATGTGGAGAGAGTGAACAACAAGTCTATGGCTATCGCATCCATGGTCAAATCATTCCAAGCCAAGGACATCCCCATCGACGGCCTCGGCTTCCAGGCCCACTTCACAACCGGCAAGGCACCGTCGTATGACGAGGTTAAAGCATCCATGAAGCAGTTCACAGACCTAGGCCTAGAAGTCGCAATCACGGAACTCGATGTGCGCACCACATTGCCAGATTCCGATGAGAAGCAGGCCCAACAAGCGAAGGATTATGCGGCCACGGTCAAGGCGTGTAAGGATACAGAGGATTGTGTTGGGGTTACTGTTTGGGATTTCTGGGACCCCTTGTCCTGGGTTCCGGATGTGTTTTCGGGACAGGGTGTGCCGTGTTTGTGGAGCGCAAACTATACGAAGAAACCGGCTTACTATGCTGTGGCGGAGGTTTTGAGGGATTAGATTGGAGGTTCGGGTATGTGGGTGGTAATGGGGAGGGAGAGTTTAAGGAAGAGAATGACTGGGGTTGACTGAATTGGGCAAAACGATATGTATGTATATATGGGAGTGAAGAAATGTGTAATTGAATTGACAATTAAACGGTTACTGATGTATGACTAGGAACTGTGTCTAATAGTGGCGAGATACATAACAGCTTCGAGGGCGTGACTTAGGACAGAAATCTTTATAGTCTTGGACCAAGCCCTTGTTCAAATCACAGATTCTAGAAATTGTTGCCTATACGCCTCGGTTCTGTGTACGATGGGTGAAATACGAACTAGTACTTGAAGATATGTTGACACATAGTACGGCACCTAGGAGAAAAGCTGGTCAGTCGTTCATAATTGCTGCTCGAATTTAATCAACAACGAAGAGGATATACAATCAGCATGAAGTTCGCCCAGACATCTAGGCGGATATTAGGGAGGAATCGCGTGACTAAGAAAACCGATCCTATCTTCCTCTTTTCTACCGTCTCGACGCTGTGGTACCCACTCAACCCACACTTCAAACTGTTCTCTTTCACCAACCCCTCCCCGCCTTAACACCCCCCAAAACAGCTGCCCCAGGTTTCGCCAACCCCAACTCAACATCCCTCTCCACCTTCTCCTTAACCTCCCCTTTCCTTGCCTCCTCCTCCTCCCTCCTCACCCTCTCCTTCTCCTCATCCTTCCAGACAAAGTTCCCCGCGCCTCCTCGTCCCGCTCGAGCAACAGGCATCTCCTGATTTTCCGGATGCCATGGCGTCGAGATATTCGGCTTTGTGGATGTGGGGATAGCGGTGGAGTCACTGGGCTCGACGAACGATCCTTGTTTCTCGAGTTCAGAGGGCTGGTACCAGTTGCCGGCGCCGCCGCGTCCGGAGTAGGCGTATTCTTGTGGTTGCGAGGATTGCGCGACTGGGGCAGCGGAGGAGGTTAGAGAGCGATTAGCTTCGAGATCCTGGGTGAGTTGGGTGTCAGTCTGACTACCAATGTGAGAGGAGGGCAGGTAAGAGTTGAGGCTTGGAGTGGAGTTGAAGCTTGCTCAATTATTGGTCGTCTTCGAGGATACAGATTTAAACGGGATAGCAGGGCGGCCATTGGAGAACTTCGTGCTGCGACACCATCTCATACGTCGAATGTGCGCTACCAAAGAAAGCAACAACTAACCTCTGCAACCTTCCTTGCCTGCTCTTGAACCTGTGCTTCACTAACGATATTTCCCGCACCGCCGCGACCCCAGGTAGGCATGTTCTCACTTTTTCCTCAGATTCTTTCAAAATCCAATACAATCCAATACAATCCACCAGTGTACAACCGTGGCTGCGAAATCTGAAATGTTTGGTTCAGTGACGTCGCACTCGATGTGTAATTCTTATTGGGGCTTGCAGGGAAGGTCAGGATGAGGACCGACGTGGTTGGAGACACAAGATTGCTGGGCTTGGAGTGGGTAGGTTATCACATGTCGTACGTGGTTTTACTTTTTCTTTTCCCGTCATCAGATCGGTTCAAAGATCGCGAAGCCCAGGTGAAGGAAGTGTGGGCATGTGGCTTGTGGGTCGCGGGATGATGCCAAAGCATCTTTGTGCTCATGTGGGGGATTGTTTAAACCACATTAGTCAATGGCTTGGCATTTGATAAGAGTGTTAGAAACTTTGGAATATTCCGTGGAGCTCAAAAGTGGCTGGACTTTCAGAGTGGAGGAGATCGGGTGTATTTGGACGAGAAGTTGCATTCTGGAAATACAAACTAAACACTGAAGAAGGGTGCCCATGTCCATCTCATCTCATTCCCCTGCAGTTTTGCGAAAAGCCCTTAAACAGCACTACTGTAGGGTGATATAACAAAGAGGTAGTTGTAGGCATAATCCAGCCGTAGAATAGAACCGAAAAACAGAAACTTCCTCCCTTCGGTCATTTCACCGTAGCGACCGTACATGCGCAAGATGCAGAAAAGAGGCCGATGTCACTACTAATCCCAACAGCACTTGCTGAGATAACCACATAACCCAACAGTAGTCCACGCATTACGCGGACGACAACACATAAGAAAATAGACAAAACCGCATACCCCATCATACCTACCGAATGTCCCATTCATTAGCCACACCGTGAACGCCAATAATCGTCGCTCCAAACAAGAGTTGAGTTCCGTAAGAGCCGAGATCGTTCAACAATGCTCTTAATGTGATAGCACCAATAGAAAAAAATAATTTTTATTCCCTCCCTTCCTGCACCGCTCGTAGAACAGGGTAGAGATTGTGTGCATCGTCATTCACTCGGGACTCGGCCTTCGCAGCGGCTGAATCGTTTTCATCCTCAAGGTAGTCACGATGGTCGAGCTTGTCTTTGATATATGCCCTAAGTCTCTCAATTGTTCTGATATTTTCGACCCAGGATTGTTGTGAGTTGTCGTTGGCTTGTTCTGTGGAGGTAGATGACACTTGGCTCGGGGACCTCAGGGACAAAGCAGGGTCTACCTTGGGAGAATGTATGGCCAGCTGGTTCACGTTGTGGTGCAAATTATCCTGTTCAGAGCTACGGCGGGATTCCTTTGGTGATGCGCCATCCTCAGAGGTGTCCATTTGCTCACTTCCACGTCGGTCCGGGGCAGCTTTCTGAAGAAGATTTCCAGAGTATCGGCGGCGACCATCGGCATCAAAGGCAGGTGCCAAGCCAGTCGAGGGAGCAGCAGTCGAGATATCGGACATTGCGCTGACTGACGGGAGAGTGGGGTACATGCTACCAATTGGGGCTCTTGATGTTGGGGAAACGGTGCTGCCTGAGTGTCCTGATCCGGGAGAATGTTGCGAATTGTAGGACAAGACACTGGATGCTGGAGTCAGGGCGGGAGTCTCGGTGCTTGCGGACGCAACAGCAGTAGCGTGCGAAGACTGCGGGTGAGCACCGGAGAGACCAGGCGGAGAATTACTGGACCGGAAGTTGGTGGCCGAATGGACATAGTGCGCTCCTGGCTGATGGACACCGGCAGCAGCAGCGTGATTCGGGTTCTCGTATACAGTACTTTGCAGCTGCTCCAGGAATTGATCGATATTCAGAAGGTCGCTCTTCGTCCTCAAGTTGGGAAGGGGCAAGGAGTATGGATGCATTGGAGGGTGGGCAGCATGTGCAACCATGGTGCCTCCTCCATTCCCATAGTCCGACATACCAGTTTGATAGCCCCCGGAGATAACCGGAAGCTGAACACCTTGGAGACCCATGAGTCTCTGGCCGACATCGTAGTAGGTCGTGGGGTCAATGGCTCGTCGCTTAGCATCGCCAAAGAACTCATTCAGGGCATCATAAGCCGCGCGCTTTCGGATTTCATAGGAGTCGTTGTTAAGCTGAGCGTAGTAAACAGGACCGTAGGCCGAATTCTGGGGAGGTCCACCATAGAATCCACCGGGGGCGCCTCCAGGATGCTGTTGGCCGTAACCTGCATTTGGGCCCATACCACCGTCGCCGGGGTAGTATCCGCTCGCTGTAGCGGCAAGAGCCTGCAAGTCAGCGACTACTGTGTTGCACGCAGTTAGACTTGAAGAAAAGGGAAAGGGAGGACATTGGGGATATCGCATGGTTGAATACTGATCATTATGCTGAGAAGTAAGAGAAGAAAGAATTGGACGTACGTTTTCCGCCACCTCCTTGATAGCCAGGTCCGCCATGAGGACCTCCTCGGTTTGGCTCTGGAGAGCGCAGCAAGACAGAATCATCAGCGTGAGTTTTAACGTGCTTTTTGAGATCCTGGGGGCGTTTGAAGGCCTTGCCACAGAAATCGCACTTGTGCGGCTTCAGAGGGACATGAACACGGATGTGCGATGTGATATGATCGCGCTTCACAGTGGTTGTACGACAGTTGCCCCACTGGCAAGTCAAGTTTAAGTTGTTAGTGCTTTTGCGACCGACATGGCGCTCGCAAACGTGGTCCTAGGTAACGTTTAGCAAGCGGTAAGTCACGTGAAATTGGATTGGTTGGGCGACGAGGAGGGACGAGAGACCAACGTGAGAGTCCGAGCGTACATTGGCAACATGTGCGCGATGTCGCAACACATAAAAGCCAAATTAGTCGTACTCGCCGCGTCGTAAAGCGCGTTTTTCGGTGACGGGAGTGAATATTGATCAAAGGAAAAGTGCACTTACATAGAGTTGCTCGGCGGATGGACAGCGTTCACCGCAGTTCTGCCACTGACAAATGAGCTGGTCGCCAGCTACACTGGCAGAAGCAGGAGTCGGTGCATTTGCCTGGGTCGGCGTGCCTTGAGGTTGCTGTTGCGGAGTCGACACGGCGGGCACGGCACTTTGCGTGGGTGTTGCCTCGCTCATGATCGAGTTTGGGTGGGGATTTGTCGAGGTCTTGGTGTTGGTGTTGGATCTCGAAGTGCTTGGCAAAGCCTGGGGCTCAGGCGGAAGTATACCAAGGAAGCTGCGCTGTGATGAGGTCAACACAGCGTGACGCAGGACAGTCAAAATCAGCAGGTGCACTGGGGGTAAAAGGTCTGCAAGGCCCGAGGTGCAGTGGTGGTGAAATCAGGACGAGCGAGGGGAATGGGAGGAGTGAAGTAGGAAGCAGGCGGGGAGGAAGGCTGGGCCCGCCGGACCAAGAAATGCTTTAGTACTTGGACTCAGCCCCGTCACACAAGACGCCGATTCGCCAACACCTGCAAAAGAGCTTCGCACATTCGCAGGGATATCACCGCCGAGGCACGCCACTGTGGTCGTTCGCGCGGTGCCAAGCCCTTGGCAATTAGCTAGGATGCCAGAGAGTAGCCTGCAACCCTTACCGTCACCTGCAGTCCTTTTGCCAAAATGTGCTGCTCGCGGCGTTGTGTGCGTAGCCGGCCGCATCGCAAAACCCTTCTACTTGCGTGAAGGAAGAATTTCTGCTCTGAAAGTCTTGTGGGCGGCTAGAGCGACGAGACAAAGCCAAGCAGGCCAGGACTCGGCGTGGCATCAGCTTGCCGCCCAGCCATCAGCTTGAGACTCGACCGAAACATCCCGCTTGGAGGCCAAGGTCGGGATTTCTTGGAGGCTTGGTGCTGTCGGAGAGCTTGGCTGGCGGAAATCGTCATTGCCAGAGAGCCCAGGGCTGCGCCAGCGCTTTGATCTCAACTCTCTCATCCTCGCTCGCGACACTCACGGCGCCTGGCGATGCTGTCTCACGTGGGGATGTCTGTTGGACGCGACGAAAGAGAAGGGCGATCAAGGCCAAAAGTCCGAGTGCGTGAACAGCAATCGCTTACTGCGTATCGTATGATACTGCCGTCCAATGAAGGCCCGGAGCAGCGCACTCGCAAACACTGATCGAGGTTTGTGTCGTTGAAGTGGCTCTTTGGCGTCCACCGTCCCATCTCTATTTCTGCTGTGCCGGGAAGAATCGTCTTCTCGTTGTCTAATGCCAATATTTACGTTTCCTCCTTCCCGCAAAAGGCTATATTAAGAGACAGATGGGGCTTGCATTTCAGAGAAGAAGCAATATCTCCGCCTTCTTCCTTCATGTTCTAGTGCTGCCACAGGCTGCGGTTGATTAGAGGCGCTAAGCGTTGAGATAGGAGAGATGCCGACTCTGGCTTCGACCTATGCCAACCCTTGAATATGCCTACCCAAACCCTCAACAACGCGGAGGCTCCCCACCGTCAGGGCACGACCGTCTCGGTTGTCCATGCTTCGGCCCGGGCACACGGCCTCCCGAGTCCCTCCGGCTCCTCTCTCGGGCGCTAAGTTGCGGTCAAGCAAACGTAGACTCCACTCTGTTCTCGCTGTTGTCCTCCCCTCCCTGCTGCTTGTTGATGACGGACATTTCTGCGCAAGTTTTTCTTCTGCTCGCTTGACACAGTCGTTCAATGACGACCGAGTCACCAACCGTGTCAAAGGCAATCCGTCCCGGTTCCGAACAGCCTCCCCATCTTGCATCCTTTCTGACTGCCGGGACATCCTGACTGTGGATGACGAGGCTTGCACGCCGCGTTGGTGGCACCATCCCTGCCGCTCTGGTGTCTGGTCTAGAATTTCTTCCCCTAGCTGAGGCTAGCTCATGGGCGCCATTGAGCCGTATCTGTGAGATGGAATTCTCAGCTGCCTCTTTATGGGTGTGAGTTTCCCATGAACTTCTTCAGACGACGTTCGCCGAACTCGAACTAACACGAGGGTCTCCTCGGCGAGGCTTCAAGAACTTCTTATCTTGAATTTGAATAGCCCATCCCGAAGCACCTCTGATAGGATACATTCTGTTCTGACTAAGGTCTCGGTCGATGGCAACATAAGAGGTATTTTATGAGATGAAGAATATCTGGTGGTTTACTTGACAAACGAGAAACAAAGTGGTTCGGGAGTGAAGACTGCGACCAACGAAGATCGGATGGAGCACCGCATCAGTGCCCATGTCCAATTGAAGCGAAGTGCACTCCTCATCTTCTCTCCCACTACATTTTTAAACTGTATTCGCAACTCTCGTTCGTCATAACAGGACGTTGTGACACTATTGTATTCATGGTCACTGATGCCTAATCGTGCACACGGAACTGCAGACACCTGCTTAAAGTTCTATCCAAGACTGGCATTGCAGTGAGGGTTTTGCGCCGTGGAGATGCTCGTCGGGGAAACGCAAGGCTACCCTAGCTCTGATGGTTCATCCACGATGTCAGCGTTCTCCTCCGCTGTGACATATCTAGAAGCATCCAGTCTTCCATCATCCAAGGTGGACGAGGATTTACTTTTGATATTAACAACAGCTTTCCATGCTCACTTTCAAGAGCTCGTGTGCTCACATGGAATCATGAGGCCATTAAAGCAGGTGCAAAGGGTCTGGATTCAGTAGACCCATGCTCTGGGGAGAACAGAGAGGTCCGGAAATCTCCGTGGCTTGCGAATCGAGCTAGAGAGATGCAATGGGATGTCTTCCGCACGTTTGTCAGCATCCTGGTGTTGTAAAAGCTGACAATGGAGGGCAGGAGCGAGTCGGGTAGTGCCCCTGTGCTTTGACTCGCCTGAATGCTGGGTTCCCAAGCTCGATCCTCACGTTTCGATCACCCCATCACACCTGACCATCTATCTCTCACCACCCAAAGCTCGACGTCGATTCGAGAGAGTCGAGGCCCGAGCTGCTGTCATTGGCAACATGATGTTCCATCCTAGATCCCGCAGACCAACCCTACAGCCCCATATCAAATGGGTCGTGCGCGGTCTATCACAAATAGTGACACCAAAGAGGTAGCCCATTTCGCAGGAGAATCTCCCTGTTCACCCTCTGCTACCTGATCAGACAAGCTAAACAATTAACCAGCGGGCCTGCAAGTCCCAATATCACCTTCCGACCCGCCCTGCTACCGTTGTAGTTTCAATGCCTCGAGACCGTTACCTCCACGCCAAACATTCCAAGAGACGCGCTGAACGATACTCTTCCTTGTACACTTCCCCGAGAGCCAGACTACATAATTTGTGTGCAGTGATGGCCGCATTTGCAATTATTTGTCAATCCCTACAATTGAAAACCCCTTTTAAATACTTATACCCTTCAAAATTAGCTTTTATATTTTGGGACACTTATAAACGGTTGCAACACTTGGAGCTACCTTCACAGGGTGAGGTGTTGCCAGGCTAAGCATCTGCAGTCTGGATTAGAAGAAGATCGGCGCCAGCAAGCCTAGCTATAGGAGATCGTACATGTCGATCAGCATGTAATACCAGCCCAACCAGACACTAGGGACATCTTGACGGTCAGGGTAGACAATGAAACGCCTTGGTATAATTAATAATGCTAGCACATGGGCACTTATCCACCGTGGCGAGTTCATGTTCACGAGAGGGGACTGGGAACAAATCATACCATATACAGACCAGCAGTATCACCCACAACTCAACCGGATGCCTTCATATTTGTAGTCTCAAACGCTCCGAGAAAGGTTGGTTTGAAAGCAGTCGGCTTAGAGAGACTCACTACGCGATCGAGGGCTATTAGGGAACAGAGGTCGCGATAACAATTTCCCACCAATTTCCCACTAACTACGCCAGATCATGTCCGCACTTACTTAGGGTAATCTAGCGCCCCTTCAAGTTTAAGATGTATGGTCGTTTCATCCATAACATCTTTAAAGAGACTTAAGGCATCAGCAGTAACAAAACGTCAGCATCATCCTCATTGTCGCGATTCTCTCAAAAATATCCACCGAAACGTTCGCTGACCTGACAGTTCTCTGACTGTCTCTCCCCTCAGCATTTGGATCAGGCCTAACGCTTGATACCTCCGACTCGACCGTAGTGGCTACCCCAACTCTTCGTCGTTCTAGAAGCCCATGTCTTTCAGTCACTCATACTTTCGTTACTAATGTTTATAGTACTCATCCACTCACCGTGTTCATCTTCCCTAAACAGAGTCTCGTCATCCATCTGCTTGCGGCAGGCCAAGAACCTTTCCCTGCCCGGACCTTTCTCGGCACCGGACAATTGGGCTTCCGCAAATTCAGACTTCTGGTAATCTGGCCAAGCGATTGCTAGTCTCAGCACACCAGGTCTGGCCAAGATAATACCAAGACCCTGAGACGGGCCAAGATGCCGATCAGAATTGAGGGGTTTGGCAATTGTGTTCAACAGAAGTGAGATGCCTTAGTTGAGGATGATGATTGGCGACCTGGGACATGAGTGGCGGCTGGCGAGGCGTACAGGAAGCTGTGTATATATGGGGAAAGACAAGACGATAGTGACCCGTCGGGGCTATGTCGTATGGCAGAGAAAGCAGCGGGGCTGAAAGAGGGCGACAGGGTTGTCTCACAAGACAAACGTCATTTACCAGCTTTTCAAGATGGCATGCCTCCGATTCTTCGATTTGACGATATCAATCTGAATATCCTGTCTTCGGCTCCAAGGGGAAACAAGGCGTCGTTACCAACCTTTCTCAGTAGGACTTACCTCTGTCGAACCATGTCGGTAGCCGTTGGTTCTCCAAACTGTACGCATAGATACTTAGATATTATCGCACGTCGTCTCAACGCTTCCATGGATGATATTCGTCGGAATAGACCACTGAGCTCCGCTAGCACATCGCAATATGACCTAATTTAGGAGTCCCTGCCCCAAAGACTCATTCGCAGCGAAAGCATTCCCTTTCAATCGTCTCTCCAAGGATTTTCCGGGGAAATCGTATGATACGGGTACCAAGAGCCCCGATGCCTCATCGCTACAGTACCAAACAATCTCAATACATGCGCTGAGCCTTAAGACCACGTGGACTCCTGCTTTGTGTTCGCCAAAAGGCATCTCCACTGCCGACGGTGAGGTGATGTGTGCCTCTAACGGATGGCTTGGGACTTTGGGAGTGGAAGGCTTGGGCTTGCCGAGGTTCTTGGAACGTGCCCAGGTGAGTCCCAAGGGCGGAACCTTGGAATTTGGGAGGGGAAATTGCCAAGGTTGATGCAAGGAAGCTTCAAATAACCTCGCTTTAGGCAAAGGGGAATACGATTAAGCAAGTGCATGGGGCTATATGATATTGTTGTCCTCGTGATTCCGACGAGGACCTTGAAACTTATTTCCTCTAACCCCTGCAGAGTATTTATTCTGACTTTGTGGACACTGTCTGTATCAGATATGCTATGACGTTCTAGCGGGACACTATATACATAGATTGAAGCCGAAAATAGTTCCTTCCTAAGAGTTGGGTGAATCCTCTTGAAGCCTCCTGCTGTGCGATGAGGCCATGAAAGAAAATAACTGAAAACCTACGGTGCGCCTTGCGAATGATAGAACTAAAGTATATTGGACGCCCTCATGATGAAAAAAAAAAAAAGGGCAATGTAATTATTGAGTGAATAGAATATTGACTAAGACATTGCTTAGTCCCAAAGCCGACATGGAGGGAAAGGATAACTTTGGGGCCTCACTTGATGGACTGCTTTGTCCTAGCATCGAGTGTAATAAATCAACTAAGACCTGTTCAATACCTCGCAGAGGTTGCTAGCACAAGATTATTTTTAGAGATGAAACGAGGTGCAGTGTCCGGAATCAGGCTAGGGGAGCGGTTGGCCGATAAGCTATTCACGTGACCCGGTGTTGTTGACGTCCTTGCCGATTGCGTCAAGCGTTTTGTTTACAAGCGAACTACAGACTTTGGTCACCCCATGATCCACAACACCCCGACCCCCATCCACTCTCACGACAAGACATCCTTTCCTTTGTTCAACAAGCATTTCAATATGGCGAGGCGATCCGCCCGGCTCCAAAAGGTATGCTGCCATTTCTTATTGTTAATTCTAATTTGCATCGACTGCATCTTCGCATCTGCAATGGGAGATGCTGGTGTCGAGTCAGTGGCACGGCACAGCGTTCAATTGACAGTATTCTCATCTACGGCAACAATTCCGGGAGATATTATGGTCTCCTTCAACGCTATTTGGAGACCGTGGAGTACGAGACATGCTAACAGAGTGCCAGCGCTCGCCGACACCGTCTGCCAGCCCCGACTCCAGCTGGACAACGGCGCAATCAGCAACTTCACCTAGGCCTGAGCGACTTCCTTCCGTTTTCGAAAACGATGAAACAATTTCACAAACTCCACAAAAGCCCGTCGTCGACAAACCTCAACTAGGTTCGCAACTCCCGCAACCGTTGAGTAGAGCAACCCCGCTTAAGAGCAAATCGTCAAGGTCCTTCCTGAGTCCCTTCACCACTCGTACTCCGAAGAACCGCACACCTATTAAACCCAGTGGAGATGAGATGCACCCCGCACATCATCACCAAAGCACGGCGAAGATACTGGATGAGGCTCGTTGGCTTGGCTTCCAAGCACTGGGAGCACATACAGCACCCCCAAAGGCGTCAGAAGGTCTCGGCATCAGTCAGGCAACGCCTTCAAAGTCTCCCGTTCCTACCTCAACGGTTAAGCCGTCGACTAGCGTTGCGTCTCCAGAATTCAGGTTTAGGTTCAGGTCTCCTATTACCGGGTTAACTCCCAAGTCGAGTAGGATACTGAAAGAAGCCCAAGAAGAGGATACAGTGGCTGGTGGCCGTGCACTCTTTGGAGCGGATGAGTTCTCCGCTCTCGCAGATATTTCACCACAGCGCAAGATGGCTGTTCCAAAAGGCAAAGCAACCAGATTCAGTGACGTTCACATGGCCCAATTCAAGAAGATGGATTCTATTGCAAACCATCCCTCCGCCTTCCGTGCGGACTCTAATCGATTCAAGCTTGTTAGCAAGTCGCTGAAGCGCTCTCCGTCGAAGGCCGAGCTCGATAAACCCGAGCCCTCCTTAAAAGCCTCTACAACGTCGTTAAAGCGAACTCAATCGAAGATGGATACGGCTGAGCCAACGAAAAAGATTGTTCCTACCCCACTCAAGCGAACCCAATCAAAGATGGATCTGGCGCGCCCAAACAATCTTCCACGTAACCATTCCACTGTGAGGCTCGTTCCGCCGTCTCGCGATGGACGCCCCCCAATACAGGACGGAAACCCATCAGCAAAGCGAGTTAAGCGTTCTGAGAATGACGATGCTGCGTCTACTCGTCCAATTTCACGAGATAGCAACGCAGGGCCTGGTCGACCCGCAGCCTTAGGACGTCCACTTCACTCCCAAACGGGGTTGCCTCGTGCTGCTTTTAGACTCATGACTCCAACAAAGGCCTCTATCGCACGATCACAGAGTGTCAAGACCCTCAAGTCTACTTCGATGATCCCTTCTCTCTTGCGTTCTCCTTCCACCCGAGCCATGTTCTCACCCACTAATATTGGTGAGACGATGATGGACGGCATGAGGGAGGGCATTCGCAAGACGAGCAATTCCTTCCACCGTGTCAAGTCTATCCTTCGTACCGGCACGCCGAGCCGCAAGTTTTCAGAGGATCCAGAGAAAATTGCTGCGGGAACACACATGTCCCCTCCACCAGTTCCAAACTTATACAAGACGCTCCCAAACGTTCCTGCCACTGCGCCAGTCAAGAAACACGTCAATTTTACCACCAGCACTCTAGATACGGCGGCTCAGGATGAGTTAGGCAAATCTCCTTCACCAATTAAGTTCCGAGCAGTTTCAGAACTTCCACCTGACGCTGTTGTCTATCCTTCTCTTCATCCAAGTGATGGCATCGAGTACCCTACCCTGCCCACTAGAGAGGAGTCTTTTGTCGGGTCTCCAAATCGTCGCCTCACGTTTGGCGGCCCCAAGAGCAACGTTCCGGGTTCATTCCTGTTCAAGTCCGACAAGCCCATGACCTTTGGCCCTGTTTCTACTGGAACGATTCGCATGGTTAGGAACAGTGATGTTTCGTCCCTTGTTAGCGACAAGAAGCGCAAACTCAAGACGTTTGAGGAATCGTCTGGCAAGGAGAATAATGAGCCTGCTGATGAGGAGCAACGTTCACCAAAGAAGGCTAGGACTGCGGTGGGTGAGCCCCCAAAGACCCCGGCAACGACGAGCAGGTTACTTCACCGTACCCCAAGGGGTGGGAGTGCTATCAGCAAGTCTAGGTTGGCCTTTTTGGCTACGCCTAAGAAGACCAGGCCTTGAAATATCTCATAAATGTCCCAGGCTTTGTTTCTTCAGATCAAGATTGATATTTCCACTTCCATGACTTCAATGAACCTTGTCATTTTCGTCGACGATACGCTAGGTGTGATCTGTTCAGTCACGATTGTGTTGACATAATGCCAGGGCGTCTAGGTTACGAATGCGGAAGTCAGAGTGTCCATGTTTATGATTGTCTCCCATAATGTCTTTTCTGTCCAATTTCATTCCAGCTTCAAGGCTGATTTTCCCTTCTCAGTTTTGATCACGGAGTCTGGTGAATGGTAATATTGGTGGCGACTGAGGCGAAAATGGTGTTGGGAGGAGTATGTTTATTCCAACGTGTATCCGACAAATTGTGCGGCATGGATCGGTGGGGCATGGCTATAACGACCTGATTATGAGCACATATATAATTACCTTTCCTCTACAGTTTGTACATTGTCAACAGACAAATGAATCACATTGGCACATTGTCTGTAACTGGGCTTATGCTTTGGCTTAAGCGTGAGTAGTACGTCATGGGTCGCGTGATGTCAGGGTGCAGCCGGAGCTAAGGAATACTGTAGTGAGGCGGTTTGCATCCGTATTGTAGTGGCTTTAGTGAGCAGGTTTTGATACATTGATGAGTTGAAGAAGGCGTCATCAACATTCATCTCTCAGATTAATTCCAGAACCATGTCGACAGTCCACAGGATCGCAACGGCCGTACCGACCTTAAATCTAGTAACCAAACTATAGCACCATGACCAGTTATCTCAATTGTTCCCAGAGGGCTAAACCCCAACTTCCTTGATCAAAGGCTTGTGGAATACTCGCACTCCATCATTCATTCATTCATTCATTCATTCTTCCTCAATCTAGACGCCTCCATAAGTAAGCCCCAATCACGGCTCCAACTTTTCTTTAAATGCGTCGGCTTTGCTGGAATCGATGTTGGTCTCTACGCTCGGCCATCCGACTGGGTAAACGAGCATATTGCCTGGCAGATTTGAGGGGAGAGGTAGCAAGGTTTGGGGGAAAGTATGCAGTGAAGATTTCTGTGACATGAGAGAACGGGGAATTAGGGCCAAGGGTAGCGAGATGTGGCGCTTGAAGAAACCCGGAGCAGTATGGTCCTAATGCCTGCTCAATCTTTGCATTGGTCTCGGTCTTCGTATACGCGATGTAGTCTTCGACACTATCCCCGTCGACGAAGCCCCACAGTATCGATGGGTTCTCGAGCTCGACGCCTCAGTGTGCGCGTTGGGACCCAGACTAGTGGACACACAGACTTCGAAGGCGTGGAGCGGGGGCTGTGAAGGCTGAGCTTGTGGGGCCGGTGAGGAAGATGCCAGGGGCGAGGGAGCAGCGGGCGAATTCTGTGACTGGTGGCATTTGTGATGCAGATAGAGGGAGATAGAGAACTTGACCTGTACGAGCTAGGAAGAGGTAACGGAAAATTGGAATTTGAAAAGGAAGAAGAGGTATCAATTGTGAACAGCCTTGAATGCTCTCGAGAAAAACTGATGTTGTAGCTATTGGGTTTGTATACGGCCGTTAGTAGTTCTGTGAGGGGCATTTCGCGCCTGAAATTGCAAACTAACTGGATGTGTTAGTGGCGCTAGCACTTGCTATTTAGATTTATTTGGACACATTTGGGATACCAGTCTCGCGCAGAGTTGCAAAGACTTTGACGATTTATTTACCGTAATTAGGGTCTACTTTGATGTTGATCTTTCGCCGATCAACGTATGCGTTGTCAGATAGCCCTGCGAGTATCACACATGGTAGGATTTGCGAAGTGGAGGATTTTAAGTACGGAAAAATGCCTCTGCTGAAGGTTTAGACCTTAAATTCAAGAGTGGAAGAGTGTGAATGCTAATAGCAAGCAAAGAAGACTTCTTTGTTGATGTTGAACAAACCGAGCGGGTGATGGGTGTTGGTGCGGTGAATGCCTGGCTGCTTATTAAGAGCGGCCGGCCGATCCCGAAGCTTGGACCCCTGTCGGCCCAAGACGTCAGCTTGCTGCACCACTGAGGCGGGCAATTCAATTCACCACCCACCACGCTGTCTTTCATCCATGCGCGGCGCCTAAACTGCCTACTACCTGGTACTAGCACCTTCTTTCCTGCTTACGTGGTATCGCTGGAATTCCTACAGACCTGGCAAGGCGACACACTTATCAAACACATTCACCGTGGCGTCGTTCAACAACTTGATTGACGACTTCAAAAAGTCCTTTGACTTCTTCAAAAACCACCCCTTCCTGAGCACCACATCCCCTCTACCCTCCACCTCCGATACAACACAAGACACCCTCTCCCAGATCTACGCTCGATTCCACCAGGCACTGCAGGAGAGCGGCGTCTCTGACCTCACTGACTTTATCACCAACCCCCGCTTCAACGACCCCGTCTACCTCACCACCACTACCATCGTCCTCGTAGCAGTATTCTTAACCATGTCGTGGTTTGGTCGCGGCAGTGGGTGGACGGGCCGCTTCTCTCCATTTGGCAGACCCAGCAACTCATCCAACGAGGTCTCTGACTCCGACTTCTCATATATCACCTCCGAAGACCTCGCCGCACACAACAGCAAGGGCCGAAATAGGTCTTCTTCGCGGGCTGCCGCTCCGGAGATCGTGGACTGGGATGACAAGAACCCAGACCGGGATACTGACGTGCTGGTCTTTAAGAATGGCAGGCTACATTTCCCAACCCACTTCCCGGCGCAGAGCATACAGGATGGAGACTTGAAGATCAGCACGGTGCGGCAGGCAGCAGCCAAGAAGATCGGCGTCAACGACCCACGACGGATACGTATGTTCTTCAAGGGCAGGAATCTGAAGCATGACGAGCGCACAGCTCGAGAAGAGGGTCTGAGGGGTGATGGCAGCGGCAGTGAGATTCTTTGCGTGGTTGGCGAAGCCCAAACCGGCACTATGGCGCCCGGATCCGAGGAAACCGGTATACCTAGCGCCACACAGCGAGCCTGGAGTGACAATGAAGATGAGGACAACGACACCGAGGGTGGCACTGACTCGGGCTCGGGCACAGCTCTGAGGAAGAAGCCTCGAAAGCGAGGAGGTAAAAAGTCTAAGAAGGGTAAGAAGGGGACTGATGGTACCACTACCGGCTCCTCTACGCCAGGATACTCCACCGCCGGTGCTGGCGCAGAGTTCCTCCCTATTCCCTCACATCTTGGAGGCCCACGACCTACCTCCGCCCCTCCATTCAACACACCACGCGTCGCTACTCCACAGTCGCCAATCGGAAAGCTCGACGCCATCGCCTCCAAGTTCCACACTGAAATTGTCCCTCTCTGCATACAATTCATGAACAACCCACCCGAAGATGCTTCAAAGCGGAGCTTCGAATACAAGAAATTATCAGAGACGATCCTGACGCAAATCTTGATGAAGTTTGACGGCGTTGAGACAGAGGGAGATCCGGATGCGAGGATGAGGCGGAAAGAGTTGGTCAAGGAGGTCCAGGCGATGCTGAATCGGCTCGATGAGACTGTCAAATGAGCACCTCTCGTGGATAGCAGATGAGCTTTAATAGCGGATTCACGTTAACGGTGTCGCCTTCAAGCCTGCACAATTGTGACTCTTTTGCACCTCGGTGTAAATATACAGGCGAGGAGTTGGATCGCATCGCAGCCATTTGTGGCATGTAGGTTTCATTTTCCTGTTATTGTAGACTTCCAGGATATTGCGTCACCCTATGATGCAGAATGAAATACGGTCGAAACTAAAGTATATTGTTATGCCAATATTTCTTCTTCCCCTCTGCAGAGCAAGTTTCTTCTTGTTCTTGCTTGCATTCCCTTCTTCAACCAGTTCACCCATCCACAACGAACGGCAAAAGCCGTGTTGTGTGTCGTTGTCAACCGCCAAACGCCACTTACGCCACGGCTTCACCTGTCGAATACGAGAAAAGCTTCACCCGATGGCCAATTTTAGACCCACGTCCAGACCTGCTGCCACTTCACTCGTCAAACCACCAACGCAAGATATCACATGTTCCTCCACAAAGGACGCCGCAATGCTTTCCTGCATCTGCTATGTGCTCTCCACATTTTAACATTCATGGACGAAGCTCCTCAAATTCCACTTACACGAAAGGAAATATCGAAGTGCTGTGTAACGTACGACAATCTCAACTCAACGCCCCAAGGGCACTTCATCCTATTCACTTCAGCTCTGTAAAAGGAACCTCTTGACACGATGTCACACCACTGCCGAAGCATCAAATCCAACCTTCTCGACCACGGGGACCCTCTCGCCAGCAAAAGTAGATAAACAAGAATGCGATCTACGAATTCCCACAATGCTGCGAGAACCCAAGACTGCGGTACCTCCAATACGGCAGGCTTTTCGAGCCTCGTATTTCCCGTACCTGAACATCTCGTGGGGATATTTTTAGGTGTGCCATGGAAACTTTCCTTGATCTTCGGTTTTCGCATTCGCGAACTCAGCCGTATTTCTCGAACCACAGTTTCTCTTCATTGGTCGGCCTTAGTCGACCTTCGACTTCTCCTGCACTATCTCGTTACCACGACGAATAGGATAGCGCTATCGTTCAGCACTATTGATTTTTCCTTTGCTTGCCCTCATGACTGTCTTAGAGGATGCTTGAAATGTGGACGACCGTTTCTCGGATGTCGACTCAAGGGTGACCTGGTCGGGCCGTGGTGTATGGCGACTTCGCAGTGCAATTGTGTTGCTATTGATACTTCGTTGGAAGTGAGGTATAAAGTCTGGTCCCCTGCTCTCTCTACGGACTTTTTTTTAGCCTCAATCAATCAATCGATAACTCAAGCTTCAGACATACGCTCGCTATTAGGTACAGGTTCAACTACTACACCCATATTCTCGTCTCTCGCTCCATCCTATCTTTCTTTCGATAATCACTACCACGAGGAAATATAACTTAGCACACTGGAAGGAAAGGTCGAAATGGCATCTCTCGTGCTCTTTACGCTCCCTCTCCTCACCCTTGCCTACACGTACTCGCCGGCACCATCTCCGCCGACAACATCCCCTCCCCCACCACCCAAGTACACCGTGCCGTGCCTGATGGGCGACAACAGGCCCTGCCCAACATCCTGGACTTGTACTCCCACTCAGATGTGCACGTCTGGTAGCCCCTGCGGCGGGCTCTGTATCGACATCTTCACCCCACCGCCTGTGATCCCATGCACTGTCGGAAACGACGCTCCATGCATTCCCTCCTCATCCTGCACTCCAACCATGGTTTCCACACCCGGCTCACCCTGGCTGGGCCAATGCATTGCCCTGCCGACGCCACCGCCAGGCGTAACACCATGTACAGTTGGCAACGACGCACCCTGTACACCCTCCTCCAGCTGCACTCCAACCATGATCTCAACCCCCGGATCGCCCTGGCTGGGCCAATGCATTGCCCTCCCAACTCCTCCTCCCGTCTCCACCCCTCCACCCGGCGTAACCCCCTGCACAGTCGGCAACGACGCGCCTTGCACCCCCTCCTCCACCTGCACTCCAACCATGATTTCCACTCCCGGACAACCATGGCTCGGCCAATGCATTGCCACCCCTATTCCAGTAACGCCGTGCACTGTCGGAAATGATACCCCGTGTTTGCCGAAAAGTACGTGTACCCCGACGATGAGTTCGACGGCGGGATTGCCGTGGTTGGGACAATGCATCGCGACTCCTACCCCCCCGCCTAGTAGTCCGAGTACCCCGACACCAACGCCTAAGGGAAGGAAGTGCGGGTGGCATGGGAGGTGTGAGCAGGGGAGGAAGTGTGTGAAAGGATGGTGCGTTTGGAAGGGGGACGGGCATGGGCATGAGCATGAGCATGAGCATGAGCATGAGTAGAAGAGGGCTGGATGTAGATGTGAAGAAGTTAGGGTTAGGGATATTGTTGGGTCGGAGAAAAAAGAGCTGTTGCTGAACGGTTTTGAGGAAAGACGGATCAGACTGGTTCGCATAATGTAATTTCTTATTTCAAGCATGTTTTAAATGAGGTTGGAATTGGGCGGTGTGAAGGAAGGCTATGAGGTAGTACGTTTAGTGATGAGATATGAATATGAATGACAATAATACTTGATGATATTTGTGATTTCATTGCTACTGGTCTGTTGAAGGCAAGTGAAGTCCTTCGGTGTGTCTAGTCTAGTAAGATTGTGATCGAGTAGGCTACCTTGGCACAGTTTGCCAATGCCTTTTCGCTCCTAGCCTTTCACACTCTCAGACTGCAGTCTATCAAACAACTAACGATAGACGATTACTTCTAGCCAGTGCTCTTCATGGAGGGATATGGAGATGGGAGGACTCTGTGGGAGTGGACAGAGGTGATAATTACTAAAGGCGAATGTTAATTAGAGCTTAGAATCACTCTACGCACTTATAAGGTCTGTCCCTGTGTCACGAGACGCACTGTGTGCCGAGACACTCTGTGAGAAAAACTCTCTCAAAATTTCCCCCAACAAATATATGGCACTTTGAATGTTACAAAGATACCCTATAGGTATCTAAGTCTGTGTTTCTAGATTTTGGTAAGGTTCCACCAAGTGGTTGTCGTTCCATACACCTATTCGTCAACGCCTTAAATTGCCGCCTCAGCATCTCTCCCCTGTTATCTCACTATATGCCAGGTCTCGCTAGATTTCGGAGGTATTTAAGGAAAGCCCAGACAAGAAATATTTTTTTCCGCGCTTTGAAGTTTAATTTGACTGTGAGACGATAGATTCCAAGGGTTCCGTTGTCCGCTGATCAAAGCCTTGAAATCCTTGGATATTTTAGCGGGTTTCTTATCTGCATTAGCGCAAAGTAAGTTTGCTTATATAACATCAGTATTGAACAGTAAGAAACCCTTCAGCCATTCTGTGGCGCATTGTTCTTTTTTTAGAAGAACCGCTTTGTGCCAGTCTCTTTGTTTCTTTCGGGGTCGGTTTGGGCCCCCGCCTTGCTGTGCCTCGCTTTGCTGTGCCCCGCCTTACTCTCAGCTCCTGCTCTCCAACACGATCATCAGCGTTACAGCAAGTATGGATGAGGCCAGTCGGGCTTTAGCCGCAGGCGTTTCTTCTGGCGTGTATTCGTATCGAGCCCTGTCAGGCCATTGCAAGGTCCCTGCATTGACCCTCCATCATCGCGCACGCGGCTGACGCTCTATTAAAGACAAGGCTAAGAGTCAGCAGTATCTTGCAGACTGGGAAGAGGATGCCCTTGTCTAGTATTTCTTACAGTCATCAGACCTTGGACAACTGATACAAGTAAAATTTCTACCCTCACCAGCCTTCTGTCTCGCCTGTTATTGAAATGAGTCGGAAAGACCACTAAAGCCTCTAGGCAAAAATTGGTTGAAGGCATTCCAAGATCGGCACCCAGAGGTTCAAGCGAGGAGAGTCAAGGCTCTAGATTGGAACCGCTATGAGAAGAATATATACAGTAAAGTCGTACACTGGTTTGAAGTTATTTAAAAAGTATTAGACGATCTAGCTGTTTTAGCGGAGAACGTTTACAACATGGACGAGACTGGAGTTATGCTATCTATGTTAGGCTCTACAAAGGTCCTTGTAAGTAGGAGCGATCTGCGAAACTATAGAGGTGCTCGCGTAAAGCGTGAGGCTGTAACTGCGATTGAGTGCATTAGTGCCGATGGTACGTTAGGTATTTAAACCCTATGGTTATTTAGCCAGCTTTGACTCATTGGAGCAACTGGAGTACCTTTAAAACTCCTGGATGGCAATACGCGTTATTAGACTCTGGATACACCGACTCTTACCTTAGCCTTTAGTGGCTGCTACGTATTTTTGACCCTAAGACTAAGGCAAAAGCTACCTATACATCTGGAGTACTTAAACCTCAAGTGCTAATTTGCGATGGGTTCAGGACGCACAAAACCCTCAAAATCCTTGAGTTCTGCCTGTTAAACAAGATCATATTATGTTGTCTCCCTTCTCATACTTCCTATAAGCTGCAGCCATGCGATGTATCTACATTCGCCCCTCTTAAAGCGGCCTATTGTGACTAAGTTGAACAGTTAGAGCGAGGGGGCGTAAACAAGATAGGTAAGGAGCATTTCACCGCTCTGTATAGCCCTGCGAGAATCAAAGCCTTCACACCTAGGAATATCAAGGCTGGTTTCGCGGCATGTGGGTTGTTTCTGTTCAACCCAGATCAAGTGTTGAGATCTATGCCAAAGCCGCCTGAGCTAGTCACAGAGGTCAGCAATGTGATGCCTAGGCCTCGTCAACCAGTAAGGTCAGACCAACCACAAGACTTGGCGATACAGTCTCCCAAGACGCCGGTATCAGCGGAGGGCTTCAAGTCGCTACAGAATATGATAGTCCAGCAAAATACTCACGCTTGTGACGAGACGGGTAGGTGGCGTCTACACAGGCTTATCCAGAAGCTTGGTAAGGCTGCCCAGATGTCATTTGCACAGGGTCTCCTTCAGCATAACCATATTTGATTCTTGATGAAAATCAACAATGAGTCGAAGGTTCGTCAGACGACGAAAGCAGTAGTGCTAGGGACGGCAAGGGTCATGAGCTATGAGGACCTGGTGAAAGCTCGCGCTAAGCGTAATGAGCAGATGCGGCTAAAGGCAAGGAGAAACGTGGGCGTAAGCGTAAAGCTGATGAGCCAGAGCCAGAGCCAGAAGCAGAAGCAGAAGCAGAAGCATTTCAGGCAGGACCAGCAGAGCCGACAGCAAAGAAGATGCGTAGAAGTGAAGGACTAGTCTTAGAGAAACAGCGCGTTCCAGTGGCACGGATGTATTAGAAAAGCATCATATAGTCAATTCCACTTACAGTGGTAATCGAAATCGGTTTCCGGTTCTTGCACGCCGTTTGTTCTAAACGCACGGTCATCATGCAGGACGCTTACCAAGTGAGAATTAGCACCAGATGGAGTGATCTTGTAATTTATCGTTCAATTAAGACTAGATGTGCTTAACCCCATGTATTAAATTGATATCGTAACTTCTGGTAAAAAAAGATAATTAAGTACAGCCATAAGCAAAATCAGTTTCCTATTATTCACTTTGTGATTGGTTCTAGGCGCACGCTCATTACAACAAGGGAATCCCCTTTTCGTATTGGTGTATTACGAGGGGCACCTGTAATTTACTAGACTTCTCAGCTACGTAATACTGCGCGTTGCCGCATCCACCTGCCACAGTCTAGCGTGAAGGTGGAATCGCCAGGGGTGCTCGCTGACGTCGGCCCGCTCGCAACCTCGAACACTGCCACTGCACTGCAATCTTCAGCGCAAACGAGGTGTCGCAAGTGCTAAGAGTTACTGGTTCTTGTTCGTTTCCCAAGTGCCAGGGAAAAGCTGTATTGTGCAGCGTCCCGCCTCAATATCGGAAGCTTAAAGCAATTGAGAGCCGAGGAAGCTGGGTCCCGCCAGGGCACCAAGAACCACCACTCGCCCTTGATTATTGGCTGGTCAGGGATGATTTAGACCACAATTCACCCATACGGCATGGGAGGATCCCGAGAGATGGCAGAAGAAAACGAAGCATGACTGTCCATCGAGGTGCAGTTGCTTATCGTAGACGGCCATGGCAGTCACACTTCGGACATGTTTGTGGCTACATGTTACCTAGGTAACTGTATAGGGAAAGGGGCCGAGTTTTCTAACAACGGACTCTTACAGGAGCAGCCTATCAACTTTGTTTTAGGAAGTAAGTAGGCCTGCGAATATTAGCACGCAGGTTTGCTAATGCCATTATGCTAAAGCAGGAGGCCCTCCTCCTCAGCATCGAAGAAGATATCTTCCTCCACTTCTTCAGCGCTCATTTCGGATACCCAATTTGATGCTAAATGATCCAGCACTCGTCGTCGTATATCATTTCCCAATAGATTTGCATACTGCATTGGCGTAACGGCCGTTGTGAGAAGAGAACTAGCATGTGATCTCTGAAGAAAGACTCTCCGTCCTAGGATATGTGGATCTGCTCCTTTATTAAGGAGAAATAGAACATTGGAGCTCTTAGCGTTTGGAGACAGGCCCTCAGACCCAACAGCGTAATGAAGTGGCGTCCATCCCCATTGATCCTGTCTATTGACTTCATGCAAACCATAAACATTATATAGATGCTTCAGTGAGTCCGAGTTAGATGTCATCTCTGCGGCGATATGCAGTGCTGTTCTTCCGTCGTGATAGATCTGTTGCAGATTGACACCATTCTTGGCGAGAAAATCTATAGCCGTGCATGCTGTCGTGCCGCTCCTAATTGCCATTAAGAGTGCTGAAGGACCCTGGTCGCTTACAAGATCGAAATCAACGTAGCATTCTTGTCGAAGGATATAGAAGAAGCGGAGAGTGGTTTCCTCGTGATACGTGTCGCGGTTAAGGTTGAGCATGGTGATCGCTCGATTACCAACTATATCGTGCACCGACGCTCCGTTTTCAGTGAGCAAACGAAGGGTGTCGAGCCATGCATCTGTTTTGGGTGGGAACTGAATAAATGGGCTCTGTCGACCAGCTGATTTCCTCCGACCTTTGAATCCTAAGGCGGCAAAGACTGGCAAACTAGAGACTAGTTAGAAGAACAGCTTGTAGAAACAGTGGAAATGCAGTACATTTGGTCGTCATCTCCAACATCTGTTCGAGCTCCAGCTTCAAGCAAGGATCGCACTGCATCAAGATTCCCCGATTCGATAGCGAGCTATATGCAAAAGTAAGCCTTGTAGCGCCGAGTCTAAAGCATTGCTACTTACCAAGAGTGGAGTCTTACCCGAGCAAGAACTCCTGCAATTCACGAGTTCATGATCGTTGATGATATATTGGGTAATCAGTGTTAGATCTCCAGCTTTGCATGCCACCAGGAATGGGAAATCTAGAGGAACACGTTTCTGATAGCAAATGATGCCTGAGAATCGAAGTTGATAGGATATGTCTTGCCAGGAAAACCATTGAGATAACCACTTGGGTAGTCGAAATCCGACAAGATAGGAACGCCGTTGGTCTCCTTCGGCTCCGACGCGCAGCGATGACGAATAAATCAACCCGAGACGTCCCCAAACCGTGTCCTTTTGCAAAACGTAGCTCTTTGGTGGACCCTTAAAAGCTGCGTTTTGACTGTGTGTAGAGATGCGATTTGCATGGTGATGAGGTATTGGTCGCGGTGCAATGTTGGTAGTGAACGGTTGTGGACGAGCAATTTGTTCAATCATCGCTCTTGTCAATTCCAATTTTGGCTCAATATTCCAAACTCCAGCCGCAGCCCTCGAGGATATTTGCCTGCAGTCAGATAAGCGCATTATGCCCCACGCAATCAGAAAGTAATTAGGATCTCACAGGATAATGACGCTGATAATAGTATTCAGCGTGTCCTTCGAGCTTGCTAATCGCCGCATAATGCTCTTGATAGCATTTCTATCTTTCAACACAAATTTGACCTGCTCCCTCCTTCGAAGCGAACTCGAGCTACGTCCCGAACAAGCTAGATGCAATTCGTCAACTGTCCTGTAGATCTCCTCCAGAGCATGATGTAAAAGAACGTGGTAGCTTTCCAGCAGAAGTTTATCATTGTCAATGCCGGAAAGTTGGTCCTTCAGGATGTGCAAAGTATGTTGGACTAAGATGACCTCCGTTCGTATGTGCCTTAACTCCGAAGAAGCCTGTCGTGTGCTCTCAATGAATGCCCCCAGAGCAAGGCTAGTCTTAAGGATATAGACAGAAAGTTGAGATATTGAAGCAGCCGCAGCACATCCAGCAAGGAGCTCGCCAGCTACTGACATATCTGAATGAGTACCCACAAATGCTGTTGATCTTGGAATATTCGTCGATCTTTTAGGCATTTTTGAAGAGACACACAAGGCTGAGTTGAGAGGTTCAGCCTTGCCATCTCAGGCGCCAATCGCGTTGAACGATAGGCGGAGTCGGTGAGTAAAATGCCTTGCCACGTCACACCCCCAGACGTATGCGCAGGGTGAGCTAGGGGTCCTAAGACACAATCAATACCATCCTTGCCGCAAAATTGTCAAACACTACTTCCTGACTACTTGAAAACCATAGCCGTTAACATTAAAGCAACAGAAAAGGCATTATATACATCTCTAACTACTGAACCTCACTCGAATCCGGAACTGGATATTTCCCAACCTATGGATCCCAACCCCTACGGATGGTATTGTGTAAGATCAGATTGCTGAGGAGTAGAGTCCATTACTAATTGGACTCAGTGTGGATGTGGGATTGGATCAAATAGCACGATTTGGATGCCGGAGTGTTGCAATTGTGGACATTCGCGATGTCCAGGTTGTTCAATAGTACCGGTTCCTCCACAGCCTACAGCGACGCTATGCGAGGATGAGCTGTGAATGGGAATTCTGATACGACACCTCTTCCTTCTATAGCTTGGCCCTGCTGTCGCCCGATGGCGACGCTAGCTTTCCCATACGGGGAGAAGGAGCTCTGACCTCGTCTGAACGGCCTGGGCCTCGAGGGTCTGTAGAGATGCATCCTAATTCTTCTCAACCTTTAGTAACCCTCGCATATATCTAGCAATGCAGTTCTTGAACTTCTCCCTTTATCATACTCGTCGTCGGTGCGAATGCCAGAGCACCGCAGTACGCCTGAAGGGGAGCCTTCTCGATAGCGAGCAATGGAGAGAGGGTGGCTCATCTTCATCATAGCTATTATGCTCGTCCCATTCAGCCAACTGAAGGAACTAGAGCCTCCCGGTGCTGCGTCTGCTGGGAGACGACGTATGGTGGAGACTCGGTGGCCGGGGGGGCTCTTATTATCGTCGAGTTGTGGCTCAGATCCGTAGACCTAGCCAATAAGATCGGTCCGAACGGGTCTTGATAGCGAAAAGGGTTCGTCATCGTAGGATGGGAAGCGACAGCGGCGTTCGGGAGGCAGAGTTCAAACTTCGGTGGTGAGAGAGGGCAGCTCCGTGGAGGCTGATTCGGCTTGCGCAGCACCCACGAGCAATGCCGCAGCACCAGGACCAGTCTCACATGACGCGATTAAAAACGTTTGTAAGTTAAATAAAGAACACTAACACGAAATAAGAGACCCCGCCCCGCTAGGAGGTCCGTGCTGTGAGAACAAATCAAAGTGCAAAGCCGGAAACTGATTCTGCTCGCGACTGTACCATGTTTGAAGATCTTATCATTCTTTTACAAAACAACAACTGACCAGATAATTACACAAGGCTTGAGTGACTTTTGAGGTCAGATGATCTGATGCTGAGTAAGATTTGAAGCAGAGGGTCTGCACAGCCTCAGGCTGACTGCTGACTAGCTTAACTGTATATATGACAGAAGTAATTTACGGCGATCATCCGTTTCGGAGATCGAACCATTCTAGCCTCATTTGGAAGGTCATTGATGAGAAGTACCAACCGGGGTGGCAAGTTTGCATGAACATGCGCGCTTCGCAAGCCATAGGGCTGATAATGATTACTTAGCACCAAAGCAAGTCTTTGAGGGTCCTATAGACCTATTTGTGAGCGACATAGAGTTGTAGAAGTGTTGTGGTTGTGGGATATGGAAAGAACACGATATTGCTATGAAAGAGAGCCTTGCGCGCCTCAGGCTAAAAGATGTGGATAGGATTGTAACAAGCAGGTATTAGCCTTCCTTTTCAGAAGCTTGGATGACATAATCAGGCGTCTCGCTTAGCGCACAGGCCAGCATCTAATATACGTCCACTAATCGCCTCTCTTACTCTTTTACTTTACTATAAAACTTTAACGTACTTTACAAGCAAGTTGCTTACACACCTAAGTTACTTACTTTTGCTAAGACTCTACTAAACTACTTTTTTTACACTAACGTACTTCATGGGCGAGTTGCTCACACACCTGAGTCGCTTACTTTTGCTAAGACCCCACCCTAACAAACTCTATTATAGCCTATAACAACCCGCTCTAGCACTATATAGTACAGTACAGCCTAGAATATTATTTAGATACTACTTCTACTTCTTACTTACATGTTTGCGTGTTATGCCTAGTCTAATTGCACTGTCTGTAGCGCCTTTAGAATAGCTTACTTACTTTAGCTTACACCTGCTTCTTTACCTTCTTTTTATTACTACGCGCTTTAAACTTCTTTAAAGCTGTTAAGTATAAGCTTTTTTAAATTATTAAAGTTTTTTTTACTTTAATTTACTTTTTTTTATGTAATTTCTTATTACACTAACACTAGCTTATGCGTAATTATTACTACCTTTTTTAAAACTTTTTTAAACACTTTAACTATAAAAGTTAGTAAACTATTTATATGCTTTTAAATTTTTATTTTTATAAGTATTAATTATAACTTAAGTTCTAAAGTATTACTTAGAGTTTACAACTACTAAGGCTTATTATATATAAGTAGTAGTAGTAATAGAGTGCGTAACTTTACATTAAAGCCTATTATAACTTATTATAGGTTAAAAAGAACTAATTTAGCGCTTTAAAACTTTTTTAAAATATTACTAAAAGTAATTATAGCATTATAAGCTACTTTAAAGCATAGTAAAAACTTTATTTTTATAATATAAGTAATTTAGTTATGTATAAGGTTTTTAGCTTAGTACTTATACACTTTTTTTAAAAAAGTAAAATAACCTATATTAAGTAGCTATAAAAAGTATAATAAGTAAAAAAGTATATAATTAGTAATAATCTTATTATTTTTATAGTATTACTAAAAATAAAGTAAGTTATAGCTCTTATAGCTATTAATAACTAGTAGATAGTAACTACTAACAGTACACTTCTTTATATATATGTTAAAGTGCTTTAACTAGTCTAGACTAAGCTAATTAGTAGTCTAGCTGTACTTAAAGATTATAATAACTTAATTTTAAAGTAAATTTTTTTATACTAGTTTAAAAAGTAGTTACTACTTTAAAAAATAATAAAAAGTAAAATAGCTTACTTTTTAGTATTAATGCTCTAAATAGCTGTTATCTACTTCTAGTTACCTAGCTAGACTGCTTTTAGCTGTCTTTATCTCTCTAAACTTATAATAACTGCTCTAGTAAATATCTAGCTTATTATAAACCTTATTTTATTAAAGTTATACATGTTATTATCTTAAATACTATACTTAGCTTTAATATTCTTTATAAAGTTAAACTAGCTTTAAATTACTATAAAATTTTTATAAAAAGCTTTTTTATAGTTATACTTATACTTAAACTTTACTTTAAGCTTTAAGTAATACTTAATAAATATATTAAGCTAGTTTATGCTAATATAGCCTATATTACACTTAGTGTGTAAAGAATTAGCTATATTAGCTATAGCTGCTAGCTAGGGGGGAAATCCTTGCGTATTTAGCTTAAGTATGTGCTAAATAATTACCTACTTTTTATTATTATCTAGCTTTTATAAGTTAGCTATATAATTAGCTTAAAAAGGTTATCTAGTGTGTTAGTTATTATTTTTTAAAAGACTTTATAGATAGCTGCAGCGTGTTACTAAAAAAGTGTTATGTTTTATTTAAAAGCTTAAAGCATAAGCTACATTTAACATTTTTTTAACACATTTAAGTAGTGTTATTAAGAATACATTAGTGTAGAAAAAGTAGTGTAGTAGGGTCTTAGTAAAAGTAAGCAACTTAGGTGTGTAAGCAACTCGCCTATAAAGTACGTTAATGCATTCCTAACAACACTACTTAGACACACTTTAAGCTTTTAAATAAGACATAAAAATCTTAAAGAAACTGTAACAATTCTACAAATTGTTCTATCTTAGGTCGCTTAGATCCTATCTGAAGGGTCCCTGTATCAGCCCCAACCATGACTTAACCTAGTCCCCTGCAGTTACCCCTATTCCCTCATGTATTTAGTCGCACCTTGCCTCTGTAGCTAGCTTAGTAGTTTTCTAATATCCTTTTATACAAGGCCTATAGGTGTTAATGGCATTCTTAGGTTTAGAGTCCCCACGCACTTCTATATGCCTCTAAGTGTAAGGACGGAGCTCTGTACCACTACGTGTAACGATTCTCGTTACATCTCGGGTCGCCCGGAACCCATCCGAAGGGTCCCCGTATCGGCTCCGACCCTGGCTCGACCCTGACTCGACCTGGCCCCGACTCTGCCCTGCCCCCTGCTGTTACCCCTATTCCCTCATGTATTTAGTCGCACCTCGCCCCGTAGCTAGCTCGGTAGTTTTCTGATATCCTACGTACAAGGCCTATAGGTGTCATTGGTATTCCCAGGTCTCTGAGTCCCCACGCACTCCCATATGCCTCTGAGTGGATTCATACCGCATTCGGACCCATTGTCTTGCCTGCGCCGTTACA